AGGCCAGTTACCCTGCGTGCTCTGCACCGCGCGCTTGGAAGGGCCGGAGCGTTCAACCCCAATAAAGCCATACGGGTCTCTTCTGTGGGTGAATATCTTTAGGTCTGAGACCTGAGCGTCGATTTCGACCCTCTGCTCGGGGTTGATGCCATCATAGTAAGATGTACACTCGGGGAAGTTGCCCGTCACGGCGACTTCGTCTTGCCACACAGCATCAACGTCGGCGCAAAGAACAGGAACAGCGGTAGCGGTGGCAGCAAGAAGAGCGGCGACAAGGCCAACTCGGCGCATAGTGCTTTGATGCTAGAATAAAGGAGTTAGTGGTAGGCTCGACAGCGTAGTCAGACATATCTACTCACCATGCTGTAGTGTAGAAAGAAGAGATCAATGGATATACAGCAGAGTCGAGTCTTATAACGCTGCCGTGATCAGAGTATTGAGAAAGTTCTGCTGGTAGAAGTGAATGAGTGCTGATATCGGAGGAGAGAGTAAGTCTGAAGCTGAGGACGAGGTAGGCCTTTAATACAAGGACGGGGCGGCACAGCCCTGCCGGAGGCTACAAGATCAAGCTAGGATCAATCTTTCAGAACAGGCCGGACAGGCTGACAGGCAATGGCGGAAGCCGTCTGTTCCCATGGCCCACGCCCACAAGCTGCCGTGTATCTAAATGTGGATGAAGCTAAAATGGCGGTGGTGCCGGGCCATGACGAGATTGTGCTGACGCGCCGTGCCTTGCCGGCGATGTCTCATTGGAAAATTTATTGGGGGACTCGAGAGCGGGCGTTTAAGAGTGCCGTGAGGCAGATTTCCTGTACAGGTTACAAGAATAGACAGTCATCATGAGAGCATTCCTGGCGACGCCTCTCGTGTGTTGCATGAAGGCTTCCCTGCCTCAACCTGTTGGCCGTTGACTGGACATTGCGGGCGGTGCCGGATGGCTTCGGATATGGGCAGCACTCGCTACATCTTCATTGTGTCCGATGCGTTTTTCTAAAACGAACCGGTAGTGTGTCCGTAGTCCGTTCCGTGGCGAGTCCGGTTGTCTCTGGCGTATTCCAATCACGAAACAAACAAAGTCAGACTTCGGATGCATGACTGCATCGAACCCCCGTCGCCGCAGACTAAAATTGCTTGCTCTGTGTCCGTAAGGCTCGGAGAGATCGGACCAGCTTGGTTTGTCACCGGGCTGAGAACAGGTGAGATGTGTGAAAAGGCCCCAAGATCTGTTTTTTTCTTGGTGCCTTGTCAGCTTTTCGGCCTAGAATAGCACGGCAGGTTTGGCAGGTAGGATCTCACCTGAGGGTACCTCAGTAAGTTCGGCGGAGGGTGGCATCCCGAAGCTGATGCTCCCCCACTAATTCCCAATGTACACCGGGCGCGCCGCGCTGGGAATTGCTTCAAAATCGATCGCGCCGTGCTGGGAATTGCTTCAAAATCGATCGCGCCGTGCCGGGAATTCGCGCCCGCTGGAAATTGCTGCACCGCTGGAAATTGCGGGAATTGCTTCACACAATTGCACGGGCGCTGGAAATTGCCGAAACAATTGACTAATCCCGTCAGATCGCCACAGCGCCTGGGGCAGGCAGGCTGGCCAACAAAAGTGCCCTACGCTGGTGAGCTGGCGTTAGTAGGTAGTCGTGGTCAGCAGCATCCGCTGTCGGCCCAGGGCTGGGCTGTGTTGCACGTCGATACATGCATACTCCGTGCATGGCGCCCATGTGTCGTGGTGACATGATGCGACAGGAAACAGGGGAAAGAACGTCATCGTAACTTGCCGAGTAGTCTCCATTATTCACTAATAAATAAGCCTTGTGCGACGGCGTCAGCGGGCAGAGTCATATTCTGAGCCGTGGCAACCGCTGCTCGGCATTCGCCGTACAAGGACTTGCGCCTGACACAGGAATTGGACTTTCGTGCTGACTGTCCGGTAATGACCGCTTCATGAAAACATCACTATTTGTCGATGAATGCAGTAGCATCCTTCCTCGCGATCCTTCAGTTGGAAGAATACGCCCCCGCCCGCCACTTATGTAAGCTGTGTCGTTGTATGAAGACTCCCACCGTCACAAAAACAGGTCACAATGAGGCAACGGTGGGTATGAGATGCAGTCACAGTCAAGTCCCAATTGGTGTCTCACCCGCACCTCACGTTTGCGCCCGCCAAAGGATCGGAGGCTTCCACTGCGAGGGGCGGTCACGGGTCGGGCCATATGCATGTAAGCTCCTGCCAGTCACACGCAATGTAGCCTTCACCGCCGACGCTTAGTAAATGGCCGTAGGCTGACTAGTTATACGCGGGCGGCAACGTTGCTGACGGGCGTTGGCCAGCTGAGGCGGTTCGCCGCGATAACTCCTGCTCGTATATGTAGGCGACTGGACTTGCTCGTTCATATGGCGGTGGCCCCAACAGTATATTGGCCTCATGCGGCCAGAATAAGTGTCCACAGTGAATCCTTCCTCGCAACAGAGACGGAAGTAGCGGTGCGAGTATAATTTGGATTTTATTCTCTGCTCCAAGCGGGCTATCAGCGGATGTTTCGCTGGTACTCGTATCCGAAAGACTGTCCGAGAAATGAAATGACTTGGTTCGTCCCCTCGCTGTTCACCTGAGCGAGAGTATAAGTTCTAGGAGCACTAGTTCCGTAACCGCCAATCCATACTCAACGGCTATGAGCTCTTGGCGCCACTCTCTAGACGTCAAGGGGAGAGTTGGGATGAAAATAACAGTCACTTTGCGCACTCGCTGCAAGACTTCGGTCAACCTCGGTATTGTGCATTCAAACCCTGGTCGTTTTAGAAACGAATGCTGCAAGTCTCGCTGAACACGGGCACATTGAGATTGTAAACGCTTTTTATGTGATGTGTCAAGATTTCTTGGCGAACTACTACCAAGTGCAGCTCTAGACGGCACAAACAGTCCTAACAGCATACTGTGTAATTCGTACTCTGCATCTTATTATGTATACAAGTTCAACACCGAAGAGCGTGACATTTGAGCAGCCGCGCGTAAAATGTAAGATAAGGTCGCTCAATCCGGTTAATTTATACGGCTCCTAACAGGACGGGTTCACTGTAAGCTGACAGGACTAGTCAAAAACAAGGCAGCAATCCAGCTCAAAGATGAATAACTAGGCAAGTCGTCATTGTTACATGGTAACTGTTTTCTATCGCTTCGGCTATTTTCGCCTGCCACGTCTTGTAACGGTGTAAATGCATCTAGCGTCATTTATAGTGATGGGTTTACATGGACACGACGCCAACATAGGTAGTGCTAGTGACTATCACCAATCGTCGAATCGACTAACAACACGCTTTAGGACAAGGAAAATCAGACTCTGCATGATCAGAAATGAATCTGCACGTCCTTGAGAACATTTGACTGTCGTTTTCGCACGGCAAATTTTAAGCGCGTACGAGTAGGTGTGTACCCCAGTGGCGAGCAAAGTGGTGGTGGGCTGCCTCGCCCAACCCGATATTAGAGCCGCCTGCCACGCGGGGCGAGTGCTGCTTCCCAGCACACACGCGACTTCGTCAACCGCACACACCAACACAAATTACCACTGCCATCGCGATGGACGTTTCGGCGCCGACTATTCCTGCGAGGAAGCAGGCTTTCATCACAGCGCAAATTACTCTGCTCTCGCAGCCTGTTGCCCCGTCGCGCGCCTGGCGCGCCACAAACGACGCGTCCAACACGCCCATCCGACGACGTATGGTGGACGATGCCGTCTTTGAGTTCAACCGCATCGTTGACGAGCACTGCCAACGCGCATATGCGCCTCAGGCCAGCCGAAATCTAGCGGAACGGATCAGCACCATCTACATTGGACAGATGGACCGCCGAGAAGGCGGCGCAGATGACGTCGATGGAGGTGTTGGCAAGGAGGTAGATTTGGGTGCGTCTCACGCAAACACTAACTCGATTGCTTTTGCTAACTTTTTTTTTTCTCACTTCGTTTCAAAAGCCAACGATGGCACCATTGAGTCACTCCCCGTTTCTTGGCCGTCGGAAGAAGAAGCTGTAGCCAAACCCGAGGACGCGCAAACGTACGCCCGGTCCGTCTCCCGCCTGGCCGAGCTCAGCAAGGAGCGGCAGCAGGTCCAGCTCCGCATGGAAAAGCTCCGGCGGCTACAGTCCGCGATTCAACCGCTGCGCACATCGGAGTCGGGCAAGGGCGTACAAGAAAACTTGGTCACCCGCGCGGGGGCCATGGAGAGGGAGCTGGAAAAGATGCGCGACCTGCTTGGTCGCGTAGCTGGCCGTGTTGACCGCCTTCGAGATGCGAGCGCCAATGCACGTTCGAGAGATTTAGTGGATGTGGACGAGCTGCGGACATCGAGGAAGAGGGCTGTGGATGATTTCCTCGCCGATTCCAAGGTGTTTCCGGGCTGAGCCTCACAACCGCAGACACCCGTTGCTAGAGCGTGAGTTTATATTCTTCCGGCGAGCGCTTTCGCAGCCATCTGATCATTTCACCAGCCGGTGACAGATGCCGGCGCCCTCCGCTGTCCGGGACCCTGAAGAAAGACGCCGACCGCCTCGCAAGAATCACGCACTTCTGCACGGCTGAAACCGCTGGCTGGTTTGTGTTATGCATAACAACCATGTGGTGTCACCGAAGCGGACGCGACGCAGTATAAGACCAGGCGCCATGCTCGTTCAGCTACGATGCAGACGGCGACAGGCAGTGGCAAAGAGTACGATTTTAGCGGACGGAGGATTCCGATGAACCCTGAATGCAAGGGTTCCGACGCATTCCAATGCAATTCATATTAGTGGCGTCGAATTCAATACACGCTTGGTCGTTTGTGGCGAGGTTTAGCGAGCGCAGTCGTGGCCGGCTTCTGTCCTCCAATTAGCGTCGCTCGCGCCATCCACGTCCTTTGCGAGCCAAGAGGTATCCAGTTCTAAAACGGAGGGTCAAAGACATGTTATCCGCCGTCCCGTGGGTAAATATAAGCCTACACTTCCCATCTCTCTTTTGCGACTATTCTTTTGGCCCCCCAGATCAAGCACTCTATCAACAGCGCAGTAGCGGGTGAGTACGAGCGACAATCACCGCGGTCATCCCATCACAGCTCCCGCGCGACGAGCCAAAGCGGCGCCAACACGGCTTCGGCTAGTCGTCGACTGCAGGCTGGCAGATTTCGAGTACGTGCATAAAGGAAAACATCACCGCAGTTCAGTGGGATGTATGTTTTCACGTCATTTTTCATTGATGGTGCGCCCTGACATGTCATGCAACATGGTGGAAGCAACTATCAGCTAACTAACCACCAAGCCACAGACACAGCAGCATCACCATATGACAGCAGTGCCCTTGTATTGCCTCCCGGCCAGCGTGGCCAGCATACATAGACACGCTAATGATAACCCTCTTTTCGCGGACTCGGGAGCTTTTTAAAACTTTGTTCCCAGTTTACCGTTCCGAGGCTTATCAAAGCTTATGCTGACCTTTTCGCTTACGCTGGTCCGTCGTTCGTCGCCGATCGCCAACACCTGAACACTTGCACCAACCCCTCCCCCATTCCTAGATTTCGGAATCCCTGTCGGTCTCCTGGATGTGTTCTCTGGCACAAGAAAATATATGAATAATATATATATCACTTCGCCCGGCTGTCGTCTCGCGTCTCCGACGTCTGTACGCCCCCATCATTTCGCCAAACCCCCTGTCAGCTGCGTCTCTATCGTATCACCCGCCTCACGTCTCGGCATTCTATTTCCATCTCACGAAATTATCGGCTACTTATCTCAGCTCTCAGGCCTCTCGCCAGCCCACATTGTCCGCTATCGCTGCCTTTCCAGCTATCACTCCCGATATATTGGTGCCAGATTCGGGCGCCAGGGACTCCGCATTTCGTTCAATTGGTGTTACACGGAATTATTTTTATATTCTTGTGTGGGATACCCGATCAAATTGCTCATCGGACTTCTCTTTTGTCATACATTGACTCCCGTGCTTCCCCACGCGTTATCCGGACATCTGCCTCGGCATCGCTTATCGCTCGCTTGTCACCTGCATATCAGCTTATCTTCATATTGAGGCCTATTTACGCAAAGAACTTCATTTCGATTCCCTCTCAGTTCGAAATAGAAGCCCCAAGATGGCACTCAACGGCCCGGGTATCACCTTGCGAAAAGCTACCGACGAAGGCGAAGATGTGGCCGATTTTCATGACAACAGACTCCAAGAGGGTTGGAAAGAATGGCCCAATGAATCTGGTGTAAGTGTTATTTTATGGAATTATTTCTTATGCTTACATCTTACTTCCAGTTTGAAGGACTTGAAGAGCACCGTGGCCCTATTGAGCTAAAAGTCAGAGGTTCAATTCCAGCATGGACTGCCGGCTCTCTTTACCGTACCGGTCCCGGTCAGAGTTCTGTTGAGACCGATAGCAAAGGCACCTACAACATCAGCCACTGGTTTGATGGTCTAGCACACAGTCACAAGTTTGACATTACGCCACCGAGCAAGCCGGGTGGTCGGACATCAGTCGTATATTCTTCTCGGCGGCAATCTAAGAGACTAGAGCAGCACATCAAAGAAACAGGGAAACGAACTACTCCCTCATTTGGCCAGCGCGCTGATCCATGTATGGGCATTTTCTCAAAGGTCATGGGTGTTTTTGCTCCCCGTGATCAATACAATAACAATGTTGTGCTGCTACCCAACTTCCCAGGCATCGATAAGGACCGCAAACCTACAGAACAGACTGGCCCCCGGCTTGGTTTAGACAATCTGTACATTAGCACCGATACAGCTGGTTTGCAAAAGATTGACCCCCAAACTCTTGAGCCTCTGGGGTATACCGATCAGTCAAGCCTGCACCCGGACCTGAAAGGCCCGCTCTCATGCGCACACGCGCAGCGGGATCCCGAAAACGGCGACCTGTACAACTACAATCTCGAGTTTGGGCGGTTCGGTACTTATCGGCTTTTCCGCGTCAATGCTTCCACGGGCAAAACAGAAGTGTTTGCTACGGTGTCGGAGCCGGGCATAGCTCCAGCTTATATTCACAGCTTCTTCCTGACGCCAAACTACATGGTGCTGTGCATCCCCACTACGCATCTTGGGTGGAATGGTACCAAGATATTATGGGAGCAGAGTGTTCTTGAGGCCATACGACCGTTTGATGAAAATACTCCGTGCCGTTGGCTCGTCGTCGATCGCAAAGGAAGCCGTGGCGTTGTTGCCCGCTTTTCCACACCCGCGTCCTTCTTCTTTCACTCGGTCAATTCATTCGAGGAGATAATTGAAGATGAGAATAATGAAAAACGCACTGATATTTCACTGGAGTATGTTCGTTATGACAACACAGATATCCTCAAGGGCCTTTACTATGACGTGGTTGCGGACCGAGACGACGCAGCAAAAAAGTTCTTCTTCACTGATGAACGTTACAAAAAGGGCCACGTCCGCCTCGTGCGGTATCGCTTTCGCCTGCCCCGTGACGGCACTCTGCAAACCAAGGAGGAAGCCGAAACTGCCACCGGCGAGGAGGTGCTTTCCATACCGGCTCCGCACTCTGGCGACCTACCGATTATCAACCCACGAATGGTGCATAAGCCTCACCGCTATGTATACGCCGTGACCGGTCGCGGTATCAGCTCGTTCTTGGACTGTCTGGTCAAGACGGACGTGCAGACGCGTGAAGCCCTCATCTGGTGTGGAGAAAAGGGACATACTCCTGGGGAGCCTGTGTTTGTGGAAAGACCGGGAGCGACAGAGGAGGATGACGGTGTGCTGTTGAGCGTAGTGCTAGACGGTTTCTCCAAGACATCGTATCTGCTGTGCTTGGATGCGAAGTCGTTTGAAGAGGTAGGCCGGGCAGAGGCAGATTTTCCGATTGGGTTTGGCTTTCATGGACATTACCAGAGCCAGCTGTGAACAGGCCGAAGGATGAGATGCTTCAATTTCGCTCCGTGGGATATATTTTGACATGAAAAGTCGGTGGATTTCGAGCATTTATGCGTTAAGCTGCATTGATGGATTTGAATAGTGAAATCCAACAGTTTTTAGAGCTTCGTATACGACAGAAACGGCAGGACAGGATAGAAAACTGTTAGGTTCCGCCCAAACATGAGTCACATTACTACTCAGTATCACATTTAGCATTGAGTCTATGTATATGCCATCGTTCGTGATCAAAATATCCGCCACAACGAATCTGATGGCTTTCCAAACTTGAACTGCCCATACCAGCGGCATAGTGGCCACATGATGAGCAGACAGAGCGCCCAAACGCCGAAAAAGCCGAATACGCTATCAATGACTTTATTCGATATCAGCCCCGTTGACGGCCCCTCTTGGTCAGTGTCGTGACCAAAGAGGGCGCACATGATCCCGCCCGTGAGAAACACGACGGGCATGTGCACCACATAGAAGAAGAGCGACGTCGTGCCAAAGTCGAGGACGACGCTGAGCCACCTCTTCGCAAAGGCGACTGGAATCTGCTGCAGACCTGCCAGCAGGAAAAAGTTGGCCGCCAGCGTGAGCGCCCAGAAGGCCACGTCCGGCGGGTACTTGATGGTGTAGAAAAAGGCCGCGGGCGACACGAGGTACTGGTTCGTGTCCGGACGCGCCATGTTCTCGGGCGTCTGCAGGCAGTGCTCGGAGAGGTTGCCAAAGTGCAGCAGCCGCGTGAGCACGAAGACGACGGTAAAGACGAGGCCGGCGCCGACGTGGTAGAGCAGGCTGCGGGTAGATGTCCGCGCCCCGGAGCGCACGACGATGCGGCCGTAGAGGACGCCGACAATGGCAAAGGACAGCCACGCGAGCGGGGGGAAGACGGACAGCACGCCGGGACCGCTGGTTTCCCAGAACCAGAGGCGCAGCCACCAGTACTTGTCCATCTTTCGGTCATCCCAGCCGGGCGCGCGGCTCACCGTGACAGCGGCGCTATCAAAAATGTCAGACTTTGTGACGGCGCATTGGCCGTGGTTTTGCGAAAGCCAAATATTCCAGAATATGGCGACCACGCTGAAAATGACAAGAAGGACGTTATGTAAATGCCAGGAAATGCTCGCGGCCTTTTCCTCTGCGCGGCTCCTCTGTGGCCGGCCGGCTTGTAGCAGCGGCTGCTCGGCGTCCGAGTCGCTGTCCTGCGTGCACGCCGCCGTCTCGTCAAGGACGGTCGCGAGCCGGCCGGTGAGCCAGCCCTCCGCCTCATCCACGGCGAGCCAGACGAGGCCGGCGAGAAAGTAGTCGACAGCCAGCGCAAAAAGCACAATGTTGAGGAACCAGAGCTGGCCGCCCGTCAGCACGAGGCTGTGCGCGACCATGACGAGCGCGAGCACGGCCATGCGCAGCGCATAGTAGCGCAGTAGTCGGGCGGCGGCCCAGCCCTGGCGGCGGCCGCGCGCGCGGCCCAGGTACACGACACCCATGCCGAGCAGCAGCGTGAAGCCCGGCGCGCAGAGGTGGGTGAGCGAGCGCACGAGGTAGCCCGCGGGGCGGTTCCACGAGGTGACGGGCACGCCGTCCTGCTCGGCGTGGCGCCCGAGACCGTGCTCCCACGGCCGCAGCGCGATGCCGAGGTGGTCCATGGCCATGAACATCATGAGCAGCCCGCGGAGCAGGTCTGGGCCGAGGACCCGCGCGGGCGCCGCCGGCAGCTTGCCGGTGCTGTGCTGGGTCGTGGTCCCCGCGTGGCCGTTGGGTGCTTCATGTCGGATCGCGTGGTAGCTTGGGAAGGAGTTGTAGTGAGGCGCCTTGCTTCGGTGCTGGGGTGATGCTTCGGCGGGTGAGGGCTCGCGAGGGACTGTGTGGCTGGCGGCGGTAGCGGCGGCGGCCGAGGAGCCGTTGCCGGCAGGCCCGTTGGGGGACATGCGCGGCAACTTGCGACAACGTGGTTGAGAGTCGCGCGCGGTAGGCTGGGGTGCGAGGTATGCGTTGGAATCGGTACTTTGTGGTCAAGTTGCTATTAGTACTCGGTATTGAAAATAGTGAGAGGATTTAAATTTGCATTCGTCGCGAGGAAGAATTGATCCAGCGGACTTTGGAGCATCTCCGCAGCCAGCTAACTGGAGCCACTAAAATAGGCGAGGTGGGTAAGGGAAGGACTTTGCCCGAAGAAGTCTTGATTTGTAACAGTAGCTGAACTAGCTGAGTTGGATTTCACCCAATTGATTTCTGGCTTCGTCCCTTCTAATTAATACATGGCTGATTATTTACGTGCTGCGGCTGTTCTTCATATCCTGCTCCCAGGAGCGTTTGATCTCAGCCAGGAACCGCTCGTCACGCAGCACATCAATGGCTACGCCAGCGAGACCTTTGCCGACACGCAAGGCGCGGGCATACGATGCCTTGGTGCCGGCCGACTTCGCAAAGCCCGGGTTGTGCGGGCCCTGGCCGCCCGGGCCAGCTTCGATCGCGTACATGGGACTGATGGAGGGGATGGCGTGGGACACATCGCCCTGGTCGGTGCTGGCCTGGGTCTTGCCATTGGCCGCATCCTTGTCGGCATCTGTCGCGATCACATGGTCCTTGCCCAGGCCGTTGTAGTAGCGGGTAAACGCATCGGCCATGGGCCCGTTGGAGATGTGGTTCTTGTAGGCGGCGAGGTCGGTGATGGCGACCCGCGCGCCGGTGGCAAGCGCGCCGGCCTGGAAGCAGCGGATGACTTGGGCGCGCAGCGTCTCGAGGCGCGGGGCCGAGTCGGCGCGCACGGTGAACTCGCCGGCGGCGTACTTGTGGATAATGTTGGTCGCGTCGCCGCCGTGGGTGATGTAGCCCTGGATGATCTCGCCGGGGACGGTCTGCTGCCGGAGCATGGAAAAGTTGGTGTAGCCCTGGACCATGGCATCAAGGGCGTTGATGCCAAGCCACGGGTTCGCGGCCGCGTGAGCGGCGACGCCGAAATACTCAACCTTGAAGGTGGAGATGGCCGTCGTGCCCATGCGCGCCGACGACGGCTGGATGTTGGGGTGGGAGATGAGGCTGAGGTCGACCTTGTAGTCTTTGTACGCGCCGGCTTCGAGAAGTTTGACCTTGCCGCCGCCGTCTGATCTTGTCAATACGGGAAACGTGCAGGTTTGGTCAAGGGCTGCGTACTCTCCTCGGCGGGTGTTCCGTAGAGGACAATTTTGCCGGGAAGCTTCTGGGCCGCCATGACGCGCGCGGCGGCGCTGGCTCCGACGACCGACGACGTTGCAATCAGGTTGTGGCCACAGGCGTGCCCAATTCCGGGCAGGCTGTCTAAATGTTCAATATTAGCATCCGAGATCTCTCAGAGTTGCCAGCGCAATGCGCACCATATTCAGCATTGAATGACACAACGGGACCAGGGGCACCACTATCAAACTCGGCAATCCACGCAGTCTCTAGGCCATAGACGGATCTCTTGACGTTCCATCCGGGCTGTGTTTCCATAAAGGCTGTGAGGACGTCGTGGGCGAGGAATTCGTGCCAGGCGAGCTCTGGGTTGTCGTGTATCCGCTGGTTGACGGGCCAAAAGTCGGTGCCAACGGCCTCGGCTGCCGTGTCAATGTCGACGAGCGCTTCTGGGACCCTGTCAATTTGCATTCCGTCAACGGTTTCAGCTGGATGCCAAGATCAAAAACCGTTCAAGGTTCAGTGTTACAGGTGACAGTGCTGAGGGAGGGCCAGGGCCTGGTTGTTGAAAGTGTTCTAGGCCCGGAGTTGCGGCGGGGAACCTCATCGCGGGGCCTAATAAGTCGCCGCAGGAGCTGCAGCTACAGAGCGTAACAAGAAATCTGCAGAGGGCGCAGGCGGAAGCCCGGGGTAAATAGTGCAGATATTAAAACCGAAAGAAGCACGGATAGCCATGTAAATCGTCTAATCTTGTCGTCTCTTTTCTCGGTGGCGAGTCAAGCTTCTGAATTAAGAAAGATGTTCCCAGTAATGCCGCGCATCTTGGGCCGAGCGCAAGCCACGGACAGACAGCGTGAACTAGACCTGTCGAGGGTCCATTTGCGGTTGCGCTTTGAGGCAACCAGTCCGTATGATCATGTTCCTTGTTATTCTTATTCATTTCCTGGTGATGAATATGCTGTTCTTTAGCCTTGCTATTATATTACTATTTCGTATCTTTGTCCTTTTATTTCCTTGCGCTTTTCCTCTTGGTTGATACAGTGCCCAGACGACCAAGTTTCTGTGGCCATTTTCTGTCACTGTACTCATGTCCTCATTTATGATGGACTTACCCCTTACATGATATCCACATATAACCAACTCATTAATAATAAATGGACGGATCTTCCTCCTGGTATGTACATAGTGGTGTCGGCAGATGATTCCGGGTTCGGCAGCAAGGCGGCAACAACCCGCGTTGGAGAGTGATCAGCACAGCGACGGCACGTGGTAATCGATTTGGGGCATGGGTGGCATGCGCATTCAATTAAATGAAATTAAAAATGGCCAATAAATTCAGCCCTGTTGGTTTTAGTCATTTTGGTCTGTCAGCAACTGTCAGCGGGGTTTGGCGACTGTCAGTCCGTCTGTCACTGTCAGTGTCAACAGTCAACTGCTAGCTCAGTCAACTGCTAGCTCAGTCAACTGCTAGCTCAGTCAACTGCTAGCGGCAAACGGTCAACTGTCAGATGCCAATCACCTCTGTAAAATTACCTGACCAACCACCTCCTTAGTTTATCGTAATAGTCAGACCAATACCCGGACGCCATCTACCCATTTACCGCGGAATGCGTGACTTTTATCCCAGCGAAAGTTATAGTGTTATAGTGGGCATGCCCCCCGGACACTCACGGTGTTCCAGAAGCAGCTGTCAGACATTTTGGCCGCTCCGGAAACCGGAAACGGGCCGCTCGGACGAAATCCTGCCCGGAGAAAAACATGATATTCTGTAGTTACTACCTAGTTAGTTACCCTAGTAGACTTGTAATACCGGCCGCAGCATCTGTCACCAGCATCCTCGATCCCAAAAATACGGATAGCTGTCGCACTTTTGCGCTCAACAATCCTAGCCCTTGTGGCGCGTCTCAGCCATGTCGCTGGTCATGGGTCACGCCTAATACGTTTCCCAACTAACTACCGTGCTGAGCTAGTGAACAAATGGTTGCCATCCATCCCGCCGACAAGCCTTTTGCCTTTTCAAACAACTCCAGACGGAACCTTTGCGCTGCGCCACGAGAGAACCGTCCCAGCTCTTGCCCCCTCGAACGATAGACCCGCGCGTCAAGTCTTGGCATCGAAACTGTTTTTGTTTATCCTGTCCTACACCCTCCATGACAGAGAGCCAGCACCAGGCGCCGCCATCACCAACTCGTCATCCCCCGCAGACGCCGCCGCCGCGGGGCTACCCCAATTCATGTTTGCCTCCCGACTGAATCTCTCCTCTGTCAAAACCTCGCCTCGCTGCACCCATCCAAACCAGCATTCGCCATGTCGCCGGATACCCCTTCGTCCTCCTCCTCCTCCTCTTCCTCGAGCAGCTCGTCGGCGTCGCCAGAGGGCAGCGACTCCGCAGCGAGATCAAGCGACACGTCCGTCGCCACCAGCTCGCATGGCGGCCGCCAACCTCTGAGCCGACGAGGTCATTTCAAGTCGCGCATGGGATGCTTCAATTGCAAGCGACGCCGTGTCAAGTGCAACGAGCTACGGCCCCAATGCTCGCCCTGCCGTCGTCTCGCTCTCGACTGCTCCTATCCACCAACGCCTACTCCCGCCGCGAGTGCCATACGCTCCAATCCATCCATGCTTTCCATGGAAGATCTCCGCTTCTACCATCAATTCATCACCACAGCCATCCCTCCCCTCCCGCTGAAAGCGGATAGGGGCTGGATGGATTGTGCCGCCATGTCTCACGAGGTGCGTCAAGTAATCCTTCGCGCTCAGCTGCCTGCAACCACTGACCCAAAGTAGTATGATTTTCTCGCGCACGCTGTTCTCGGCCTCGGCGCTTCTCATCTCACAAGCCATACCAATGCCGACTTCACCTCACAAGCGCTACAGCACCGGCTCGTGGCAATCAAGCAGGTCAACGAGCAGCTCAGTAACCCACCCTCGAGTCAGCAGGCCTTGGACGCTATCCTCGCCGCGCTCTTTTGTCTCATCACACAAGCCTCGCTCATTGACGATGGCCTCGCCGATTACATGACCATTATTCGTGGCGGTCATCTCATCGTCATCATCATCATCGGTGACATGTCCAACTCTGTTTTTCCCGGCTTTACAGTGGAGGGACACGACAGGTTGTCGGCTGAATTGTCACGAGAAGACCAGCGAGATGATATGACGGACATGAACGAATTTTCATTTTCGCTGCGCATGCTGGAGCCTTTGTTACAGGCCCCCTATGAACACAGATATTACGGCATGATGTCGCAGATACCTCCTGCCATGCAACGATCCTCTTTACAAGGTAAGGCGCTACGCCATCCTTCTTTCTTTCACTATGCCAGCGCTAACAAGTCAGCGTGGATGATGTTTTCGAACCTCTTTCGATTTCCGGCTACATTTAGCAATGAAGAGTTCCTCGAGCTGGTCAATCCTGAAAACTACGGGTCCCGGCTCCTGCTAATACACATGTTCCTCGTCGATTATGTGATTGCTGCAATATGCCTCTCCCCCGACACGCCCATCAGAGCCCCTGCGCGAAAACATGTCATCATAAGGTGGGCGAGGAACACAACCTCGACTATACCGCATGAATACAAGCGGTACACGACGTGGATCGACAATTACTGCGACAAATTGGAGCAGACTACTGATTGTCGCCACCTTTTTACACCCTGACAGCCTCAGGAAGCAAGGTCGCATGAAGCGCCCGTGGTACCTACCCGTTGATTTATCACTATATAATAACCAATTCCCTACATGCTCGGTCTGCGAAATGCTGCCGGGGCTTTATCAACTCGCTGTGCGAGGTCAGTGCAGTGTCAGCACAAGGTCAGCGCCAGAGTCGCGTCTCACCTACATGGGCATACGTCTGGAAAGCAGCACAGACAATAACACACATGACGAAGAAATATTAGACCTTGGATGTAAGAAATATTTTTTTTGGCTGTATATTACACGAATAAATGAATCGGATTTTGATCATTGCGTACCCCCCTTCGCCAGATCTTCCATCGCTGTAGGCAAGCCGGTCTGTGCCGGTCCATGGACCGCTCCGTAGTTATTAGTATTGTCAAAGCACGAGCAGGCACCTCTACAGAACTTCATGAAAACTACCTCCTACATACCTATACCTATCCATCTATGTCTTTGCAGAATGAACCATTGAATCCAATATCCACTTCACCCCGGCTTCAGCCCACTGTACCCACCACCAGCGGGGCGAGCCAGGGCACGCACCGTGCGGTCCTCCACCAATACGGGTCTGACCGCAGCATTCATAAGAGCAAATAAGAAACCCGCCGCCATCAGCATCCAACAGTTCATCTGAAGGGCGCATGGTTTGGTGGTCTAGTGTAAGTAAAATCGACCTTGAGTCAACACGATCAGCGGCTAATAACCATCCAGGGTATGATTCTCGCTTAGGGCCTTCACCCTGAGTCAAATATGCGAGAGGTCCCGGGTTCAATCCCCGGCCAGACCCTTTTTTTTTGCCGTTTTCTTCGATTTTGGAAGTAGGCGATGGTGCTGGAGACTGAACATTCTTTTGGACGAGGTTCGGATTTGGATATGCGGTTATGCAGGCTTTTATTTTTTCTTGAAAAGTGGAAATGGGAAGTGTCTGTGACAGTGAAATGCATATTTCCTGTAAAGTGTAAATGTGGCTGCCTAGTTTTCGGTTGGCGGCCTGCATTGTGTAAGTGGCCTACTAGTCAGTATCGGAAGTTTCAGCGTACTTTGCCTTGTTGGTATAATTCCCCATATAATAGTTTCTATTCTTCAGATATAAAGCTATCATTCAGGAGACGCTTCTCTTTATTGTTGGCGCAAGTGGCTACTGGTATTGGTTGTACGTACAGTATATTTCAAACCTCATTAGCCAGCTGTTGGGTGATGACAAGATGGCAAAAGTCGATTAACGGCTGTGGATTCATTTTGCCACTGGCAGACTTTAATATTTAGTTGGATTTGTAGGATAAAAATAATAAAATACCGCTGCCGCCCTTCTTCCATTCTTCGATATTCCTTCCAACTCAAACCATCATCCTCAGATTTCCAAAGGAGCTTGCAACTCAAACCACACAGGCCGTACTACTCTCACTTATTTCTCGCAACTCTGACTATACCTTGATGCCAATACCAATTTCAGAGGCACAATAAAAGCGCAAAATGAAAACCTCCGTCGCTACTGCCACTCTCGCGGCTCTCACAAGTGCTGACCCCTCTACCTTCGTCAAAAACACCTTCTCTACTGTCTACACCACAGCTTCTCCAATAGTCACCCCTTCTCCTCCTGTTATGCTCAAAGAGACCTCTTCCCGTCTCTTTTTTGACTCCGCCACTATTTCTCAGTCAGATGCAGTCAGCCCTCGCCTCCAGGACAGAGCCATCTCCTGGCCTTCCAGCTTTGAGCAGTTCGGCAAGCCTACGCATACGCCCACGACCTCCTCAACTGCTCACTGCAAATCCCGAGCCGACCAATGGCCTAGCGTCTTCGAGCAGTTCCCTTCTAAGTCCGGGAACAAACCCGAACATAAGTCTCAGACGGCTACTAAGCCCCCCTTCATTCCGGACCCCAACTGCGCGCACCCTCCGCATATCTTCATCCCACCTCCCTCCATTCCAGATCCTTGGGGCGCGCACCCAGAGCGTATCTCCGTCACGTTTACTACCAGCGCCGAAACTCCAGCAACTACTACTGCCATTGACATCACCACTGCTATTGTTGGGGCTTCGGAGCAGGCTCACACAACAGTTCGGGGTGCAACGATGCCTTCTGACGGTGGCTGGGAGTAATATACAGGAGTTTCCTGTACGTGAGTTACTACAAAGGGGGGGGGGGGGGGTTGAGAATTCACTGATATATTAATCATCTGGACAGCGAATGAAAACCCGAAAGAGGGTCAAAGACGAGAGACGAAATTTGAGCCGTAGTCATTGGATCCCGTGGGACTCGGCGTGAAGCACGCAAGTCGCTACCCCGGAATTATTCTTTCAATCTGTATGGTCCTGCTCCTAGACCCAGCGCAATATATCTTATAGCCACCCAACTCCAGCTTCGACCATGGTTAGCCCCATGTCGGTCATAGTCGTATATGTTGGCAGAAGCAATCCTCCGTGGCTCTCAGCCACGTGAGAGTTCCCAGCCCTCTGCATCTTCAGGCAGTATAGCGGCCACAGTACGCATACAATAGCAATTGCAGTCAATCTATCAGTTCTCTCTCACTCGCTTACACCACTGTGCTCAGTCACCTCAACGACAGGATCTTGCTCTGTACCGTCACAACATGCCACGTGGTAAATAACCACAGAGCACTGCCAGCAGCATCATGACCACTATCAGATCTGCGGACATGATAAGACATCTGTTTTTTTTTTTTTTGAGGCTACAAATTCCTGGAAATTGTATTTCAAGGCCGAGCACGTCAATAGAATTGCTAATCGCAACAGTGACACTGCGGTATGCCGAAGCAATGAGCAGTTCGCAGTTGGAATTGTGATAACAGAGTAATGACCTTAATAGTTTTCATGCAATCTTTCGAATAGGATATCAACAATCTGTTAAGGTTGCCATAGAGGAGATATGACAACTCAGATAACAAGAGACCCAAGACTCTGTGACGAAGAGGAAGCCCCATGCCAGAGGTCAAGATCAGGACAGAATTGAGCACCAGCGAGAATAGCACAAGTAGTACACAGGATACGATAAATATACCCCAAGCCCCCGGTAATTGTTTTTTACGCGTCCAGAAATGAAAGGTCATGCAATGAAACTAAGGTGACATCTCGAGAATGTTGGCGGGTGACGGTCAGCGCCAGCTGCAAACCGTTATTGCTTCTCAATTATTTGCTGCGACTCCTTGAATAGACGCCGCCATTAGGTCTGCCCGTTGTGTCACTCATGTCTTAGCTGCGCCAACATGATGCCCTCGCAATAATCTGTACTATGATTCACTCTTCTGAAGCGATACCCTGAATGACAGAGTACAATTTTAGACTCTAGGCGCGTATTCAAGCCAGGTCCCAGCAAGTAAGTGTTCGCTTTCCCCTTTTTGGCATTTTCTTCTTCAATTTACATGGACATCACATCACACCACTACACCGCCACAATTGGGCATCATATTTCATGCGTGGCTGATGCACAGTCGCCCAACCACTAACTAATATTAGGTAGCCTCCAGTGCAGTCCATTACTCCACACGGCTGCACAGCCACAGTTGACGCACCTGTTTAGCCCAAAGCTCCAAGTCCAAGGACATGCTTCATCTCCAACTCCCACACCCAACGATGGCCAGCCCCCCAATGCAGCTGGAAGATTGTGAGCAAAACCTGTCGTCGGCCTTTGCGCCTCTCGTCATAGCTAATGATGTACCTTTCCAGGGCTTGATGACCTCTGCGTGAGGTTCATCATCAATCTTCCGGAAGAAGACTTGTCGTCCGTCGAGCGAATATGCTTCCAAGTCGAAGAAGCCCAATGGTTCTACGAAGATTTCATCCGACCGCTGGATCCCTCCCTGCCATCCATGCCCCTGCGCAGTTTCTTCCTGCGCATCTTTCAACACTGCCCTCTACTCCAGTCCTTTTCTGCCAAAGATCACCTGGCCGCGTTTGACAACTTCCTCCAGTACAAGACGCGGATCCCGGTCCGCGGTGCCATCCTGCTCAACCATGACATGGATTCGGTGGTGCTCGTCAAGGGCTGGAAAAAAGGCGCCAACTGGAGTTTTCCCCGTGGCAAGATCAACAAGGATGAGGACGACCTAGATTGCGCCGTGCGCGAGGTGTACGAAGAAACCGGCATGGACCTACGCGCCCATGGTCTCGTCCCCGCCAACGGCAAGACAAAACACATTACAATCGTGATGCGCGAGCAACAACTGCGACTCTACGTCTTCCGCGATGTCCCCATGGACTACAACTTCCAGCCGCAGACGCGCAAAGAAATCAGCAAGATTTCGTGGTATAAGCTGTCCGAGCTCCCGACGTTCCGAAAAAAGAATGCGCAAAATCAAAACGAGCCCGTCGTTGGCGCCAATAAGTTTTACATGGTCGCGCCATTCCTGGTGCCACTCAAGAAATGGGTCACGGCGCAGAAGCGGCAAGAGGAGAAGCACGCCGCCAGCCTGCATTATCATGCAGGCCACGCACAGCTTTCTGTCGACGAAGGCCACACCGAGGACGAAACCTATGTGACGGATCAAGGTGCGGACCCTCTTCAGCAAGTCACCTCTATTGCTAGCCTCGATGGAGCCACGAAGGAACTGCAAAGACTGCTCAAGATGCAGCCGCCGACGCAAGGCCTACAACCCGCCTTGACCCAGGAAGACAAAGGCAGCGCTCTTCTGTCTATCCTACAGTCGAACGAGTCTGTCGCGCCCTCAAATTCTCTGCAGCATGGGGTTGAGATACCTCATACACCGCAAGACCTCGTCATGGTGAACCCGCCGCAACCGCAGAACCCCCACCACCACCATAATTACCAGCAGCAGCCGATGTCGTTACACATCAACTTGCACCATGAGCCGCCACAGTTCCCTCTCCCTCAGGGCGGCGCCAACGTTCCACAGCATTTCCAGCAGCCGCAGTATCCAGTCCAGGCCGTGCGACATGGTCATCCTGGTGCCCCTCACCACCAGCCGCAGAAATCTATCCCTCTTGTCCATCCGCAGCCACTGCCGCCCCAGGTCCAGCGCGCCATGTTCAACAACAGTGCATTTCAGGAAGCCGCAGCCAAAGGCAATGCCGGCATGCCTCACTCTCCATATCAGCAGTGGCAACAGCCGAGCGCGCCTCAGGGTAACGTGCCCCCGCCACAGCAGCAGCAGCGAGCGCCGCCGATGCAGCTCACTGGACAATCCATGGCTCTCCTCAACGCTTTCAAGAGAGAGCCTTTGGGACCTCAGCAACCGCCTATTCCGCCTATTTCATCTATACCGTCTATGCAGCCGCCTATGCAGCAGCATCAGCAACACGTGCAGGTGGTTGAAACGGTCAACATGTCTACTATCGGTCCTGCTGGTCAGAGCCTTCCGCCACCACCTCCGTATAGCCAGTACCCGGCACAACAGCAACAGCGACCTCCCCAGGCCGCCATACCCAGCCATACGATGCCGCCCCAGCAGCAATTCAACGCTCGCCGCCCGGTCCCGGAGCAGCCAGATTTGCCGCCCAGTATGCGGATCCCTCCTCCTGTCGTCGATCAGCACAGAAACGCGCTACTTGGTATGTTCAAAAAGGCAGGCCCACAGTCTCCCATTCCGCAGTCTTCACAGCAGGGGCAGCCCCCCTTGCCGCTGGGTTTCATCCCTGAGCTCTCATCGCCGTCGCAGCGCAAGCCAGCGGCCGATGAACCCGTCGAGCTCGCTATGGGCAACCTGTCCATGCAACCACCGCCAGGCAACAGTCACTCCCAGTACCCGTCGCAGCCTAGCCCTACGCAGCATCGCACCAACAACCTCGTCGCAGCACCGCACGGGGGCGTAGCTGCACAGTATGCCGCGTACGCCTCACAGAGCCACCAGCCTCAGCAGCCCTCTCCCCTCGCGCAGCCTTCCGTTCTTGCCCCGGTCGGCGCCGACCAGAAGCGCCAGCTGTTGTCCCTCTTTGGCGGTGGTGGTGCCGGTGCCGGTGCCGGCGGCAAGCCCGCAGCGCCGCAACTGCAGGCGCGATCACCCCTCGGAAGCACCATCCATGAGATGGGCAACGGAAACCCCGCGCCGCGCGACATCTCACGCTCTCGACTGGCATCTCTCACTTCCACTGCCGTTTCTGGCGAGCCTAGTTCAGGTAACGCCTCGCGCCGTGGCAGCCAGACGCCCATCTCGCCGGCGGATGAGAGCTTTTTGCTCGGATATCTGCAATCCGTCACTAATACTGCGTCGCGATGAGCTTTGCGGGTGGCTTTGCGGGTGGCTTTGCGTCTGGAGAATTTGCGTTATTTCTTGTTTTCTTCTCGTTGGCGGAAATCGGGCTTGGGTGTAGTTATTATTCTGCAACGAACTCAGACAAATTGTGAAAAACGGTTAGCGCAAGGGTTACTGCATTTGTACAGCTCTTATTCATAATTCTCTCGACCTTTTTGTTATTATTGTTACTGCATGAGGAGGCGAGAAATGGTGGCCAAAGCCTAAGTTCTTTGGCAGTGCTTTGGTCGGCTGGATTGGGCAGAACAGGATTATATACCATGGAAGAAGTAAACATATCAGGAGATCAGGGCTGATGGGGAGGAGCAGAATTTTTACCGGCCATTATTAACTCAGCAGTAGTTTCTAATAGCGAATGACATACCAAGAGTACATTTGGACACAACTCATTTCAGTAGATGCGATGTATGTTATAGTCAGCAAACCGTATAGCTCTCGCAGCCATCTCGCTCGATTCAATGTCGAGATGTCGCGGCCTATGTTTCTCCCTCTCCGCCAACCTCTAGCGGGGAGAATCGGTTGACATTAGGTTTCGGCTGGCTCGTAGATGCGTACCCCGACGTCTTCGGCTTCAGTTGGGCTAGGGACTGCATACATTCGTCTGGAGCCCACTCAATGCGTGATGCTCTGTACGGGCTATAAATTATTGTTAGGGTCGCCCGGCATCAAGAAAGTAAACACATACAAGCGACTCATCATACATGTGCGCGCAAAGCTCGCCGCAGTAATGGAGTTGATGCTAATGTAGCAATTGAGTCCCTCAAACACGACACTGATGACTGAAAGGTTGTGGATATGTTCGAGATCCGCACGAATAGAATCGGCTGTGATTCGACGATCGTAGTGTCGGACCACAAGAATTCGAGACGCACCACCGCGCAACTGTTTAGATACGTACGTAGCAAGGACGAACTGGCGCGGGCTCCATGTAACGCTGATCTAGGTGATGTTAGCAGAAGCAGCACATGGGAAGAGCAAGGATTTGACGGACCATGGATCCCCGGATGTACACGCCGTTTTCTTGGGCATATTCATAGTACTTTTGTGCATTTCTTCCATGGACGAATGACACTGCGGCGCGATTTTCCTTGAAGATGAAGTGTATATCCACGACAGCACCGCCGCGAACAACAGCAACAACATCGGCACGTGAAGTATGGGGAGGCAGATCACTGAGCAACAATGTCCTTCTAGCGTTCTTCTCATATATGAGACGAGTAGCTACAACAGATGCCGAGTCATTTGGTTGTAAAGAACTCTGATCGTTCGACATGATGGACTCGGAGAAGAGTTCGGACTCTGTATCAGTCTCCGGTGTGAGGTGCGCGTGTTCCTTGCCATCGTAAGGAGGGCTGCCGGGGGAGTAGGGCCTGCCACGATAATTTATGATAGTACTGGTGGGTGAAGAGTCCGGTTTTCCATCATCAGGGTTGTCGACTCTATCGAATGAGTCGGTTTCGTGGTCTTGAGGACCATGGTTCTTGCTAAGGGTCTACTGCCGTTTTAGGACGTATCAGGTAGAGGTCTCATCGATACTCTACCTCAATGGTATCTGTGTCTACTCCTCCTCGAATAAGATGGTGGCAAAGATTGTCTGCAGGAGATTAGTCGGAACTGTTGGGTCAGATTTTACCCATCATTCAGCACTTGCCATATTTCGATGCTACGACCAGAAGGCGGTCATATTCACTGCGATCGATTCGGACCTGTGAGCGATGCAGGGGCGACGAAGGTGGCAAAAAAGCCATGATTCCGTGCGTCAAACTGAAAATGCAGCTTGAAAGGGACAGATACACGACCGGTGCCCAACGCAGAACGTGAGCGGCAGAGAACCTGCAAGGTGAAGCACGCCTCACGTGCCTGACAACGATAAAGGCAGGCACGTAAGTGTCAGCGCCATACTCGCAGTTGCTGGATTTTGCACCCGCTTAGCAATTAAACAATATACTGGGAAATCCAGGAAAATTCGGTGTACTAGAAGAGGCCATATTTAGGAATTGACGGTTTGCATCCCATTACAGAGGCACTGGTGATACTGTCGCGCCTGAACACGATGCGTCTAATTCTAGGCGTGAGTACTAGGTACTTTAGTACAGATTAGTGTACCCGAAATCGTGCTGGACGGGAAAAGGTGAGTGCGGCGAGTGCTGTTTTGCTTGTGTGCCTTTGGGTGGTCCACTGGTGGCATAGGCCCAGCCAGGATCCTGACTGGTATGCCGGGTTTGGGCATCATCTCTTCAGTGAGAATTCCAGTCATGTACCTATTAGAGCGCATGTCAACTGAAGCCTCTTAATAACAGCACTCTTTATGTGTATTTCCTTTATTATAGCTGAGAAAATCGAGGCAAAATGCAAGGCCAGGTCGCAGCAGAAGCAACAACACGAGATCACGTGGGCGTGGCGTGGAATACGATGTTAAGGCACCCACAACACCCACAACGAACAAAGGGCTGCTGGGGAGACGGACTGACAGTGCTGTAAATAGAACTTGCTGCGCTGACCCACTCCCCTGCGCCGCTGAACCACTCCGCCCCTTTCGGCTGCGTCCCTCTTGCCAGCTAGGTACTAACCTACCAAGATTTTGGCTGTTGATCCAAGATCTTCCGGTTGCTCTCTTCCCACTTCTTACCTCTTCTTCCCCTGTAACACCTCTGCCGTGGTTTTATGCCACCGACTTTCGCTTCCGGCCGCTCTTCCTAGTTAATTCTTCGCCTTTGCTACGACTTTCGCTTCTTCTTTCATTCGACATTATTGCCGTCTCTCGATACTTAGACTCTTCGCTTGCCGTTCCATTCTACTGTTCCGTCGCCGGCGTCGCCTCCACAGTTGAAACCTCGTCACCCAGCGCTGTACCATTTGAAACGCACATATCCAGCTCATTCGTGTCGACCGGTCTTTTATGCACCGCCCGGCTGCTCTCGCTTCTGAGCCGATTCCTTTTTCCACGACAACGCGAGCACCTTGCGCCGTCTCTTCACCCTCAGCCTCAGTACCGCCATCGCCGTCAGTTCGATCACCATGCGTCCTGCCGCGGCGTTGATGCAACTGGCTCTGGCGGTCTCGTCAGTTGCCCCTGTGGTTTCCGCTTGGCCCAACTGGCTTCCCGACCGCGAGGCTCTCATTGTCCGCGCCGATAGTAGCGACAGCTCTACCAGTAGGGCTACCCCATCCAAGACTTACCTGTGTTAAATTGCACCATTGTTAACATCCTCTCCAGTCACTCCCTCCCCAGCAGCCTCTAGCCCATCGGCAACCGAGGCCAAGGAGACAGGAAAAACCACAGGAAACCTCAACACGGCCACACCCACTTCCAAGTCTGCATCCACGTCCGGTAGCAAGAGCAAGAGTTCATCGACGCCGACCCATACTACATTCGCCGCAGATGCGCCAGCTGGTGGCGTCAGCATTCTTGTTCCCGCCAACACGGCCCTTGGTACTGCTTTGTACAGAATCAGCGATTATGTCACGTTTAGCTGGAATTATACGTCTCTGCAGGGCACTCCCACGGCTATTGATGTTCTTGCTAGTTGCTCTGCCGCTCGTGCCACCTGGACCCTAACTGGCAACATGTCTTTCGCCACTTCTGTCGAATACGTCTGGGATACCACAAAACAAGCCAATGATGCCAACCAACCTCTCCTCACGGAACAGTACACACTCATCATCAAGGATTCTGATATTTCTTTCGATGACAGGCCCGAGCCTGGCTACCTAGGCACCAACCCAGCTCTCACTTTTGGCCTGTATGCGGGCAAGCCCTACCAAAACTTGAGCACATGGACTTGCCCCGGATGCCACGCCAGCGCTGCCTCGTCTGTAATGGATGGTAAAGCAATCAAGTTTGCGGCCACCATGAGCATCGCCACGGTACTCGGCTTCACTTGGTTCGTTGTCGGCCTTATCTGAACTAATAATACAACATCTCTCGGTGTTATGAGAAGTCTGTCTATTTTTTCCTTACATTCCCTTTTAATATTTGATTTCTTCATCGGCTTAATCCGTTTCGGTTTGGAGGAAGATGCTTTTTGGATATGAAATGTCTCGGGCTGCGGTAACTTGTTTTGTGGCGTTTCTGCTAGAGCCTGGGCCGTTTGTGCGGAATATTTTGGTCGCACTTGTTTTTATCTTGGGCATGTTCGATGAGTCGGGTCTTTGGTTCCTAGGAAAATATCCTACGAAAAATCTCCAAGCAGGAAAACATATCTGGACATGGTAGTAACGGCGTCGGGACAAAGAGCTAGTGCAGTAATCATGATTGTATAATGGATTGGCATGTGTTCCTTTTAATACCTCTTCCACATATTGCTCTACTGGCTGATTGTGGATTGGTTTGTATTCGATACTGTATGAAGTAAAATTTCTACAAGAACCCAGGGTATCTGATACTGGTTTTTCCGCCGTGAAAATGAAATAGGACAGTTCAAAGACCACAGTATATCCTAACGCCACTCAGCCCTTTCAGCTGATCAGATAGTGAATAATGCTTTTTCCCTCTTTTTTCAACCCTATTAGTTATTCCGATTACGCGTGCGGATCCGGCAGCCAGAATATGAGATCTGTGTCCGCAGTAGCAAAGAAGTTGAATCGTGGATTGAACCCAACTACGGCCGTCTCACGCTTATCAAACAGCGTCCACGTCGGCTCCAAGTTCTTGTCCGAGGACGGCGGCTTGAGCGTGTCCCACACCACTACATCTTGCCGCGAGCCGCTGATCACGAAGCGGCCGTCGGGCGCGAAGCAGCAGTCGCCGCTGCTCTCGTACTCGCCGCCGCTATTAGTTGCGCTCATGCCGCCCTCGCCCACGGCCAGTCTGCGGGTGTTGCCGCCCGGACGGCGCAGGTACGCCTTGAGCGTGCCCTCAAAGGCGTCAAACAGGAAGTGGCCAACGCCGCGGGTACCCAGTAGGAGCGTCTTGCCGTCGTTGGAGAATTCGAGCTTAGTCCATCCGCGGACGACGTGGTTCGGATTGAGGGCGCGGCCCTGGTCGACAACGTCGACGGTCGCAAAGGGGGCTTTGTCGTAGTGGCGCACGTCGTAGAGCAGGATGGAGCCGGAGCTGGGGCAGCCCACGGCGAAGACGGTGCCGGAAGGATCGTATGCGGCCAGGTAAGGGGATCGTAGGAGGAGCTGACCCTGCCAATTCTTGGTCTGCGTGTCCCACAGGCGCACCGTGTTGTCCTGCGAGCACGATATGAAGTTGTCACTGCCAGGGTGCACAGCGAGGGAGGTGACGGGGCCTTCGTGGCCCTCGAAGTAGCGAATAAAGGAGTTGTCGTGAGTAGCGAGATATCTGATGGCGTCTGGTTTGCTCCGTTAGCGTACTGGGCAGGGGCAGTTGAGAGTGACAGCATCGTACTATTTTGCTTGGTGCTGGCGTAGATGATGCTAGAGCTTGTATGTGTGAATTTTGCGAGCTTGACGCCGTATTTCTTGCTGACAAGGCTCTTCTCATGTTTCCCTTCTCTGATATTGTATATTTGTATCGTCTCGTCGCTGGCTGACGTCATGAGCAGCTCGCCATCGTCGTTGTAGTCTATCGAGAGTACATGCGGAGGTTGGCGGGGGTCTTTGATGTCTTCGCGGCGGAGAAGCTGCAACAGCGCATGGTTTGTTAGCCGCTTGACGATGATATACGATCTGAGTGCGGTAGGTTTTATCAATTTCGAACTAACCTTGGTAGGGCGAAAAGATGAAATGACGTCGGTGAGGTTGGATACTGGTGCTGTTGACCGCGCAATATTGAGTGACGTTCCATTGCGCTCTGGGCGGTCGAGGTCCATCGGTGTGGATGACATAGCGGTTGTGTGGGAGTTTGAGATTCCAATCAAGCGACGGGTTGCAGGCCGTGGGCGGCTGGGCTGCGAGGTTCAAGATTCTAGCTAGATGCTGTAGCTCCCAAGGCAGCGTACAATGCGATGCGGCTGGTGGAGAGCTTTCGTTAACGCGTTGGCGCGATGAGCTACCCTGTACCAAACGCCAGTTTTTCAGATCTTCGTTGCGATCGTATTTAATTCATGTATTTACTTACTTTTTGTCTTTCTTTGGATCATGCAGCAGACAGTTACCTTATCGGCATACGGGTTAGACATTGGGCGCTCTCTGGAAATGGTTGGTCTCTGTTCCAAATCTCGGAGATGTCCTTGGGTACGGACGGAGTAGGGATTTGTAGAGCTGGTTGCATTTGTCACGCGAAGATACAAGTGTAATACCATAAAGGTTAGTTTCAAGCATAAATTACATGTAACTTAGAAATTGCTAGATACGAATATCGAGACAAATGTATGTCGCATGGGGTTAATCCTAGCCACGACGGCTTCTAGTTAGATAGACAGTCATGACCACGCGAAACCCACCAATCAGATTCGACTTTCATGCTGAGATCAAACACGTCGTAATAAAAATAAGCTACTGAATCCACCAAACGAGATCTATGTCAAGTGTCCTGTATGCCTGTGTAGCTAGCTCCAGCGACGCGGTGCGGCTTGTATAGGCTGAAGCCCGACGTCTGAGACACGTTGTGGGGGCCGACAGTGTTATTTTTCGGGTTTTCAGCAGTCGCAGCGCAACCGGACGATCCTGGTTGCGGCGGTTGCCTCGGGTCGATGTCAATAGGGCCGGCCTTGACTGCAACCCACCAAGCCCTCCACTGCGGCCGACGTCGGCACAATTTGCCAGGGCCAGCCTGCCAACAATCCCCGGAAAGCAGAAAGTCGATCGCAGCTCGAGGCCCAACAGCTGCCAAGTTGCTGGTTGCACCGTACGTTTCGCAGAGACGACAGATCGCCGCGAGTCGGAATAACCCAGTGTACGTAGCTGACCTAATTGAAAGCATCGACCGAGAAAATACCGCCATCGCTGCCTTGATTCCCCGCGCGCAATGTGAGCAGCCGACCGCACGACTTGACCAGATTCAGAGGCTAACGAAACAGCGCAGCCTCAACCACCCAGCCGCCTAGTGCGCATTCTACCATTACTTGCCTCCTCGACATTATAATAACCACAACCTACCCTCGTCTTTCCGTTTCCAGATTCCGCGTCCATGTCCACCACAGCCGGGTAAGTCTGCCCGCCGTTCGCTTGATCGGATCGGATCCCACGGCTTTCTCGCATCGCGATCCAAGACCGCGAGCCAGGGACAATGGCAAGTGGCCCAAGAGGCAAACATGACTAACAGGACCGTCGCGCAGCGCCTTCATCGCCGGCGGCATCGCGGCCTGCGGTGCCGTGACCGCCACGCACCCATTTGAGACGGTCAAGATTCGGATGCAGCTGCAGGGCGAGCTGCAGACCAAGGGCCACAATCCCCATCACTACCGCGGGCCGGTGCACGGCGTGCGCGTCATTGTAAGGAACGAGGGCATAAGGGGCATCTATCGGGGCATCGGGTGCGCCTACGTGTACCAGATTCTGCTCAACGGCTGCAGACTGGGCTTCTACGACCCGATGCGCCAAGCGCTAGCCTCGATGTTTCTGCACGACGGCGCCGCGCAGAACCTCGGCATCAACATGCTTTGCGGCGCCGGCTCGGGCGTCATTGGCGCCGCCGCCGGCTCGCCCTTTTTCCTCGTCAAGACGCGCCTCCAGAGCTTCTCGCCGTTCCTGCCCGTCGGCACTCAGCACACCTACAAGAACGCCCTCGACGGTCTGTCGCAAATCTACCGCGGCGAGGGCATTCGCGGCCTATACAGAGGTGTCGGTGCGGCAATGATCCGCACCGGCTTCGGAAGCTCTGTCCAGCTGCCCACGTACTTTTTTGCCAAGAGGCGGCTGATGCGCCACGCTGGCATGGAGGAAGGTCCGGCGCTGCACTTGGCGAGCAGTGCCGTCAGCGGATTCGTCGTGTGCTGTTTCATGCACCCCCCTGGTATGTTGACGGATTTTTTTACTGGTCAAACCTGGAAGGGAAAGCTAATTCTCAGAAATAGACACCATCATGTCGCGCCTGTATAACCAAAACGGCAACCTCTACAAGGGCGTCCTCGACTGCCTGGGCAAGACGATTCGCACCGAGGGCGTTTTCGCCATCTACAAGGGCTTCCTGCCTCACTTGGCCCGTATTCTTCCGCACACGATCCTGACGCTGTCCCTCGCTGAGCAGACCAACAAGCTGATGCGCAAGGTAGAGGGCCGCATTCTACCCATGATGGATAAGGACACGAACCGCCTGTAGCTCTCGGAGGGCGGTTCTGACATTTGATCTCCTATGCTGAGGCATACTTTTCCATTTGTTTATATATACACATATACTGTTTCTTCCTCGAGATGGCAGGCTCATTTCTTTTTGGCTTGCGGATAGAATATGGGACACTTGGTACGTTTGGATATTTTAGACGAGGATGCGTGGGTGAGTATCTGTAGACAACGTCGAGCATTGCTGGAGTTTAAAAAAAGAAGGCTTTTGATCATTCCAATCAAATGCCAATTTGGCCAATTTGTTCAGATCGGTTACGTTGCAATTCTATCTCGATTTGCCGTGGTCTCATGAAAATGCCGTTATATATATATATTACCAGTTGTATCGAGTTCTGCTCAGCCACTGACAGACCGTCGACAGCCATAGCACAGCTTTCCCTTGTGATGATCGGCTGCCGAGTCACCGGAATCCTGGCCCAAGTCGCCGGCCCAGCGGTCGTCGCCCGACTCGTCGAGCGTCATGCCGCAGAGGCGGCAAAAGGCACCGCCCGCCACGCGGTCCAGCTTGCCCGTGGTGCGGACAACATTGGCGACGATGCCAGAGTAGGGGCCCTCAACGCCATCAAAGTAGCGCTGCATGACCTCCTCGATGCTAACATCTCTGTGTGAGACGACGGAGTGGCTGCTGCGGCCGGCGACGCCATCCACCTCGCCCTGCCGCTTCATCTCGGCCAGTACTGGGATCAGATCCACGTACCCGACGAGCTCGTTCTTGAGGACCTCGCGCAGCGGGTAATAAACGGGGAACATGACGCGCGCCGTTTCGCGGCCGGCATCGTCGTACTCACACACCGTCTGCACGCCGTCGCCGACCTGCCCCGGGACGGAAAAGCCGCGACCGTTGGCCACCTCGGCGAGGGTCAGCGCGGCCAGGGCCGACGTGCTATGCCCGAGAAGTACCACCGAGTAGCCGCGCGCGCGGGCCGTGTCGATGAGGAGATGGCGGACAAGCTGCCGCAGCACGTCGGCGCGGGACGTGACTGAGGGCAGGGCGTCAAATAGGCGGCGCAGCTTCTCTACGTCGCTCGCACCGTCCTCGGCGGTGTCTAGCGTCTTATATAAAGGAAGCAGCGTCGACCAGTCCACAGTACGGAGCGCTATGGCTTTGCTCAGATGCACGCAGTCAAACGAGATGTGCGGGTACCTCGCGCGGTACTTGGCCAGGAGTCGCTGCGCGGGCGTGTCGTGGCTCTCGGCTGGCGCGGCGGCTAGGTCTGTGTCTATGTGGACAATGAGCGGCTCAAAAGCACTGGATGACTGCTTGCCGGCGTGGTGCTGGGCGCTGTCATTGAGCATCTGCGTGAGGCAGGTCGACGAGACGCCAAACGAGAGGCCAGCGAGGTACCTCCGTGGTGTGAGCTCCGCGGATGTGCGAATTTCCTTGTGCATGGTTCCTAGATTTTTGCGGACCTTGCCGGAGACATGCTCGATATAGCAGTCTCTGTGTGAAAATCAGTCAGCTTCATGCGCTAAGTATTGACTCTATACGGTTCGTGATACGAAGTGACAGAGGTCATCGAGGGGCAATACCGGCAGGTCGCGAGATTTCGCAACTTGTATGGCGCATTCTCAACCTTGCACCGCTTGCAGGGCTGGCCCGTATGCGTAGCAGTCATTTCGAAGTGTAGTTTTGTATTCGGGTTACAAAGAAATTGCGCTTCTCTCTAATCTGCGTTGCCGGCGACAGTAGCGAATGAGTTTTCCAGAGGCATGAGAGTGGTGTTGGTGGAAAAATTCAGCCCACTTTGCCCCTCCAACCGGGTTGTCTAAATCGGGTAATGCTCAATTGATTAACTGGTGATGACCTATATCGTGCAGCAATCATTTCAGGGCGTAACATTTAAAAATTTCTACAAAGTATGTTTTTAGTGATGGCATATTTTCTTCGTTCCTTTGCCTTACCGAGTTAGCCAGCGTGTCAGCCTAAATCAAAGCGAGGCAGATGACTACCTGGGTATGTTCCGAAGGTACCGAGCAGATGCCGCCAGGGATTATGCTTTTTTCCCGTTTTCTATTTTCTATTTTCTATTTTCTACTTGATCGTATTCGTTGAGAGTTAGAAGGAACAATTGCCTCTTGAATCTCTACACAGCCCGGCAGCAAGCATGTTAGGCTGGTTTCATAGTCGCCTTCTGACACGAGACTGAGTAGTAGTTAAGGCGAGGAACTTGTCATTTGCTGCGGGTGCATACGCGAGGCACGGGACCTGCCTGGGCCGGCCGGGGTTGGGCCTATTAATACGTTGGCGAAGACAGTAACCTAAAACACAGGACGGCGCAGGCAGGGACGAGGTTAAAAGAGCTGGGTCCAGACGCCGGTTGAGAGGTCGGCCGAGCACAAGCGGGAAGCAGGAAGTGATTCAAAGAAGGCGTAAAGTTTCCCGTGTTTTTGGCTATACAGGCAGAAGCGATTAGAAAGTCTGATGTGACTTGTAACAGGTAGTTGTTGCCTGTCCGGTGCAGGCGTGACCTGTGTTCCTGTATTAGGTTTGGAAGCAGCCTGACTCGTACTCGTAGTCCAGCCGCCTGTATGAATGACGTCAAGCGCTGAGCCATTTGCAGTTGGTTGCTGGTCTGGTCTGGCCTGGTCGGGGCCGGCCTCGGAACCAGACTTGCAGGTGTCATGTAAGTAGTAAAGTCCAGCGGAGTATTAAGTGCTCTTCTGTAAGTACCCCTCTGCCTGCAGGTACGGCGCCAACTCAAACTCGTCGAATAAAAAGGCACAGAAACCACCAAACCATCTTTGCCATCTTGCCACTGAAACCTGAAACGACCATTCCCAGTCCACTCGGGCCAGTTGTCCTGGCCTTGCAAGGGATCAATAATTTTCATCAATACTGCTTTCTACGTGTCAAGACCATTCTCGGCCAATACATTCCACGGCCACAAAGAAAATCCCTTGCGGGCCCATCGCAAAGGGATCGTGCATGAAGACCCCGTCATCGCTCAGCGTTCAAACCCAGGTCCTTGCTCTGTCTGCTTCAACTGGCCAGGGTCTATTCTTAGCACTGCTACAGAGTACGATGCTTTTTCAACACAATCTTGCATCAAATACACCCCACGCAATTTCGGCGCGCCACTCTGTAATGTCTCTTCTCCTGAGCTAGCCTAGGCCTTCTGTTGTTCAGCAAACGGACTGACTTGACGGCCCTCTGGAGTCTGAATCGAAAAAACAAAACAAAAGACAAACACCAAAACGAAGGATAATTTTTTTTTACTGTGCGCTCTCACCTCTTCCAATTCGTTCCCCCTTGCACCGAAGAAGATTCACAATTTGTTTCTTGGGTCGCACTCTATACCAATTGTCTTGTCCGGACCTCTCCTACTCTTCCCCCCTCTTCTGCTTGCCTTTTAGAGATCTCGACAACCAATTGTCCTGCCTGTTCATCTTACCTCTCCTACCTAGCCGCCAATCACTTCTAGGTACCTCAGCTGGAAAATATACCTCCTGGAGCCGCTAGTTTCCTGACGCCAACTCGCAGTGGCTTCCCCCGAGTTTTGCACCAGCAGCCGCCCACGCCGCCACCTACCTAGGTTTAATCCGTATGGCACTCGCAGATCCTATCAAAATACGTCGACAATCCTGCCCCTGACACTCTGTTTCTTCTCTTCTTTCAAAAGACTACTCTGCCGGCAGCAATTTTGACCCTATACCCTTTGCTGTGTCGTTTCTTCTTTTTTTTCTTCGTTCCTCTTCTTGGCGCGACCCTTCAAAAACCGACAACAGTGGTCTGCTTTCCTGTGCCACCCCCATTTTCTGGTTATTGTCCAGCCTTGCAACACCACGCCAACCCGCCGAACCACATCTTCCCATCTCCCTTGAGCCACAATGACTGAGGTCGCGGCCTTGGCCCTGCCACAGCTGTTCTCGATAGTTCCCGACGCGACAGCTCCCCGACCCCGACAAAATAGCCGACTGGACCTCGACACATCCCTCGTCAGCAGCAACGGCTGCTTTGAATTCGACCGGGTCATAAAATGTGGCTACGTGGAGAAGCGCACCAAGACAAAGGTACCTAGGCTTACCATCCCTTTTCTGCGCCGTTTCTCTGCGCAAGACGCATGCTGACCACCGCTGCAGCAATGGAAACCCGTATATCTTGTCCTGCGGCCTGGCTACCTGTCCATGTATAAGAACGAAAAGGAAACAAAGTTGCGCTATCAAATACACCTCCCGGATCTCAATGCCGTCACTTTTCTCAAGGACCCCAAGCAGAAGCGCCACAACGTCTTTGGACTCTTCTCGTCCTCCAAAAACTTTCACTTGCAGGCGCGCTCACTGCAGGACGCACATGAGTGGGTAGACCTAATACGAAAGGATGCCCGACTCGAGGAGGAAGAGGAGGAGATGCTCCTCGCGAGGCCCCTCGGCCGCAGCCTCTCCCCGATCGCACCCTACGCGCTGCCGCCCAATGGACTCACCAACATTGACGAGCAAATAAACCGCATGCCTGAGCAATTTCTCTCGAGCTCCCCGGAGACCTTTGGCCCTCCTGCGCCTGGCTTCCTCGGCTACGGCGAGAACTCGGTCATTGACTCTTCCGGCGGCGAGATCGCCTCCCACTCCGACATGTCTGACACCGACTTTCAGCGCATTCGCGGCAGCTCCATGGAGAGCCAGCCGTTTCCCGGCCACATCGAGGTCGGCTCGATACCACCCGGCACCAGACTGCCCTACCGCCCGGCTGCTCAGCGCTCCACAAGCCAGGTTAGCGTCACCAACAAGGAACAGGAACTCGACCGCGTCGTTTGGCAGGGCTGGCTGTGGCAGCTCAAGAGCAAAGGCGGCGTCAAGCAGTGGAAGGACATGTGGGGAGTGCTGCGCCGGCGGAACCTGATCCTGTACAAGGACGAGTCCGAATATCTCGCGCAGTGGATCGTGCATCTCTCCATCGTTGTCGACGTTGTTGACATCGATCCCCTCAACAAGAGCAAGGAGAACTGCTTGCAAGTCATCACCGAGGAAAAGAGCTTCAAGTTTTGCGCCCACGACGAAGAGTCCCTTGTGCAGTTCATCGGTGCTCTTAAGAGCCTAATTGCGAAACGCAGAGCGCTCGAGTCCAGACTTGCGGCGTCATATTCTTAATCGCGTCCTAATGGTTACATTACCAAACTCTCTTTTCCCCTCGGCCTCCTCGATGCCGTGGCACTCGTTATGTTACGGTTTCGTCTTATTACTCCATTTTTTTGTCTTTACAACCCCAACGAATTACGACTACAAGCGGGCAGCGACGGTTCTTTTCTCTTTTTTCTTTGCGTAGCCTTTTTGGTTTTTGGTTTCATCCGACTCCCGCCCAGGGCATGTCACTGATATTTTCAAGCACATCATTTTCCTACCACCCATTCTTGTCCTGTTCTATTTATTCGGCGAATGGCGGAGATATATCCCCGTACTGGATGGAGTTTTGTTTCCTTGCAGGTTTTCTCGGGCAATTTGCTCGTTTGATATGTCTTTTTATTAATCCCTGGATGGACTCGTGTATAGAGACAGTTTTTCTCTTAGTCCACTGTGTGGACTTAATATAAACATGTGAATTGGCTGATGACTCTGTGATTGTTGATATGGACGCATCAGCGTGGACCTGCTGGTTAAATTTTGCAGATCACTACTATCATGAGCCCGAATCCTGGTCGATCCTAGAGATCATGGAACTTACGCTTGCTAGTCCATAGCCGCTGCAGCAGACTAGCATGGGCACATCAGGTACATATGCCAGTGCCGGTATTATGGCGCGTAGAAAGTGGATATTGTAGGTGCAGTAGTGAAATGCACTTATCATCATGTTCCTGAGTGACTGGTGTGTAGGGCGGTCTGAGTTACCTTCGCTGTAAGTGACACCAGGCACACAGAACAGGCCTCTTCCTACAAGGTATTTGGTGACGCTTGAGTTAATGTATTAGAAAGACTTTCTGAACCAGAGCTTCGGGATTACGCAAAACTGCTTGGTGCAACACCAACAGTCTGGTGGAAATGCGGGGAGGTTGCCCACCACAGCTGACCATTGCGCCGCTATCCCGTGATTCACAATGAGAATTCAGCATGATGTCTGATCTCGCATGCTCAAGACGAGAAATACACGGGGTGATCTGAAGCTATGAGAAAGGGGACGCCTGGTTCAACGAGGCTTTAATAATGAAACCTGCAGCTGTTCTGCCTTCCCTAGTCTCCATGTCGACCCTTTTATGGCTCAGCCCATGCCATCGAATGGGGAATTAAATAAACGACACCAACAAGTGAAAAAAAGTGCCTAGTCCCGCCCGCTAACTACAAATATCCGCTGATATACAATGGCTTACGAACCACAATAGGCAATGGGCTCTGCAAGAGCTTGTGCGTCGCTGCATAGTGAGGAGTTTCACAGCTGTCTTGTATTTATTCAACAGGGTTACAATTCTATGGAGGCTTTTACCATAAAAAGTTCCTCCTCATCGGCCAAGGTCTCCGCAACCCAGAGGGGCATTGACGGCTGGTCAATGGATTCATCGAAGCCAACTACTGGTATCCGCACAACCACTACCACTCCGAGCCGTCTGTGCAGAGCGCAACACGAGGACCAATCATACTACCTAGTTAGCACATGACAGGCCTTGAGCAAGGAACCGACAATGTGGGCGTAACCTAGCACATCTCAGCTGTGGCATCGTTGCACCTACAACTCAGCATCCGGGGTTCGGCTGGGCGTGACCCGAATAGGGTTCAAGAATCAACAAGCACATGCTCACTAATAAGAGGACTGCGCCCTCATCGTCAACTATGCAATCTACCAGCGCGTCCTAAACGAAGACGTCGCAGCGATAGCTCTCTCTACCACCTTGGATTGCTTCCACTGTCCTAAACATCTTCAATCTAGCAAACGGCTCAACTTCTCGGCATGAAGCTGTCCACCGTGCTGGCTCTTGCCGGCCTGGCGATGTCCTCGCTGACCGCCGGAAAGCCCAAGGTGCCCCTGCACACGTCGAGCCGCTGGATCCTGGGCAGCGACAACCAGCGCGTCAAGTTGCGGTGCGTCAACTGGGCGGGCCACCTCGAGGCCAACGTGCCCGAGGGTCTGCACAAGCAACCCGTCGCCGCCATCGCGGGCTGGATCGCCGCGCACGGCTTCAACTGCGTGCGCTTAACATACTCCATCGACATGGCGCTTCACCCGGATCTCCCCGTCGCGCAGTCTTTCCGCGCCGCGGCAGTGGCCACGGGCGCCGACGAGGCCGGGCTGATGGCGCTGCACGACGCCGCCGTCTGTACGAACCCGTTCCTTCACAACGCCACCGTGCTCGAGGCCTTTGACGCCGTGCAGGCGGCGCTCTGGGACTATGGCATCATGACGATCCTCGACAACCACGTGTCCAGGGCATCGTGGTGCTGCAACCTTGACGACGGCAACGGCTGGTGGTCCGACGCACCCGGCGACGTCGACGCCAACTCGCGCTTCTTTGACCACGGCCGCTGGCTCGACGGCCTGCGCGCAATGGCCGCCTGGGCACGCGGCAAGCCCGGCATCATCGGCATGTCGCTGCGCAACGAGCTGCGCGCGCACGTCACGCAGATTCCCGCGGCGGCGGGCGTCTGGCGCGAGAATATGCCGGCGGCCGCCAAGGCGGTGCACGGCGCCAACCCGGACGTGCTGGTTATCATGGGCGGCCTCAACGGCGGCACCGACCTCACGCCGCTCCGTGACCGTTCGAGGGACACGTCGGCGTGGGCCGGCAAGAATGTCTGGGAGGCGCACGCGTATAGCTTCACTATTACCACGCCCGACTTTGGCTCGTGCAGCATTCGCAAGGTCAACTACGGCCTGCTGTTTGGTTTTGTGCTCGAGCAGAACAAGGGCAATACGGGACCCTTATTCCTCTCCGAGTTTGGCGTCGGCATGACGGGCGGCGACAAGGACGGCCTCAACGACAAGGACAGCAGCTACCTGACCTGCCTGCGCGAGTACATGGAGGACAATGACGCAGACTGGTCCCTATGGGCCCTCCAGGGCACGTACTATGTCCGCGACGGCAAGGTTGATGCAGAGGAGACGTGGGGCGCCCTTGACCATGACTGGAAGGACTGGAGAAACCCAAAGTTCAAGGCCATGCTAGGCAAGATGCCTGAAGTGACCCAGTTTCCCCGAGGATGAAGGAAGGGTGCGACAACACGCAATGTACATGTCAATGCCCTTGTAAATAAGGAATTTCAATTTGTAAACTCTGCGTATAAGGCCCAAGCCAGAGGCACATACAACACGACTTGCAAGGTAGTAATTAATGTACTGCGAGTCTGTGTAGACGACAACTCTCAAATTGCAATTATCCAACATACTGGCTCTTCAACAGCTTCCAGCTGTATACTTATCCGACACCGACTGCGCCATGCCTCTTGAAGAGCGAGACAAGATTTCCAACAGTGAGCCTCCGAAAAAAACCCCAAGACCGCAAGACCCGTCGTTCGTCGCAAGAAAAAAAAGCGTCATGTAGAAAACCCCCCAGGACCAGGTTCCAATGCAGATTCCATCAAACAAAATGTGTCCCAACGCCACGCAGGAAAGCGAACAAGGTAATTCAAGTCGTGCCGTCTTTATTGTCGAGGCTGAAAAAGGCAGCGTCGAAATCTTCATTGCTCATCAGATCAAACGTCCCATCGCGGTCATTCATCAAATCATCAAATGTATCCTCACCCATGCCACCACCGCTGCCACCACCACCGCCACCGCCGCCACTGCCGCCAAGGCTAAAGTCGAAGTCCATGCCATCGGCCTGGCTCGCGTCATTGGTGAAAAACTCCTCAAAGTTGGACTCGTTTGCGTTGCCGTTATCCTTGAGAGGCTCTGTCTTGATCGCTTCGGTTGTCGCCGTGATAGCTGCCGGGCCGTGTGTGCTGCTGGCACCGGAGGAGTGGCTATTGCCTGGCAGCATGTTGTTGAGTGAGAGCATTGTATCACTGGGCGCAAAGGATGACACATCAAAGGAGCCAGCAGCAGTCGTATTTTGGCCCTGCAAGCCGTCACCTGGCGCCAGCGAGAATTGCATGTCGGTAAAGTTGGAATCGGCCATCATGGGGGCCTCGGGAGCCGCGGGAGCTTCCAATTTAACGATGCCGTTTTTCGTAGGGCTGTTCGTAAAGTGGGCATGGTCTTCCGTCTTGATGGCCGTGTCGCCATTCGTAATGTTACCGGGGTCCATGACGGGGAAAGGCGCAAGGACGGGTTTGGTATGAGCAACAATCGAGGGCGGCGGCGAAGACTCGATATCTATGGGCATTGGCTCCTTTGTTAGGGACTCAATAGCAAGAGCAGGCTGTAATTGTTGTTGTTGGGCCGTAGACTGGTCGGCCTGGAGTTGGTTGAGATCGCGGAGGATGACGGACTTGGCTTTCATCTAGAGGGCAGTTAGTTTCGCGGCAAGGGGAGAAGACAGTCGGGACCGGGGATCATATATCGTACAATATCGCCTTCTAGGTCATCGAGGGCTTTGTGGAAGGTGTCAATGGTTTGTGGCAGTTTTGATTGTGAGATGCCCTGTGGTAGCGCGAGATTTCCTTGGCTATCCCGTCGGGATGCACGTAAAGCTTTGCCGGTTTGCACGAGCTAGAAGGACATGTCAGAGACTTCAGCGACAGTGTCTGAAAGAGCCGTGACAGATTTCGTGACATGAACGTACGACATCATTGAGGAGACCCTGCAGCGCATCCAAGGGATCCCTTGGCTTTGGCGCGGCCATGGTGGTGGTGGGCAAGAGTCGCAACACGGCCAAGGATCAACGCAAGGCCGAGGGGACAGGCGAACGGAGCGCGTAACAGACAAAGGATGCCCTATGTAGGCATGAAAGGGTGATGCATGTAAGTCAAGCAGGGAACAAAGGGAGGGGGAGAAGAAGAAGAAGAAGAAGACGACGAAGAAGAATGGTGACAGACACAGGGCGTGAGAGGCGCGGCCGTCGTGCGCCCATATGAGAGAGAGAACTGGCACTAACTTATTACAGCGCTTCCTTTAGGTGTTTTAGCGTAAGACACAGGGGGTTAGGGTCCTTGTGGGGGTCAAGCACAGGCTCTGCTCTGTCTCCGTCCTGTCCATGCGAGCTGTTAATTGGTTACATACGTAGTTACATTAGTAGTTACATAGGTACCTACCTACGTAGGCGGATGGAGTTCGTGTTCCAATGTACTAAGAGATCGAGTCAACAGGTTGCTATAATTGCGTGACTCCTTCCCCTAGGTATACACTAATTGATTAAGTATATTTCTTATCATTATTTGGGCTATTATCAGATTTGCAACTGTCTATCAACATAGTCGACAAGCCCGATACTGCAGATTTGTCTTGACTACTCGAATATATCCCAAAATACAAATAAAGAATAACTAATAATACCAACAAATCAGCGGAGTCATATGCTTGAACTGATATCCAATAGCTACCTAGGTCCTCAACCAGCGCCTTCGTATTCGTAAGACAGTGGCCTTGTAAATTGCCCTGGATTAGCCGGCTTTCCCCCGGCAGAAGCGCGTCGGCGCAATTGCGCCCAGATTTTAGCACTGGCGCCAATCTGCGATCAAATTCCACTGATAGAAATCACAACTTTGACAGTTCCCGTCAATCAACATCATACAAAGCCGGACGGAACAAGATATTTCGTTTCGCATCGAAACGCCTATATTTACTTTGCGGTCTCGCACATCCCCCCCTTCGCGGCATGGGAAGAGACCCAAAGCAATACGTGTTTGCGCTTGGCGCCCTGTACGCTCTCTTCCAACTTTCCACGCAAGTCTATAACCCAGCAGCCTTTTCCAACAAACCCTACAGAAGCTCGCTTGTTGCGAGCAACTTGTTGCCATGGCGGCCGCAAAGATGACCAAGAACCAGATGAGGAGGGCCAAAAAGAAAGAGCAGAAAAAGGTGCAGGCAGAGGTGCGTCGCATCGTTGCGTCCCTTACCGCTCGAGATTGCATCAACTCACCTAGTAAACAGAACGAAACCAAGCCAGAGGAAGCCACCGAACAATCTGAACCAGAGGTGGAAAGGCAAGAGAAACCGCAAGAAACCGCCAAAAAAGAAACTGCTGTCGACGTCGAAGTGGACTCTCTAGATGCATACGACGACCCTGCATTTGCTGTCTACAAAGAAATATTCGCCAAATTTAACGCCAATACTGGAGACGATGCCTCCAAGAACGAGACAAAGGAGCAAAAGGGCACAGTATTGTACAACGACGATGACGATATCCCCGACGAGGACCAACAACCGAAATTGTCAAAGAAGAAGCTTAAGGAGCTCAACAAGCTTTCCGTGGCACAGCTCAAGGCTCTCGCCACCATTCCGGAAGTAGTCGAGTGGCAAGACGTTTCCTCCACCGACCCTCGAGTTCTAGTCCAAATTAAATCACAGCGCAACGTCGTACCCGTACCAGCGCACTGGTCCCTCAAGCGCGAGTACCTATCGTCGAAGCGAGGCATTGAGAAGTCGGCTTTCCGCCTACCGCAATTCATAGCAGAGACTGGCATCGCCGAGATGCGAGACGCTGTCCTGGAGAAACAGGCCGAGCAGACGCTGAAACAAAAGCAGCGAGAACGCGTCGCGCCAAAAATGGGCAGGCTTGATATCGACTACCAAAAACTCTACGATGCTTTTTTCCGCTTCCAGACCAAGCCCGAGCTGAGCCGTTTCGGCGAGGTTTACTACGAGGGCAAAGAATCAGAAGTTGATTACCAGCACTTCCGCCCCGGCGATCTGACTGAGGCTACCAAAGAAGCTCTTGGCATGCCACCCGGCGCTCCTCCTCCATGGCTGATCAACCAGCAAAGATTCGGCCCGCCACCTTCATATCCTACACTCAAGATCCCAGGTCTCAATGCGCCGCCGCCGCCCGGCGGTGCTTGGGGCTTCCACCCCGGCGGCTGGGGCAAGCCTCCAGTTGATGAATCCAATCGTCCCCTCTATGGTGGAGATGTCTTCGGAATCACTGGCCACCATGGTGCCCAAGTACAACTAGGGCAACAGCAAGAGCAGACCGGAGTGCCGGTTGAGCGCACCTTATGGGGTGAACTCCAACCTCGCGCCGAGGAATCTGAAGAAGAGGAAGAATCCGAAGATGACGACGACGAGGAAGAAGAGGGCGGCGACAAGGAAGGAAAAGAGGCTAGTGGTCTCGAGACGCCGAGCGGCTATGCCAGCACCCTCCATGGTGATTACCCGCCCCAGGGCAACGAAACCTCAATTGCCGGAGATATGGATCTCCGCAAGGAACGCCGCGGTTACGACACAGAGGAATCCTCTGCGCCACGGTCTGCCTATACTATTGTTCCTGAGCGCCAAGTGCGTGCTGAAGGTTTCTTTGGTAGTGACCGCGCCTATGATATTGCAGCGGCGCAGCGCGCGGGCATGCCTGTCCTGGGCACCGAGGATGACTCGCGCAAGCGCAAGAAGCCCGGTGATGTTGATGTGGCTGTGGACGTTGACGCGCTCAATGACAACGGCGGCCTGAACAGGGACGACCTGCGTCAGCGCTTCGAAGCGGGCACCCGCGACGAGGGCATCGGCGCGCAGTGGACTGGTCAAGACGATGATTTGGCGGATATGATTGCCGAGGAGGGACGCAAGAGGCAGCGGCTGGACAGGGAACGCACGGAGAAGAAAAAGGACGGGAGAAGACACTAAATAGAGTCTCTCCCATATATGAGGATCCAGCTCATTGTCTCTTACGCTGTACAAAGTTTACTCGTCAGGTGTTGTGGATATATTATTGTAATCCGATTTCTGACAAGAAAAATTATCCAATTCAAGCTTCCACTAAACAAAAGATCGATCTTGTTACATTTACACGTTGAGCGGCAACAGACTCTTGTCTAATGCATTTCTAAAAGCAAGTCGCAGCTACGCAAATCACCCAATTACATATACAGATAAATTGCAAAACCGCCAAACTCTGATGACCGGCTCCACGCCCCAGGGTTGGTAGATTGTGACAGATAGGGATGTAGAGAGAAAACTAGAGAGTCTGGCGACACGAAGGTGACAGCCTGCAGGCTCCTAAGTTCCTCGGGAACTCTGGGCACCTTTCATATGGAGTTGACATGTGCCATTGTGACACTCCTTCTGCCTTAAATGAAAAAGCAGCCCTTGTAGCCAAAAGGCAACCTGTCTGACTGAGGGTGGCATGGCGGTCACATGACAGAGGGAGCGCAAGCATTGCAGATCCATTTGCGATTGTCGACATGTACCAGGGCTATCGGTTCGATGCAGTCGGAGTGATAGAGCCGTTTCGGGCAGGCCTGCAGGATATAGTTAGAGCACAGCTTTCCCTTTGTCATAGAAGTGATTGGCATACCTTGTTGGCACACACCAGCAAACGCGGACCTCGTACAGGAAGCCGGCATACTGTGCAACCATTGCTGCTCTTGCGCACATCAGTTGCCTTTGACGTTGTCGCAACCTGTTCCGCGTCTGCTGGTAAGATGGCATTGGAAACATCCATCGTTCGCAATGAACGGGCCTGGTTGATGTGATCTAGAGCCTGTTTTAGGGCATTGTCAGTCAACACCTCACGTGCAACCAGCACGCTTGCATGCTTGCCAAACTCGCGCATACGTTCATCCTTTGCCACCAGCCACGCAGCCTTTTGCTGCACGAAACCCAGCCAAGCGCGCGGCAAGTAGGCACTTGATGTAATGCCTTGCTCGAGAATGTAGCCATCCCATTCCCAGATGAATTCTTTTTCTTGCGGTGTCACATCGGTAAAGTCGGCGATGCTCTCGCGGTGTTTTTGGATAAGCCACGTCGCATCGTACTCCGGACTGGGCACCGGATCACCGGCTTTCAGTTCAGCTTTGCTGATGGGATGGTATAGGGGCTGCGAAATCTTGGGAACCACAACTGTGTCCTTCTTAGGCTGTTGTGGGCGTCGCGGCAACGTTGCCTTGCTCGCAGGAAACACAGGTTGCCTGGGCAGGGGAGAGTGAGACGACATTCTGTTGATGGAGGAATGTGCCGAAGGGGTCTTGGGTAAATCGTCGTTTTTCTCTGCAATAACGCGTTTCGTAACCCATGACTCATCTCCGGCGACAAATGTTTGCAAGTTGAACGACTGCACTGTTGGTTGTATCTGTAATTTTTTGGACGGCGACAGGGAGGTATCAGAGCGACGATGATGAACGCGAAACTGCGGCCCCTGACTCGTAGTTTCGCATTGAAAGTTGTAGCTCGGGTGATATGTTTGCAAATGCATCTGTAGCTGCATGAGTGACTCGTGGTACGAGCCACATGCAACACATCGATTGCAATCGAGTAGCACCGGCTGGTCCAACGGTAGCAGGTAGGAAACCGGGCTTGCCACCGCGGTCGTTCCTGTATTCAGGCGTTTCTTACGTTCCTTTCCGCGGGCCTGATCGCTTAGAACCTTGAGATTATAAATTTTATTTTGCTCTCTTCGACGGAGAGCCCTAGAGGGCGTTTTTTCGCCCTCCGTTTGCTCGTCATCGCTGCGCACAGGGCCACGAAAACCACTGTGGCCGTTTAAGCTATTGACGGGAACGGAGTCCTCATAGTCAGTAGGCGGAAGCCTGCCCTCACCCAGATCGTTATCAGGATCAATGGCCATGATATATGGCATCGAGTCTTTGTCAAGGCGCCTCAATGCGTTGAAACCAGACGACCAGCGGAGATCAACGTCCATAATGTACTCAGTTAAACTTTCAGGCCGGTCTGCTCGATCGAGGGCTGAAAGCACCAATGGTCCCTTGAGCTTACCAAATATGTCCTGAAAGCGGCTTCTAAGAACGAGGTTGCGCATGTCGATGGGGCTTGCGTCTTGCAGCATCGCCGAGGATCCAAAATCGCTAGCACCAAGCGGAGGCCAAATGCTCTCACTCACCGCTTCAAATTCAATAAGCAGCTCATACGCGTCAGAAAGATCGTGGGAGCCATCATCATCCCGATTGACCAGAATGGCGTCACGTGGTACATAGAAGGGTCGTGCCAAGTTTACTCTGGCAATGCGATGCGGACCGACGGGGTTTTTGAATGTAGTAAGTTCGCAGGCTTGGTTCTGGCAGTGAAGTACGCGATGCGTGCCCTTGGCGGTATTGCTGACAGTAATGCGACAATTTGCCTTTGTGGTGGTGACAATGCTGGGCGCGGTGCCACCAAGGCTGGTGGTTCGAAACTTCTGAGAATCCTTGTGACAGACTTTGCGGATCTCTATGCGAAGAGCACAACGCGTGTCGGACGTCTTTGGCGATATAATGAGATGGTCAACATCGAGCGATTCAGGAGTCGAGACCCGACGTCGCTTGCGCGGCGGAGCAGCAACATGCCCATCGCGGCGGAGCTGGCTGGACACGATGTTGCCCATTAGCTCGGCCGGTGTCTGCCAATTTGTGATGCCCTGTAGCCAGTTGCGATGTAGAAAGGGCGCTTTCCGCTGATAAATGTTGTTCAGAGTCATTGCGATGCTACGGCTTCCATATGTAAACACCCGCTGTCGCGCTCCAATCTGGTCTTGGCGTAGAAATCAATGATGACAGTTGCTGAAAGAGACGGGGTGGCACACTTCATAATAGTGACAAGTGATCATGTGAAGAAAGTAGGGCGGATTCGGGGCCTTGGTGGCGCGAAGTTGTGTACCTGTTTGCCGGGCGACCAAGTCGGAATTGATCAATGTCTTGTCTCGAAGCCGGAACACTCGTGGCATGGGGAGCCAGCTGAAAGTGCCGCGGCCAGTGGACTAATTGCTCAAGATGCAGTGGGCGAAAAGAAACGCGCTCACAGACAGACGCGTGAGGATTAGACATTGAGGGCATCCAGGTGATAAATGGCGGCCACAAAGCACAGGCCCAAAGCGGCTTAGCGCAAGCAGTACGAAATGTAACACAGGCAAACAGGCAACAACTACCTGCGCGCGTAAAGACTGTTTAACAGGGCACTGGAACAGGGCACTAGATACGTTTTCTATGTAACATTTAATTTCCCCTATCACAACCCATTAGAGACAGCTAATATAAAACCTAAGAGATTTTTTAGTATATAATAGTAGCCTAATAGCATTATAATAGATAAAATATTTTTTAAGTAAGAAACCTATTTACCCTTAATAGTATCTCTATACTTATAGTATAGAGATAGTCTAGTACTTATTAGGTTTAAGACTTTCTATTTGTTCTTTTAAGGTGTGTTTCTCCTAATTATACTAATTAGACCTTCTAATTCTTCTAATAACTTAATAAGTTTATAAGAGCTAGAAAAACTATAGTAAAGGATTGGCTCTAGGGTACCTATATATATGCGTTAATAATAGTATTAACTCTCTTACAGAGTAGGAGAGGAGGGAAAGCTAGTCTACCTATCTGTCTACCTATGGTATAAAAAGGGGGCGCGCCTATAGCGCGCCCATAATAGCCTCTAGCCAGGACTAGCCCGGAGTGGGCTCGAGCCCGACTCTTTCACAAATAAACTTAAAGAGGTACTAGAAAGGTATAATAGTGTTGTGACCAACAGGGCACATATAGGGTAAGAGGTGAAGTTGTTGTATTGTGTAACTTCTATCTAGTTGTATGGTACGGGTAAGTGCCAGATATACTGGGTGACGGGAGATCGTTCTTCCGGCTTCAGAGCCGCCTGTCATCAAATAGAGCCTAATTAGTATATTTTTCTAATAGTAGTTTAATAATATTATAATCGGGGAAAATTATATATTAAATATAAGACCTATCTAGTGCCTTATTCGAAATCGGATAAGTACCTACCTCCTACCCCAGGCACCTGCCGAGGTACCTGTTTGTATTGGATGCGCCCCACTGCGACCTCACCACCATTCAATGCCCCGGCGGCCACGACGACATGCCGCTGTCAACCCCATCTTGCGAATGAGAGGTTGACTTCGCCCATTTTTCTTATTAATGAACTGGTCACGCACTCAACCCATCAATTTTTACCGGTGTACGATGCGTTAAAGCCCTAAATTTCTGTTGTAGCGGGACTCGTTTGTCAAAGCTGCCCAGACCTCGCCACAGTTCACACTGGCGCGCATTTGAAGCTTCCGCATTTTGAGCTGATCCAAACACGAACAAGTTCATTCATTCTCCTCTTTCTGCGCTTGCTCAAGTCCTTTCGAGCGCCATGGCTCGTACACGAAATACCTCCCGCACATCCATTGAAGACACCACCCCACGACGCCAGAACCCGCCGCGCATAACCAAAAGCCGCATAACGCAGCTCACAGATCACTCTACAAGCTCCGAATTATCTTCACAAGAAGATGCGAACGATATTGGAAGCCTCAAATATTTCGACTATGATACAAACGAGTATGGACCTGCTCGTGGTACAAACAAGACCACCAAAGCCGTCAGCGTCGCAGTTCGAACAGCAAAGGCAGCTTCAACGCGGCATGGAGCGAGCCGAGCCAAAAAAAGGAAAAGCGTCTCGAGGAGAAAATCTGACAGCAAGGGAGGCAAAGCAACACCACCAAAACGTAAACGCACACATACCAGCTGCGGCCCATCAAGTCCTTCGAAGCGGTCCCGACAGTCGCCCAAACAAGAACGAGAACCCATAATATACTCCGGTAGTATCATCCCGAACTGGAGAGATACCAGAATTCCCGTCGAATGCTGGTCGGATATATTTTACTATGCGGCCTACGATAGTGCCATGGGCAGCTTGGCTGCCAACTGGCTGCTCCAAGTCGCCACGAGCTGCCACTTCTTCACTGAACCGGCTATCGATACTCTCTATCGCTATCCGACGATCCGACATAGAGCAAAGGCCAAGAAGCTAGCCAGTTTGCTGGAGCTGCCTGTCGCGGGTACAACATTCAACTATCGATGTAAAATTGAAGCTTTGCATCTCGATATTCACGTTGTGCCCGCCACCATCCTATATCAGCTGATTCACCCACTCCCCCGACTCCGAGAGCTCATCATCTACACACCTTACGATCAGCCCCCGTATAGAGAGCTAGAAAAAAGTATTCGATGGCACTATTCCGCGAATCTTTTCCAAGCACTCCTTCCCGGGGCGCAGGACGCGACAGAGGCTGCCCTGAAGCCGTACCATTCGCAACTCAAGAGCTGGGAATGGAGCGGGCGCCTGGTCGGGGGCTATGTGGATGGGTTGAAGGATATCAGCCGTATACACGAGTTGCCATCTTTCGCAACTCTCACACGCTTGAGCTTTACAAACTTCCAGACACCATCACTGCGCAAACGCTTGCCCAGAAATGAGGATGAAGCGGCAGAATTTTTCAACGAGGACAGTGCCCACATCGAAGCCATCGCCGAATCTCTCAATAAACTGCCAGCTCTATCACATCTCGTATTCGAGTCATCGACTGTCATGAACGATCATATGCTGACTCTCCTGCCGAGAGGCCTGCTTCATCTTGAGCTCATCAACTGCTGGGAAATTCGTTCCTTTGATCTTGCGGCTTTCCTGCTAGACAAGGGCGGCGAGATGCGCATTCTCAGTCTCCATCACAACCAGTCACTGGACCTAGGGTTCCTAACCGATCTCGCCGAAACGTGCCCCAAGCTGCGTGAGCTCGACATGAATCTTTCCTATTACCAGCTTCACGAATCAGCGAGCGATTCAGATCCCATGTATGACCAAGTGTTGTTACCTAACCAGGTGCCCCATTGGCCATCTAGTATCCGCGTCATCAATATTGAACACATTCGTGACTGGTCCGTCGAAGCGGCAGAGATGTTCTTCCAGACACTCATCGACAATGCGCCCAACCTGCCCAATCTGCGCCACCTCTCCGTGAAGACTATGCTGGACATTCCGTGGCAGTCTCGCGCCACAATGCGCACTGCTTGGCGGGAGAAGATTGAGAAGGTCTTCTTACGACCATTGTCCTCACCTCCACGAGACATAAGAACCCTTCAGCCTAAGGGACCGGAGCAGACTTATATGACGCCAACGCCTAAACCGTCGAAGAAATGCAGCCTACCCCCTACGCCACCGTCTCGTCGCAGCACCAGATTTGCCGATCACGAGAGTGCCTCAAGTGAGAACCGCAAGTCATCACTGCGTAACTCTGGAGGCGTAGTGATACGGAAGTCCTACCGGGACCCGGACACCGACGAAGACACGCTGCCCGACTCGGAAAGTTCTGACAACGATGCCAGTAACGATCACAGTGACATGGCATCGTCAGATACTCCCTTGCCGGAACACGGACTGTGCAAGACTGTCAATATTGTATTCGACAACCAGAAGGTGCGTGAGCTGCAGTACGGCATGGAGGACTTCCAGACGGACAACAATGGCTCCGACGATGATGAGTGGGACGGCGACTACGAATCTGATGATCCCGTCCTACAGTTTTAAGCATTAATGTATTATTTTGCGCGTCGCATTACTCAAGCTGATGTTGACTGAGTACGGAAGACTCTGCGGATGTACCATTACGTGTAAAATTGGTCTAGAACTTGTTGCTTTGCGGAGTAGGTAAGAACGAACGAAATGGAATGGACATACAAAATGAAACAAGGTAACCTGACGTGATGGAGGCGAAAGCTGTATGAATTGATACCCATTAGTACTGAGCTAAAAGGTCTTTGGAATTTTTCCATGTGTTGATGCGTTATTATCTGCGAATATTCGAGAGATACAAGAGCAGGATAGAGGGAAAATCCCCAGCTATCGCTTTCCAACGCGCCGAACCGTAACTATCCGTGTCGAAACAAGAAACGAGGTACAAATTTTTATCATACAGCGCATTCTTTGCGACGCCTACTAGAACGCCGCGCCGCCCATGCCCTCACCTGCAAGGTTCTTCATACTCTTCTCGCTCAGGTCGCTGCGCAGCTCCCAGGCGGCCGCATCTCTCTCCAGCCGTCCCCACATGGACAGGCTCCGGCGTAGGCGTTCTTGCTTGGCACGCAGCTCCTCGCGAATCTTTTCTTCCTCATCACGCAGCTTGCGGAAGTGCGGCTCCACATCGCGTGAGACCCCGAGCACCATGGGAAGCATACTTGGATCTAGCTTGCCGCCAGGAATCAGCGGCGGCATCGTCGACATGAGGCCATGTGCGAGCGTCTGCCTCGGGCCGCTGCCATGCTGGGCAGCGGGTCCCGTGGGCGGGTTGAACGGCCGGCTTTGTGTTGGTGTAGAGGCACCACCCTGAGCGCTCATGGACTGGGTACGCGGGCCGGTCGGGATCCCCGACGAGCCAATCGGTGTGGAAGGCCCCGGCGAAGGACCTGCACGCGATGGTGTCTGCGGCCAGCCTCCACGACTGATACGTGGCTGAAAACCACCACGTCCAGACGGCACATAGCCGCGTGGGCCGGCCGGTGGGTTTGTAGGGCTCGCTGTGTCGGGGATGCCACTTGATCTTGAGGATGGAGAATCAAGTTGGCCTCCAGCTGATCTTGAACCGTTGGGCATAACACGGAGCGCGGCAGGACCTCGCGGTGGCGACTTGATGCCAGCCAGTTCATCTCTTTTTGGTCCATCGATGTAGCGAGGTGATTGGTCGCGAGATTGGTAGGGAGAGCGATTCCGAGGGATAGGAGATTCTCTACCGGAAGTTGGCAGAACGGGCACGGCAGAGGAAATATTCGAGTCCCTCGAGGGCGATGGTCGTCGATATGATTGATATCGGTCGTCTCGTCGCCCTGGAGAACGTGATCGTGGTCTGAACCCAGATGGCGTCGTCTTTCCTGAGGATCGGTCCGGTCCACCTCTAAGAAACGGCGAGCGTGAGCGTCGTCTGGTGTTATTGTTAGCAGAAAGTCTCTTGCGGTGTTCATTAAAATTGTTTTCAGCAATTACCTATCATCTCGGCGGTCCAGGTCTCGGTCTCTGTTGTCACGAATTCTGTCGCGATCCCATTCTCTACCCCGATCCATATCTCTATGTCGGTCCCTTCCCCAGTCTCGCCTCGGCGGCGATCTCGGGGGCCTGTCTCGATCAAACCTCATGTCTCGAATTGGCGAGGCTCTTCTAGCGGGACTCCTCGGGAGCAGCGGCGAACGTCTCCCGGGTGGCGGCGACCTGTGCCCAGGCGACCTCCGCATTGGGGAGCGCGATGTCAGGGATGCTCGTGGTGCTAATGAAGACAGAGGTGACCTCGTTCTGTCCCGTCGTCTGGGGCTATCGGGGCCAATGCGGTCTCTCGAGCGCTCGCGCCTAAATCCTATGCTTCGGGATCTGCGGCGCGGGGCGTATCTTCCTGGCACGTAGCTATCTGAGCCACCAGGTCCGCTTCCAGCACCAGTGCCACTACCCATGCCGGGACTGCGCGGGCGTGGAGGGGGGCTGCGCGCTCTTGGGCTCCGGGGAGGGCCTCGTTCACGAGAGCGCGCTGGGCTTTTACCCCTTCTCGGTGATCTATCACGCGGTGTGGGACGCCATGATTCGCCCGCACCGTATCGAACAACTTCGCCGTCGTCAAATCTGCTGTCATTCCTCAGTCAGTGAAGCTCAGGAGGGTAAAGGTCATGCAGTCAGTGCAACACTGATGGCGCGTAATCGCTTAGATAGCATTTCGGCAAGAGGGAGAACAATGATTGGAATCCTTACCTTCGACCGCGGTCTCTATCTCTGTCCATATTGATCTCTAAGCGACGCGTGGCCGATTGATAAGAGTAGGCGCAAACAGGCTTGGAAGTGGAAAATTGGACATCGAGACCCGAGAAGTCCAGGTGTCAGACTGTGCGCCAGTTGCGCTTGCACAGTATCTCACACTGTACTCCTCCACCTCCATTTCCAGCGTATTCGCAAGCTACTAATGCACACTTTTAGAATCTGGAATCGCAGGCAAGATATAAAAATGACTAATAGACATAAAATATCTCTCTCCCATGAATAAAATGCAGTCCTTGAGTCTACGACTTCATTGCGGCGACTTCTCATCCTCAGTCGTCTCTCCACGGGTATCAGCAACACGTCCCAGGATCCATTCGTGCGTCTCCTCCGCATGTGCGCGCATCATCTTATTCAGCCCAGTCAGTTCGCTGCGCACGACAGTACCAAAGCGCCGTTTCTGCACCTTGCGCGTCAAATCATAATCCGACCAGCAGGCGTGATCGCCCGCAACATAGACACGGGAATTATCTTTGTACCAGGATGAAAGGTCTGTATCAATGTCAGATTTCACAGGGCGCAAGCTGCCCGTGACAAAGTTGACGACGCCAGATATTCTGGTTTTGCAGTCTGTATATCAATTAGTTAAATGCTGCGTTTAATTCGATCAGTGTGTGGTTACCTCTGTTAATAAGAAGCACCTTTACACCAAGGTATGCGTCTCCAACGCCCATTAGGAAGATTTCCTCCGCATCACTGAGCTGCAGAAAATTATCCCATAGATAGCACATGAGAGACTGCATCTGCTCCTGAAGTGCTCGCTCCTTGAATCCTGGAATGAAGGCCTCCATATCCTCATCCTGCGATACGTAGGCTGGAACATTAACGTCCATGACTGCAAACTTTTTCCCGATGGCCCAGTTAATATATTGCGTGACGCCATCCACCACCCAAGAGTTGTGGCTATCCAAAGACCCGTCAATAACGTCGGGTTGCGCCAGCAGCTGTGGTGGATCATGAATAATCACTAGTAAACGTCTCGCGTCCTGCAGATTCGGGGTAACAAGAACCTGATTTTCGAAGGACTTGGAAATGTGGTCGCGCTGTACGTATAACGGTACCATGTTATGTTTGGCCTGCAGCGCCTGTTGTTGCGCAACGCGTATGACATCGTGAAGGCGGTTTCCATCGAGCGACTGCGTTTCGGGGACATTGATGACACCGGGCCGCATGCATTCCCAGTATGGAGCTTGATAAGCCTGAACCTTGGCTAAAGTTCGCGCCGCCTCCTTATTGATCATGGGAATCTTCATGCGTGGCGGCGGCTCGCCCATCAGAGTTCGTGCAACAGCGACTGCTGAGTTGGAAATAGCCTGCAAGTTATAACCGCCCTCAAGGCAGACAGCAACCCTACCTTCAGCGAGAGACATTAGCATGTGTGTCATGTGAGCATAACATGATGGTGTAACGAAGCAACCACCCAGCTCGTCTCCGTCAGCAGCGTCAAAGCCAGCCGAGATGACAACCAAGTCCGGGTCAAACTCCTTGGCGATGGGCATTACAAGCTTTTCAAAAGCAGCCATGTATTCTCCATCACCCATTCCCTGATCGTGCCACCCAATATTGATGTTCTTGCCGAGACCCGGTCCAATGCCACAGTTTTCTATTCCGCCATCGGGAACACTGGGGTCGGGCGATTTCCCAGGATAGAAAGAGCCGTTTTGATATACGTGAATTGAAATGTAGAGAACATTCGGGTCGTTGTAAAAGATATTCTGAACACCATTTCCGTGATGCACATCCCAATCCAAGATCAGAACTTTGCGGCAGATATCAGGGTAATCTTGCTGACAAACACGTACGGCCACGGGCACGTTGTTGAAGAAGCAAAATCCCATAGCCTGGTCGTACTCTGCATGATGTCCTGGTGGCCGAATGACGGCAAAGGCATTCTTAACTTGTCCCTCAACAACGTTTTTGCAGGTGTCGATGGCGCCGCCAGCAGAGAGCAAAGCGGCGGGGTAAGACATGCTGCCAACATACAACGACTCACGCCCTTGATCAAACTGTCTGGTAAGTGCACGAAGCTCAGAGGAGCTCAACTTATCGATGCTTTCAACCCATGTCAAGTGTTCTGCGGAATGTGCTAGGCAGATTTCGTCTCTTCGGGCAGGTCGGGCAGGAATCCTCCACATGTACTTCGTAGGTGACTCCTTGACGATTCGAGGCAGCTCAGACTGCGGGCCGGTATAGACGAGGCCCATCTTTTTAAAGGCTTTGAAGATTTCATGAATGCGCCTGGGATCCTCCGGGTGGTGGGTGTTCGGGCTAAAGTCTGCATTCATATGGAGTTTCATGCGGTCATCGTAGCAGCATCCAGTAGGAAGTAGACCGCGGCGACGGAGCAGCTGTAGGGCGACAGAATTCTCGTCAGGCTCACTCTCCGAGTCGTAATTGGCGGAATTGGACGCAGCACCTTCACCATCAATTTCGGTACTAGCAGAGCCATTCACGGGTTCAGCCTCCCCCATTGGGTGATCGTCACTCTCCATCTTGGCTCCCGCTTGGGCCATACCAAGAATGCCTAATGAAAGGCAAAGAGGTATAGCGCAGCGCGAAGTGTGTAGATTTAATCAACAGATAAGGTGCCGTATCGTGCCTCGCCAGCAGAGTCATACAGGTCAACTGTGTCGGAGACTACTTCGTCAGCAGAGTTTCCTTCGAAGGTACAACAACGGAATGAAATTGTGAGAAAATCGTATAGAGATCGAGTAAGAGAAACACCGGCGACTGCCACCGAAGCTTTGGGGTTTTGGTCTTGGTACCAAAACAAAAAAGTTTGCTGGGGAAGCCTTCACCTGGAAGCAGTCGTCGCAGCAGCGCATCGCCGAGCTTCACAGACTCAGACATAGAAGCAGAAGTACGGCTGTCGCATGTGTTCTCACAGGAGCTCAACGTCGGTATACGTAGTTTGGGTGGTCCGTGGCGGGGAGTATGTAGTAGGTCAGACTGGACGCATATATCATACCTGTGAGAGGATGCCCAGTGACAGCCGCACAATCGGGCCGCGACCAATTGGAGGGGTGAAAAGGAGATGGAAATATCGCACGTCGTAATTTTGAAATACGTGAGGGCAGTACTGGCGAGTCGCGAGACTGCTGTGGCTCGTGGCGCAAACACTCAAGATCGAGGGATGGAGGGACAAGTGAATGTTGACTTGGCCTGGCAGCTCGCACGAGTTTTAGTGGTCACCTGTCACTGGTTTGCCGTGCTGAGACGACAGCACTGTTAGTACTGGTGGGGACAAGGGAGTAGGTGTACTGAACCACTCTAATGGCAATGCTGAAGCAATAATGCCACAAGTCAATATTAATATGCCTAGGTAGGTAGGTAGGTACCCGGGGTTTGTCTCTAGGTAAATCGTCATACTGTGTTTTATCGCTGTGTTCTCTGGCTGGTGCCTCTGTCCAGCAAGCGCGCCCCGACCAATGGAAGGATGTCTGTGTGTATGCCGTATTAGTAAGTACCTACCTACTTAGGTAGGTAGGTACCTGGCACCAATCCAACGGAAGCTCCACGGCAAAACTATAGAAAGTTGAGCGAAATATCTCGGAAGTGTTTTAAACAAGGTAGTGAGTATCAACGAAACTATCGTGGAAATTATCGTCTATGTTAACACGTTGGAAAAGCGCAGCGGAAGCCTTACACAAGTGTTCCCTCCGCAACTTGAGCTCCCAAAGGTCTCATTATACCTTAGTAGTAGGTACCTACCTACAGTACGTGGCCAAAAGTCTGCGAACACCCTCCCCACCAAAATTGTATGGGGTTTTTGATAAGGCAACTTTAGTAGCTTATAACTTTTCCTTAAAACATAGGATTAAAATTCTCTTAAGATAAAAAGTTATTTAACTCTTTAATTAGCTTATCTAGATTTATTTTATATTGATAGCTATTTTATAGGTTTAGTTAAAAATACTTAAAAAAGTAGTACCCCTTCTATTTCTACAACATTTCCTAGTAAACTTTTAGAAAAACTACTTTATACCCTATATTAAAGATATTATATCTAATTCTATAAAATAGCTATAAATATAAACTTAATACCTTTATCCTAGTTATTAATTAAATAATATTTTATATATAGAAAGTTTATTTATATCTCTTAATAGTAAAAGGTTATAAAGCTTTAAAGTATAGTAAAAATAGTATATTTTTACTATATTTTTAAATTAGTATAATTAATTATAAGAAATAGATATTAAAATTTAGGTAGTTAATTTAGATAGTATTAAGCCTTATAAGTATAATATAGAAGATATAATATTATAGGTATTTAGTAAGTATTATTAATCCTATATAATATTTAGGGTAGAAATGTCGTGGCGTTGAAAGGTGTTCGCAGACTTTTGGCCTATTACTGTACCTAGGTATGGAATGAAATTGATTCAGTGGAACCCAGTGCTGGACACAACTGGATTTTTTCAATGAAACACCACCAACTTACACGGTTGATACCAAGAAGAAGGTGGCACAATACTCAGACAAGAACTGAAAGGGAGAGCAGTAAAATAGTGCAATTCACACCAGAGGCGGGGAAAGGCTCGTATTGCAGATAGAGTTCGAATAAACAAAATAACGAGCATACCAGGAATAGAAAAGATTATGTTAGATATCGCATAATTGTGACATTCCGCCCCGTTGGGTGAGGGCCTCGATGATTATGAGTCCGTCAACAACTCCTTATTTCACGTCGTTGATGGGCTGGGTGGTGACCAGATCTTATCCCTCTCGTCGTATCCTGTATTCACGTAGTCGAGCTAAGCTTGTATTTCATCCACACCTTTTACTTCACGTATTTTCTGAATCTGGTGTGTATACAATGGTCGACGGGTATGTATTTGCATCTAAGATCGTCTATGCTTGCAGCATGGCGCTGTATCCATGTACTTCAAAAACGCTACGCAATTCATCCTCCAGATATTCTCCATCATCGCCCCGTGGAGAGTACCGCGAAAACTGACGCACCGGCAGTACCCCAGGTGGCAGCATACCGTCCGCCCTTCCATCCTGCCCGTACTTTACTCGCTGTTCGTCCCTCTCATCGCCAAAGTCCAAAATACCACCCTCACAATCCTCTGGAACGATCGGCAAACTATCCACAAACTGTCGCTCCTCGAGCACGCATTGAATAACGCCCTGGAGCGACTCTTGATCGAAGTTAAAGGTCGGACGTTGCAGACGAATTTCAGTAATGAGACGCTTTCGTGTGTAACTGTAAATGTTCTCGAAGTAGTGCATCAGTTCCTTGGGGCTCAACTTCGCATATGTTTTGACGATTCGTGACCATTTACTCTGATCATTCCACATGGCATTAAGGGAATATTCCCTGCTGACTCTCTCCATCAGAGGCAGAGGGTCGCGCGACTATGTATTTTTTCGTTAGCCAGAGAAGGTGCGCAAATATCTCATGCTCTCAATCTGGGCTTACCAGTTGGTATGTGGGGTCCAATCGGGGGCAGATGTAGTGCAGAATTACATCCTTCATCGTCTCGTGCAGGTCAAGCAATTCTATTAAATCTGCAGTCGAGTGGCGGCGTAGTTGGCTTGTCCTCACATCCAACACAAAAGGCATGGGATGCCCGACCTGGGGACGCGGCCATTCGCCATGGAAGTACGTGCCATAGAGCCACCACCTATAGAAGGCGCGCCGAAATCTTGGCAACTCTTGTTCATTCAATGTTCTGCAGTATTCTGGATAGTGAAACCATCGCATTTGTGGAAAAAGCTGCTCCCATTGACGAACGAGCCGGCACATACGCAGAATAGGCTTCATGTCGTCTTCCGTGAGCACCGCCACGCCGCTACTCGCAACAGCCGTGGTCGTGCGGAATATTGAAGTCTTTTGTTTGTCGGTTTCTGCAGAGCACCTGGCGCCGTGGTTCATGTGGCCAAGTTGCGGCCCAATCGCGTAACCGGTGTCACCAGGGAAACGCTTGAATACTACCGTGCGAGGCTGGTAATAGGGACAGCTGTTTACGTCCTCGACCGTTGCCATGTAAACTTGGAGCAGTTCGTCGAACGGGCTGAACTCTTTCGACAAGACTTCCAAAAAAATCATGATTTTATTCCTGTTGAATACGCCGTGTAGGCACTTGCAAGCCAGTGAGAACTTGAAGATTGAGTCGAGGTCCAAATGCGAGGCAATGTCCAGCAAGATCTCGACGGGACAGTCGGAAAGACCCCATGGCTGCGAAGTCTCCGAGTTCATCGTTGCGATATGACCAGCGGTGTCGAGAGTTCTGTCCCTATCTCGCACTGGAACAGATCAGGCAATCCTTATAGGGTGAGTCTGTTGGGCTGTCGCGAGCAACCAAAAAGTGGTCTGTTTCTCATGGTTAGACAGACATACTATCCGCGTGTGGTTACGTCGAAACTCTCACTCGGTAACCTCGATTTCCAAGCCTGACGCGACTAAAGAGCAATAGGGCTGAACAATGAGTCAACCGTCGGCGCAGGGGCAATCGAGTTCAGGGGGCGCTGCTTTGGACTTGCAAAAACACGAGATCGTCGCCCAGTATCAAATTCGGAAAATGAATAATAGAAAATAAAGAAATGAAGTCAGCCAGGAGCAAAATCTGACTCCAGGTGATCCCCGTCTTCCACTTGAGCAAAACGGAGGACAACGATGGCACTTTGAACGTTACAGTCTAGACACCCCGCCGTTGGGGCTAGAAACAGGATGGTAGATGTTGTGCGCCATTGCGCCGCTGGTGATTTCTAATAAGGAAGCTGATAGCGCCGCCGCCGCCGCTGGATGACGCATGATGCAGAGTATTCTTCGCAGATCTTGTTGGCGAGATGCTAGGTACCAAAAAAGGTGAAGGAAAATAAGTCGGCCGAACAGGTGCCACACGTGCCCCAGGGGCACGTACATACATACTACAACGAGGACGTGGTTGACAACTGCCGGCCTTTTACCGGCGCGCGAAAGCGAGCCGAGGGAGCTGCGTCGCCGCGTTGGCAATATGCTAGGTAGTTACAGCGGCTCAGAGTAGGCTAGGTATAATTGGCGAACGAAAAATACTTAAAAGGAGAAAGAAAAATTCTTAGGTGCGAAGCTAACTATTCCAGCAAGTAATACAGCCTTTCTTTCTGTTTGGCCAAAGCATTGCGAAACGCCAACACCGTGAATAGATAAAAACAGAGGGTGCTTACGCAAAAAGCTTTCTCTTATCTAACTCGTCACCGGGTATTTTCTGTATGCTTCCATTTGTGCGTAGACCAAGATCCGCCTTTCGCGACAATCTACCAACCGTCTGCTCAGCTCTGGCGTTGTGGCGACTGGCCTTGGACCTACGCAGATCGGCGCGGACCTGGTTTGGCGAGACAAATTGCTTGTTCTCGTAGATGATTGGTCCACCAAAGGAGCCCTCTTGGATGACGATTGGGGTGAGGACGAATCGAGGCCCGATTTCGACGAGGTTGATATCAAGGTTGCTATTTGTCGCAGCGGCCTTTTTGCTCTTCTTTTTGACATCCCTGCTCTCGCCGTCAGCATCGAGGAGAGATCCTTCGGTCTCGCTGACTTGGTAGTTGCGGATCCAGATCTTTCCGTCGACAACACTGAACCCCAGTACGTGGTCAATGAAAGGCTTGGACTTTCTGGCACCCTCAGGGACGCCAAATGTATGGAAAAAAAGTTCCTTGATGACTTTTAAGTGCGGTTCGGAATCGAAGGCGGCATCGAACGAGAGGAGAGGCCGTGACCCCTTCAAGCAGTTACCCGTAAAATGTAACTCCTCCATGGTGTGCACTACATTAAGTCAATTAGTTTACTGCAATTTTTCGTACGGCATGATGCCACTCACAATTTTGGAGATGAAACTTGATGGTAGGTCCATTGGGTACCTTGCTCAGCCAGACGTACAGATCCTGTCCCTTGCGAGCCTCGAAGAAGAGGACATTGTTGCAGTTATATAACTCCGCAAGCTCGTTGAGCTCGTTCAGGCGCGATTTGGAGTCGAATTTGGCATCCTTTCGGCCGTGTGGAAGCATGGAGGCAATATCATTTAGTAAGTGGCGATGTCTATTGAGGTTTTGTGAGCCAGCGCACTTTGCGCAACGCTGATCGCATGGTAAGGAAATATCACCTGTATGTGACGCCACGGGACGACAGGATCAGCACTCGTTGCTTGTTCTTTCTAGTGCCGGAGGAAGGAGCATTCTGCTTCTGAGCACTGCTCTTGGAGAGAGACTTGTATACGGCAGCCATTTTATACCGTACGATATCTCAACAAATATCGAATGTACAGTCTCTGGTGCAGAAGGCTTTGGCCAAAAATCTTACGCCGCCAAAAAAATTTAGGCGGAGCAATCCTTTGTCCGGCCGATAAGACCTTATCGTAGCGTGGGATAGTTGGATAAGGTACCTAGATACCGAGATACCTAGGTACTTAGGTACCTACCTACACGTAGGTAAGGGATAGGTTTTTAAACAGGGCACAGGGCACATTCCCTATTTAATATATAGATTTCCCGTATTATAGTACTAATAATATATAATATATAGAAAAAACACAAAAGATTTATAATATATACTAATATATTTATTAACTAGTAATCTTATTATAATAAGTACTATTTATAAAGGAGTTGGGCTTAAGCCTATTCTAGGCTAGATCCTAGCGCGCCTCCTTTTATAGTATAAGAAATACATTAGGTAGACTAGCTTTTCCCTTCTCTCTTACTCCGTAAGAGAGTTAATACTATTATAACGCCTATTTATAGATACCTTAAGGCTAGTTCTTAATACTATTATTATATATCTTCTATAGTATAGTAGTTAGTATATAATCTTTATTAAGAAAGGACTTATGGCATCAAGAGGGGTCTCACCGGACCCCCGTATACTCCGGAACAAGACCGCAAAGAATCCCACAAAATGTGGATAAGGTTTTCCCCTAGGTACTCTAGTTTTTCCTTACCCTATAATTAGCAGAGGTACTAGATAGGTTATTTAGCCTAATTAGTGTATAAAAATTATTATTATTATTTATTAAGAAAGGAAAGTATATTATAGGCTAGACTTTAGCTTAATATTTTTTAGAATAGTTAGTATAGAGCTTTTAAAAAGAGTCTTTATAGGTATAATTAGATAATAATTAGTTAATATTATTATTATAAATCCTTTTAGTTAAGTAGATTAGGGTTTATACCCTTAATAGCTATAGTACTAATTACTACTAAAGCCCCTCTAAGGCTAGTCTATTATACTTATATCTTAGGTCCTTTCTTAAATATATGATTTTCTTTTATTATAATACTATTAGGCTATTATAATATATTACTTTTTATAAGCCGTGTTAGATAGGTACCTGATAGTGTTGTGATAGGGGAAAATTACCTTTATTTTAAACGGGGGATGTAGGCAGCCTCCTGCTGCGTCCTGCCTCACCCCTCGATCGCCGGGCCGCATACATGTGTCTGGCTTCCTCTCAGCCGCGAGCGGTTAGAAAGAAATGCGATGAGGGCCTGTGCAGGTTGACAACACGCCGAAATGCGATCAGACACCCTGGGCTAGTAGCTACGCAGTCGGAAACAATCGGGCGTGTTTTAGCATTAAAGGTTTCATTTTAGCTAGGAAAGGCGTAGTAGTAATCGTCAAACGCACCAGAACTTGGACAACCATCATTAAATAAGGAAAGCCAAAGTGACTGCGCCATCTTCTTCAACAAATTCGAGACCATCACAGCCGCACCCCCCTTGCAGAACGTACGCAATTCCATACATGACGTATTATCATGAGCGTGCCATGGTGATTATTGTGGTATCTAAGACAAGATGTCGAGTTGTGTATCGAGATTAGCAGCACTTGCCACCCTTCGAGGCATCATCGTCCGCAGGCTTGCTCAAGGAAATGTTCGTTCCGGCACCAATCGTGGCCTGGGCGCTATCGCCACCGTCGAGGGCTTTGCTGGAAACGATGCGATAGATTTCTACAAGCAGCAGGTTAGCTAACATATTGGACTTGCAGTAAAGTAAAGGTTTCGCGAACCAGTAAGAATGTTTTGAAAAGCAAGTTCAACATTGCTGGCATCGAGGGCAGAGGTCTCGATGAAGGAAAGGTGGTTTTCGCCTGGACAAAATAGTTAGCTGGGCAGGCAGATGCAGAAAGCGGCAACAAGCTGCTGGTTCAACATACTAGCAAACGCCTTGGCTTCTTCGGTGGGAACTGCTCTCAAGTGCCGCAAATCACTTTTGTTACCAACAAGCATGATGACAATATTGGCGTCGGCGTGGTCGCGCAGCTCCTTCAGCCATCGTGTGACGTTCTCATACGTCTGGTGCTTGCTGATATCGTAAACGAGGAGGGCGCCTACAGCGCCGCGGTAGTAGGCAGAGGTAATGGCACGGTATCGTTCCTGACCAGCAGTATCCCAGATCTGTGCCTTGATAGTCTTGGAGTCGACCTGGATGGAGCGCGTGGCGAATTCGACGCCGATGGTGGACTTGGAATCGAGGTTGAACTCGTTGCGAGTGAATCGGCTGAGAAGGTTGGATTTACCAACACCGGAGTCTCCGATCAGAACGACTACAGAGAATTTCGTCAGTGTCGATGCGCCAAGGCAGAGTGTATCGGAGTCGGTAGCTGCGAAATCGAATCAGGGGAGTAGGTTGTCAGCTGTACCTTTGAAGAGGAACTAGTGGGGCGACAAAGTTAGTATGAAGAGCTAAAGAAGCACGAGGTGATGGACGGAGAGGAAAGAAGCAGGAGCACGTACATCATATTCATCATTAGCCATGGCTGCGGTATTGTCGCGAGTGTGAGCGGATGTGTATGCAGTCGGTTGTGGTGACGCTGTGGTGTGGAGGAGGGAAGTCGCGGCTTTACAAAGGCCCATTAGGAGGTTTGGTGCCAAATGGGGCTGCCGGTGCTGCCACAAGACGTGGTTGGCACGGGGGGTTGGAGGGGCAGCACCCACAACGCAAGAAACCTCTAGTTAACGCTTGATACCTGCAGCCGAGTTACCCCGTAATTCTAGCACCGCACAGCCAAGCCGTAAATAGGGGCCTTTATTATTTAATAAACGGGCAGACTTTAAGGTACCCAGGTAAATACCTAGGTACATTCAGTGCAAGGTAATACAAGCGCCATTCGTAGGTAGTTATCAGCACCTAGGTAGGTACCTGCCACTAGGGAATCCTATAAACTAGGTACATTTTTAAGTAGACGCCAGTATACCGTCTGACCTTGTTACCGGGCTACACATACTTCATTTTCTATACCAGCTTCGCTCTGTTTGTCTGCTACTAGATGCATAGCAAGGTACTTAGGTAGTACTCCGAGTCCCTTGTGCAATTGCGCATTGTACCGGCGCTAAAGAGTTGGTAGCCTCGTAGGTAACTACCTACCTAGGTAGGTAGGTAGGTACCTAGGTTGGAGGGAGGAAAATCGGCTATAGAAAAAAATTATAGTCAGTTATAGATTTTGTCTCTAGTACCAGGTACTACTCGCGTGCTGTAATATTGCAGTAGGATCGTGGTAGAGACAAAGTGCTGCGATTATAGTTATTAGAATATACCTAGGTACCTACCTACTTCTAGGTTATTAGCAAATGCCTTATCCGCCCTGCAGTCGACGCGCGTTGGTGTGTGCTGTCACCTTCGAGTGTGCAGCTGCAGCCGCCAGCTGCAGCCAGCCGCCAGCCTCCTCACACACAACACGTTTGACGATATATATCAACCAGAAGATCTACGTGTTGCAAGTAGATGCGCGCTTACCCCTCAAAGGAATCCCGGGGATAGGAAATATCTCCCACTCACGCCTCACCGCAACACTACTGACACTCAGCGTTAATCCGCTGTCTGACTCTCCAGGGAGCACATAGAAACCTCGTTCCGCCCAAGCCCGAATCCCAACCCCGGCAAATCGCCATCAACTCGAAGCAGCAACATGGTGTAGCAGCGTTTCTGCACTCTTTGTGTGTATTAAAGCAGCATCGTCGTGAGTCTACCACAATCTGGCGCGGGCACCTGCATATTGTCAAGCGCCTTGCCCGACGCGTACGAACAAACCAACCCACAGCAATGGATATCGACGACAATGCCTCCATCGCTTCTACAATTGAAGAAGAGGCCGACCCAGATGCTGAATTTCCAGTGAAACAAATCCTAGCTGAGGGCCAGGTTGGCGGCCGGACCATGTATCTCCTTGAATGGGAAAATTATCCTCTTAGTGCAGCATCATGGGAGCCAAAAGAGAACATTCAGGGAGACATATTGGAAGACTGGTATCGTACGAAGCAAAAGCAGGAAGAGGGCCAGATCCCCAAATTTGATATTGATGAGTGGCGCATGGCGCTTATCCAGCATGTTCGAGATAAATACGCCCGTCATGAAATGCGAAATCGCGAACGTCAGCGCCGCGGATTGGAAGTTGGGCACTTTACCAAGACTTTAGAGCAATTTATTGCCGAAGTCAACGCCACCCCAAGTGACCTACCTCAAGTCGCAAGCGAAAGTGTTCACCAAACGGTCACTGCGAACGCCCCAAAACATACTACACAGCATGCTGAGGTTTCCGGGGAACGCTCTCCTCCTTCGTCAATCGACGGACTGTTTTCAGAATCTGACTCAGAATTGAAGTTTGGGTCTTCTTCTGGAAATTGTCATCTTGGCAGTGAAGAAGACTTGACAGTGTCTTCACCAAGCACAAACCCAAAACTTGTAGAAGATGCGGCAATACAACGATCAGAATGTTCACCACAGCGTGTTGCTGGTATCGCCATAGATTCTATCGAAAACATGGCTTCCGACGTTCTGGCTAACCAAGCGCCAGGTACGTTGTCTGGACACGCGCGTGACGCAGCGTCCGACCTCGGCGGCGATGCCATGGATATTGACGATGAGAGTGGACATGTTTTGCCGGGACGTTCGTCTCCAAACCGAGGGGGCGATCATAACAGCCTGCGTGAGAGCCGTTCAGTAAAAACGATTGCCGCCTCAAGCAACAGTATTCAGCCCTTCCCTGAAGCAAGCCTGGCAGCAGGCAAATCTTCACTACTGCGAGGGGGGCCTAGGAACGTCGAAGAGAATCAGAAGCGAGGTGTCTCATCTACCCTAGCATCAATGCCTATCAAACCCTTGAAGCGAGTTTCATTCTCCCTAGCGGCACCGATCAAAGAAAAGCCGAGCAGCAAATCCGAATCGAGCCTATTCGTACCCAATCACTGTCAAAAGCAGGCTTCATCAACTTCCAGCTCGAAGATGGGGACATTGATCAGCTCAAAGTCGAACTCTGCCGAAGAGAAATATTTGCAAGGGCGAAGTAATACTGAAGAAAGCTTACCAAAAACCTGTGTCATTGGATCGGTCAAGCTAGCGTGCTCGTTCCACGTCTCTTCGCCACCAGAAAACTCGCAAATGAGATTATATGCGGAGATTATGGACCTCGAGGAGTTTCAGTTCTCGCATGTATGCACCGCTCAAGACGTTATTTGGCAGTTACGCGCTTCCGAACTCAGCTCAGGTCCTCGGGTTACAGGAACTGCCTGTTCACATTTTCAAGCAGATAAGCTAGAGACAGTATTGAATTGTCTGCATTCGTCCTCTTTTGGCCTATTCTGTCACAATGATGGGTTCTGTCTCATGATGTACCCAAGCAAATGTGCCGACTGGCAGCAGCATCCGCTTCCAACATCAACACCGCCAACAGGTCATTTACTTCGATATCTAGCGTTTGCGACAGCGCCAAAATTTCGCGTCTGTGATATATCGTTGGAGTACAGCCTTCCGTACTCCTCAGGCATTGGCATCTTTGACAAACAACTCTACCGCAAACTACTACCGAGTAATGACCAGTTCGACAAGACTCAGCCAGTCTTGGATAGTTTCTTTCTGGTTTTCCCGCCATCAGCAAAACCAGAAGAAGACTTGCTATGTCGATGGCTAAGGGTATTCAACAGAAATTGTGAGATCCGTTCCTGCGCCGTATCGGGTCACTGGGCGAAATTTGTCGATGGGCTCAGAGGAGCAGTGATTCTACACCAGGACTGCGTTCAGCTACTACATCGTTTGCCTCACTTTTCAAAATTACTCCACAGCCGAAATGAAGATTACAACTTTTGGATCTTCCGACTACCCTTTTGCTCCCCAGTTTCGGAACAACACTTCATGGACGAGTATCTGGAGCAAGTTGGCATCGCTTTGGACTGGGCATTTCCACCTGGCATCGCAGTAATGGCCCCTCCTAGCTTCTTTCTTTCGCAACCTACGCAGGCGTACAATATGTTAAAGTGGATTTGGCAAAACTTTTCGGCTGAAGCTCCGGTCTACCGTCATGGGAAGCTGGTCGTCTGTCATAACATGGATGATTGGCTGCTCAACTTGATGTTAGAAAAGAGCAAGGCCAGTCTCGAGGCGCGCGAGCCCAAACAAATTCTTGAAGTTCGAATGAAAACCTTCATGCTGATGAAAAAGTTGTTGGGCCAAGACAATGAGGAAATATCGTCTCCAGTTGTTTACGCACCGCGTAATATTGACGGCAACGACGAGCAAAGCCTTGTCAATTGGTTTGGATGGTGGAGTGTATCTCAGGTGCACAAATTTCGGAAATTCACTGTGATTTGTTCAGATAACGAGGACGATAAAAGACTGTCAAGGTATATTGAGCGAGCTACCTTGAGGGAAATGTTTTCGGCAGCCTATGGGCTTGGTGGTACGACGTCGACTACACAGCGCGCGAGCCCTACACTAGTCACGAGCGACACGCCAGATTGTCTCAGCGCATACATTAGAAGTGTGAGCAACGATGCACACGCAAGCTTGTGGAATCCTCTCGTGATTTGTCCCTGGCCTCTTGTCCAACATGAGGGAACTTCGCAGTACGGCGATGCTAGTCAGTGGGTCAATTTTTTCGCGGAACATTATATTCTTCCACTGCTCAATGGCAAAGCCTTTGCTAAAAAGAAGAACACTGCAGTGGGATTTTTCTACTTGGTAGATGGCACCCCATATCAAGTTGACCGACTTAACGTACAGCCAGCGCATGCTTGGCTGGCTTTTGTACGACCAATGGAGCTGCATCGAAAACCGTGGAAGTACGCCGAGCTACTCTTTTGGGACTTTCGCCTCCGAGACGTGGCACACCGGTCACAAACGATTTCCGAGTCAGATCTGTCGTCCGCACAAAGAAATCTCATCACGGAAGTAACTAAGAAGTATGCTAAGATGAATCTCCCACTCGGCAAGGTTTGGGCCGGTGGCTTCAAGGCATCTAAGATGCACCCGCATCCTTTAGACATTACACTCGACTGGATGAAGGCAATGGTAGCCAACGTTAAGAGCTGGCTCCCCCTGAACCACGACGACTTGTTGAATCGTGGATGGAGCCTAGTCCGCAGCCGCAGCTCGCCATCCATGTCCCACTCTCCGGCCTTGTCACGCTATGCCGCATCCTCTGGCGGCGCAGAGACTGGAGACAATGAGGCAACAGAGGAGCCACAAATCATCTTGTTCGATCCACCAAATTCAAGCTCTGCTGACTCGATACCATATAAAAATAGGCTGTATCAGTGGGCAATGGCTGATCGTGTTTCAAGGGAGTTCGAGTATACATATGTGCCGACGTTGGAGTGGTACAGGGAGCAACAAGAGTCAGGTCGAGGCTTCGAGCATATTCGCGTGCTGTCGTGGAAGGAATTTTTTGAACATTACAGAATCGATGACCCAGAAAAATAGATCAGATTGTCTGTATTCGAGTTTTGTAACTCGTGACTAGTTTGCCTCCCAGTTCTCTATGTAGCCTCTCATTGCGTCTCATATCTCGAAAAGCTAACATGATCCTTGTATTACTTGCCCTTTCCAATTTTATTATACAAGGGAAGAAAACTGTCGCTTGTACGCAAAATATCCCACCCCATATCACTACGAAGGTCACTCGTCGCTGTTCTCTTATCTCGTCGAAGCCGGGAAGCTTCTAGTGCTCAACAGCACGCCCTTGATACGGCGGATATTGTCCCTCGCCTTTCGCACCTCGTCATCTGGCTCAATGTTGGAACCAGCCGTCGACATCATACCGTAGCCGCCTGGTGTAAAGTCCATGTGCGGGAAAATCATGCGGTCGAGGTCTTCCCGGAAATGTTCGACCTGTGCCTTGATATCCTCAAAGTCGCCACACTGAGAGACGACAGCATCACGGAGTCCCGAAAAGCACTTCGCGAGCTTAGTCACACTCGTAGTATGATCCAGCGTCGTTGCCTGCTTGAGCCCTGGATTTTTGGCATCCTCAGCCGCACTCGCCAGCGCGTCGCTAAACGAGGTCTGCGTGCCGATATCGCGATGAAACATTTCCGTAGGGTCCTCGTCATCTTCTTCGTCACTGACCATAGTTGTTGCGAGAGACGGAGTTGGCTTGTTTACGAGTGCAGCATGCTTGGGTGGCGGCACGACGGAGACGGTGCGCTCGAGCTGGTTCACGAGCGCCTTGAGGCGGCTGGCTGTTGTGTCGTGTAGCTCCTGGCGTGCAACGTTGAGGTTCCCAAGCATAGGTTCGGCTACAAACTTGCTCGCGCCATATATGAGTGTCGAAAGTCCTGTAAATCCATATAGCGTGTTGAGGAGGCCCTGCCTAGTAACGAGCGGCGGTGGGCGCTGCGGCTTGGTAAGGAATTCGGGGTATGTGACAATCGGCGCGCGGTCGGTAGCTGTGATGGCAGGTATACGTTTCTGCGGCGTGGGAGACACATTGTCTGTCTCTTCCTCTGTGGCCTAGCAGAGCCATGGCAAGTCAGTCAAGGACACAGTCAACCTTCAATAGAAGCTTACAGTCTCTGGAGCGTCTCCCAGAAGTTTTTGGATATGACCGTCTTCAACACCCTTTGACTTTAAAAAGACCGCCTTTTTGTCGCGTGATTTATTCTTGACCATCTCATCGTCTAAGAATCGTCGCGCAATGGTTAGCTTATCTTCTGTGGTCGAGCTGCCAGAGTCGGTGCTCGCTGCTGGCGTCGCCTCAACATCTGGTGTAGTCCCTCCGCTTCGCTGTGGGGTCCGCTGCCATGCGGGAATGCCATCGTCGCTCGAATCGCTCATTTTATCCGTGTTCTCTATGCTATTTTGGCGCTTGCTTCATTCCCATGTTGGCAACGAAATACAATGCCCTTTGAGTGGAAAGAATGGAATTGTTCCTTCTGATGAGCGTGCGGAGAATTGGTCATGACTAGTTAGGCCGGGGGGTGGTGCCGAGGCAAAGAGTTGTGGTGGGGCATCACGTCCATCACAACCTGGGTCCATCACAGGCAAGGTGATCAAGCTTTCGAGGCAAGATAATTCCACATATTTCACAGACTGAAACACCAGCTCAACCATTTCGATATTTTATGCGAGGGCTGCACTAATGCATTAGGGGGTCGCTCCCAGCTCGGGGATAGGGCATTTCCTGAATTTCCTCATGCTAGGACATCACGAGGCGTGACAAGGCAAGAGAGTAATGGTCTGCTAGCCACTTTCTCTACAGCTGCTCGGGCTCCGTGGAAAATTTTGACACTCAGCGCGTGACTTGCTACGTGCAGCGAAGGTACAGAAAAACGTGCAGCTGGGCTGATCGAGATTTCCTACGATCGGATCTTCGAACCCACTCAAGCCCCAGTCAACGCAGTTCGTTCGGAGTAAATAGTTCACATAGCAGTTAAAATGAGCAACTACCTAGGGGTACAGTATCTTTCGGACAGAGGTGCACGAGAGATGCACACTTGATTATACTAGGTACGGCAGCTTTATCGCGCTGAGAGTCCGAGATATGCTGAACTTGGACGGTTCCCCTTAACAAGGTGTCCGCAGATTACATCATAGTGGTTTATTTTCTTTATTAAATTACTCTACTTAGACTCTTCTATATCTTTCTAGTACCTTTATAGTTTATAAGTACTAGAAAAACCGTAGCAAACCTTTTTTACTTTATAAGGGGGTTAATACTAGTTATTATAATACCTACTTATAGATACCCTGAGGCTAGTCCTTAATAGTATATTATAATATAGTAAATATAAAAGGAACTCTTTAAATCCCTTTAAGAAATAAAAGTATACTATATATACTATATATACTATAGGTAGTATACTTCTATGCCTATATCCTAACTTTTAAAAAGTTTGTGTTGATGTAGGAAGAGAGTTATTATAACAACTTGCTAAGGTACGGAGTACAAGGTACCTAAATTCTATGGGACTTGTTTTAGCATGGACCTCAACACGGGTACTCAGCCCCCTACCGACTCCTCCCCTCGAGTCACACGGAGACAACGCCCGGTTGCTACCTAATAACTTGGCGCAATGCTGCTTCACGAGTTTGCTATTACGAACAAGAGATTGGATATTTCCACAGTCGGTTCTAGCACACAAATAGGTATGTTGATTCCCTGTGGGATATGTGGCGTAGCGCGTCATGAACGGCTTCGCGGGCGCAAACCAGGCAGCAGCTTCTGATTCAAGTGAACCAGTTGTGGCTGCTGGTGGTGGTACTCGGCGGCGCGCCTGGGAGCGGCAAACACCAAAAACCTGCAACCTGGTTACCGCTTCCTTTCCGCGTCGCCCCTTGCTTCGCCAACAAACACGCAGCCCCAGGCATAAAAAGTGTGCAATCACCAATTTCAAGACTCATTCTTGATTGAGGGCTTTGCGGTTTGTGTTTTTAGCTCATTCCATCGCCGATCGCCTGGCATACACATCCAGACGCCCGCATCTCTCTCATCATGGTGTCTCGCCCCAAACGCTCGGCTGCTACCAAAGCGACCGAGAATATCTCGGTACAATCGAAATGGACTGACAATGAGAGGACTGGCGATAGTCCCGTCCCGTCTCGCCGTTCAGGACGCTCTACAGTGTTTCGCGACGCGCCTTCATCCCCAGAATCAGGCAGCATGCCCTCCCGCTCGCGTCAATCCGCGCGCGCCGGTCGTCGCTCCGAGCAGTTTGACGGCGGCGAAATCGTCACCGGAAAGCGCAACCGTGGCACCAAGAAGAGCTATGTCGTCGAGTCCAGTCCCGACGATGATGAGGACGATATGGAGGATGAGGTTGAGGTGGACCTTGATGACGAGGATGCTGAAGGGGAAGACGAGGTTGACATGGATGCCGAGGGTGAGGATCTCGATGCCGACGGAGATGTTGATATGGATGCAGCACCGCCTCCGCGCCGCAATAAGGTAACAACTATCAGAGTCTCGCGCTCGGCAAAGCCCCGCAACGCTGCCAGAGCGGCCGCATCCCGCATTGTTGCAGATGATGACGATGACGACGATGACGAGCTCAGTGAGCCAGGTAGCGATTTAGCTGATGAGACGATGGGCGTGCGCGAGGTTGAGGAAGACGCTGAAGGAGAGGAGATTGAGGTGGCTGGAGACGGCGAGGAAGAAGAAGAGGAAGAGGAGGAAGAGGAGGAAGAGGAGGAGGAAGAGGAGGAAGAGGAGGAGCAGGAGGAAGAAGAGGACGCCGAAGGCGAGGCGGATGTTCGAGAGCTCGATAGCGATGAGGACGGCAGCCGCGCTGGTACACCAGACCTGGCCAAGATGACCAAGCGCCAGAGAGCCCGCTTCGACGAACAGCCCCAAGAATACATGAAGCTTTCGGATGGTACGTGCGGAAACACATCGGATGCATACCTAACACTAATCGCATCATTGCAGAGGTTCAAGCAAAAAAGGTGTTCACGGCTGAAGAACTGTCTATGCGCCGCCAGGAAATGGCTCGTCGTAGACGGAATCTAAGCGAGAAGCGCAACGAAGAAGTCAAGGTATGCCACGTATAATCAAACATCGGACGAAGCGCACGGTAGTGAGACAAGTTTTTCTAATCACGGCATCAACAGATGGAAACTATCAACAAATTGCTCAAAAAACAAGCGCCCAAGACAAAAAAGGGTGCCCGTGGCAACTCACCCGGGGCTGATGTCAGGCCAGCCGCGACGCTAATTAGGTGGGTTAGCAGCAAGGGCGGCAGCAAGATTGCCGTGCCCGAAGAGATCATGGGCGGGCCAGTGGGCAACGTGTTTGGGCCGGCGGGTAAGGGTAGCAGTGGAACCAAGATGGTGGAAGAGGTGGCGTGAAGATGTGATTCTCGGACCAGGTTGAATCTTGCGCATTGGTTTCTTGTTATTGGAGAGGTTTGATTGTAGCACAAGTGCAGCGATCTCGGCGCCGCGACACTCTAACTAGATAGGTTTTCATGGAGAGGAAGGGGGAGGAGCAGAGGAAATACTGTGCGTTTGAACGCTATTGCTGGCGTGTACGTTTGTTTCCGGCACTACAGAACAATAAACATACTGCGTTGAGCAGGACGACCAAGTTTGTGGTGCAGCTCATCTATCAGGGCATGCAGGTTGAGTGGGCTGCATGATGAGTCACTTATTGTAATCTGCTTCGATGATCTGGAAAGTGATCTTGGAGGCGCGACTATAGGATCAAAGGGCGGAAGCCTCGCAAGAAGCTAGCTTGGCCAGATTGTCTCCATTTGAAAATCCATTCGACAGACATTATACTTCTGTTCTCAACCGAGCGATACTGCGAGTCCCGAAGAAGAAAAGAAGAAGAAGAGTAAATCTTCAGCTTGTACACTGGCCGCACGTTTGCATGTATGTGTGGCACTGGAAAAGCGTGCTTCGCCCACCTCGTCGGGACTAGGACTTCCCTCTCTTCCGTCGAGTCATCGAATCAGAGTTCTGCCTCGTATTTGCCATTCTGCTTTTTCCATGTTGGTCCTCCCTCTCCCTCTGCCGTGCTGCAATGCAACGGCAGCTGACGTTAGCCAGTTCTTGAGAGCGGCGCAGCGTGATGACGGGACAGGTTGAAGCAGAATCCTAAAATTACCCGAACACAGTCCTCCCTGATCTGTGAGTTACGGGCGCCGGCTTACCTAGTGAGCAGGCAAACTTTCAAAGTGGCAAAGCGCCCCAACGCCCGCGCTTGTTCGCGCAAACTTGGCTCGTGGGGTACACCTCCTAGGTTACGTAGGTAGTTACCGCCTGGTAGAGATAGGGTAAGACCTACCTAATAAGTTGGGATACTAATACCTACCAGGTAGGTAGGTAAGCCATAACACTTGCACAGCTCGGGGAGGGAGACTCCACCACCGAGGCGGCGCCTCAAACCTTCAGTTCCTCCTCACATTCATCAACTTTGCCCATCTCTTTTGTGCGCCACCTTAATTTTTATTTTATCTCTTCTCCCCGTTTCTGTGGCTATACACTTTTTTCTCACAATCAGCGTTAGCCCCCTCTTTTTCTTCTCTTTTGTTTATAGCGACTTGTTTCATTTCACCCATCGCCCCACGTTTCTATCTACTCTTATACGACCGACTCGCCCGACGACAAGTCTCCTTCTTCCGCCGACTTTGCAAATCATTGTTTCAATTGCGTCCTCCAAATCCAGCCCCTATTGAAAATATTATACATCCGGTATTCCATAGGATTTCAGGACTTCAATACCCGTTGGCAGGGCCGCCAGTCGCCTACCATTGGGCGCGCCGCTGCATGTACCTAGCACTGCTCTTGCTCTGAGACATATCAAACCGACTCTTATCAAGATGGACAATGTTTATTTCCCTAGCATGGACATTGCCGATGTTGTCGAGTCTGATTATATCGGTGTCGTGCCTCAGCCTGGTTTCCACCGTACCGCTGAACAGCTCTCCTCCGACAACTACTTTGCCAATTCTTTGGACAATAGTCGTGGGGAATGGGATTCAATATTGAGCGAATTCACGATTGATGCTTGTATACAGGATCCCGGCACTTTTAATTCGTCCCTTCTTTCGACATCTCCGGTCACGTCATCGTCAGTTCACAACACTCCCGACACGGTCGTCAGCAATACTTGGGCGAATCCCAGCGGCTCCGGAGAAGGTATCGACGACAGAATAAGGGGGCCAGAACCGACTTTCAGAGGGACAGCAACCGAGAAATACCTCCAGAATCAAACGACCACTTTTGATTCGGACCTGCCAGCCAACGATATCCACCAACCGAGGTCTGATTCAGCGCCACACTCAGCCCTGGCAGTGAGCCAGGGCACAGGAATAGCAGCTGGCACTATCGTATGCTCTGCTGCTACACTGGGTACTTCCCAGAAAGAGTCGACTCTCGTCATGAATGCGTCTCCTCGGCACCGCGTCTCCCGCCTCCCACCCGACATCGGGCCAGATGGGGAGATCAGGTACCTGGAGCCTCACGACATACCCCAAATCAGGCCCGAGACACGCCACCAAACCGTTCAGCATGCTGTCGAGCAGAATGTGATACTGCCTCAAGAATTGGAAAGACACATGTATTATCCCTCTGGGCAAGAGCGCAGTCGACAAAATGAACAAATTCCACCGCAGGTGCAGATGCAACAAGTGCAGCCACAGCCACAGCCTGTACTACAATCCCGACCCTTTCAGTACGTTCCGGGCCTTCAGAAACTACAAACTATCCAGCAATTCCAAGCCCTTCAGCAGCCTCAGCAAGGAACAGGCTCCCAGTACTTCCCGAATCAACAATTCTATAGCCAAAGTTCACACTACGCTCACCCCCCTCATTACCCTCAGCAAAGCAATGCTCCTTTACGCCAGAAAAATGCTACTGATACACAACAGACACAACAACAGCAGTATCTTCAGCATTTTCAACAGGCTTCAAAAGTACCACATTTCCAGCCTGGCATGCACGATGTTCACCCAGTCGCTCAGCAACCACGACAGTCAATGCCGCCCGTCCATAGCCATACACATATGCAGGCGCCTCCAATGGCGCAGGATAAATGTCTAGAGCTTTATTACACTGCAGATGGATACAAACCTAACTCGGATCGCCCGGAGAAGCCCCCGAACACTAATTCGCACGAATGGCTCAGAAATCGAGATTTCCGCTCCACATGGAACACCGGCGATGTCTATACAAATTGGTTGGATACTAGCCCTAACACTGTAGAGCCGCACGTCAAACCGTTTCTCAAGAAGGACATCAAACTCGGCATGTCGTCACAAGATGCAACAAAAGCTGCCATCACAGACGGTTTCGTACGTGGTGCAGGATGGGCCGCAAAACTATTCTTGATGCAAATCGAGAAGGAGATGAGGGAAAGCGGAACTATGCTGGGTTACCGGCCACACAAGAAAGTCCAAAAGGCTGAGTTGGAACAGTCTGTTGTAGACCATATTGTCCGGACAAACCCACCATCTATCCACGGGGCGCAGTGCGCCAATGTCATTGCCTGGGCGTATGATGAATTCTACCCCGGCGTTTTCTGTCAGGAGGGTAGCAATGGCAGGCCACGAGGCCCAAATGAAATTTTTGAGGCTTGGAAAATTCTCAGCAAGCGAGTTACACCGGATCAGCTGAAACCAGTGGTGTTCGATACCAGCACGGGTATGATTGTGATGACGGACCTCCCGCTCTCTCGGCCACCTCGGCCACCAGTGGCCGAAGTGAGAGCGTTCTCTGCTCAAGATGGGCACGAAACAGCCATCAGAATAGCTCAGTTCCCCGTTCCCAATGCTAAGAGCGGGCGTGTTGCAGTGAATTGCGGGGAAAACTTCTTTACCAACCCTGAAGGACCGGCGACAATGAAGCTTCAGCAGATGAAAAGGGCTGAGTCGATGGCATCGAGGTCGATAGCCAAGCCTCAAGGAACCAGACAGACTCCTAAGACAGCAGAGGAGAAGAAAGAAAACAGAAACCGCAAGGCGGACGAAAAGATCAGATGGACGCTTACTGGGCAGTCACGTACTATTCAACTTGAGCACATGACAGGAGTGGTGTCCTACGAGTGCAGCGATGGCGAGTTTCGCATTTTGGAAGGTCAGAGACTCGAAGAGGCTAAAGAAAGGACTTTCCAGCGCATCATAAAACAGCAGGAAGCTAGAACTTCGGCAGACGCCACAGGAATAAATGCGTCAAGCACGACAGCCAACGAGTCGCTAGTTGTACTTCTGACAGGTGCGGAACCTGACAGCAATGGGCAGACACCTCCACTCCCTGTGGATGGCCTTCAAAGAATTCACATGGCAGATACGCTGGATATTAGTGCCAAGGTGAACCAGCCGATGAATCTCGGAGAAATCAAGAGGAGGCGAGTGCCGGACGACGAGTCGATGCCAGGAGTGCGACGAAAAAGAGTTCGGCAAGATGTACAGCCAGGGTTCCGGGAGGCAAGAACAGGTAAAGAAATGATATCTTCTCGGTCGCTAGATAGCAGTAATGAGGGGCACTGAAGAGCCCTCGATGCGATTTTTGGGGGGGGGCAAGGGCAAAGGAGGAATGTATTTGGATCTCCAAGAAAGTTGGTTGAAGTGGACCGTGTACTACCATTCATAACGAGACCCGACACGATATTTCAATGTACTGAACAATTCAGATATCGATGTATCTTGTAGAACATCGCGAGAGGACCCGTCCTCTGCGCTGCATTGGGACGCTTCGCGGCGGAAGTTGGCTCCGAAGTCATTCCAGCCTGGTTTATTGGCACGGCCTTACAATGCACTTAGTGAACTGTTAACATCGCTCCTGTACAATGTTTATTTGCCGGCTGAAGAAAACAACGGTCTGAACAGATATCAGTGGCCAAATATCTACACAACATTACAACCCAAGCCTGCTACATGGGCTCACACGGCCGATGATTTGAGCTTTCATCGATAATTTTATACTACAATACGTAACTATGTGGGCTCTCGGCTTATCAGGCGAAGCATTCGCGACGGGAGAGACAAGTGGATTCGTAGACGTTTGGACAGAATAATCTGTACGGAGTACAGTATGCGGACGTAGTACGCAACTAGGTGGAGAAGCCGGTTGGAAACTGTTTGACTGTCACATTTATTCGTTAGTTGGTTAGTTGGTTAGTTGGTTAGTTAGGGTTTGCAAGAACAGGGTCACTGTGTGGGAGCACATTCAATGTAAGAGAGTGGGACCAGGTCAGTAACCCCGTTTGCAGACCAAGCATCATTCATTCCTTTTTTCAGAACCTTTGCGCCGAGTTTACCACCTCCGTCTATGCCTGCGAGCAAAAGTATACTTTTGGTTGTTTAATAGGTGAGCAGTCGTCGAACGAAGGCCTGACCGGCTCAAAGTTTAACTCCCTTCGAGCGTTGCTCTACCAAGGGCCGTTGACGCTTCGTTTTTCCTGGTCTTTTTCTTTTCAACTTGTTGTGTGGAGAAGTCACAGACTTTTTTGCCTACCTATGTACCTCCAAGCCATCCAGCCATCCGTTCAAAGCCACCAATGAATGGTCTCTAGGTACATACACGCAGGTATTCATTTTAGTGCTGATCCTAGGTGCCACAATCCCGTCACTACGCCTCCTGCTAATGGTGTGGAACAGGACCTTGACCATTCTTTTGAGACAATTATTTCACTTGCTAAATCATGTCTGATATGGCCTATCAATATGTGGCTGCGGCCAGCATACCAGGTAGGATTTGTCTGGTGGTGTACGCGGTCCGCGTTGTGTTGTTCAATGGCTACCTGCAACCCGATTTGCGATCTGACAATTGACACCTCTCCATCTCGTCGAACTTGTGCTCATCACTTTGGTTCCTCCCCTCTTAGCTGGCTGCTCATTGCTGGTCTCGGCCAGACTTGTGTGTGGGGTGGCCGTTGCAACCCTTTGAGTGCAACGCTGAGAGCGGAGAACTTGTCTACCTATGTATGTGTCTATGTACATACATAGGTACCGATAACCCGGGCCAGTATGTACTTCACATTGAGCAAACCAGCTCCAATGAACTGTGTGATGCAGGCAACCCGCAAGAAATGATCCAGACTAGATCAGTCGCTGTGGGCCTGGCACTGGTAACAGGTTTTAGGCATTTTAGCGTTCCCAAATGCGCGCCGCACAGTGGACACAGACCTTCTTCTGGCCCTCCCCCGCAGTGGTGTGTCCTCCAAGTGGCAGGCGAGTGCCTTTACCCTTTTGCAGCTGGCCTCCTAGCAAAGCCCTGAGACGGTCAAGAAGAAAGTTCATTATCTTTGCACCTCGTCTTTAATTTTCAGGCGACCTTGCTGTTTCTCAGCCTTATTGTCGATCTTGTTTTCGCATGTGTGTTTGCTTGGGCTGTGGAGTACATAGGTACCTACCAGGTAGGTACCTTAGTACCTGTACCGTCAAACACCGTTGCTGCAAGATGCACCAGTACCACAAGACCAACCAACCACCACCACTTTAAAGCCACAGTCCGGCTTCCACCCCGCGTCTTTTTACGCCCCGCGCGCCTCTCGTCATAAATAGCCTTGTGACCTTTCGCTGCGTTCATCCTGTGCCTTTCCCTTTGTCGCCTCGGCTTATCCCCACCCTGGTAAGTCTTCTTCTGTATCGCTCCACTCCGCCTGTCGCAACCACCCAGCCGTGACAGCTCACGATACATCGAGTGTCACCTAGCCTTTCCCCTCACCAGTCTTCTGGTCCTTTTTCATTCGCGCTTCATACCGAGCTTCACAGCTCACTATAAGCCTGATTCATACTCTGGCCTTGAATTTGGGTCCGGCATCATTCTCCCGAGCCAATTTTCTTACTCTCATTGCAATCTCACCCGCCATCGGCGCCTCCGATGGTCATGCCTTAGCTCACGCGAGTCAAGGGTGGCGAATCTTCACAAACCTTCTCGATACCAAAGGAAAAGTCGGTTGATTTCTTTCAAACACTCGTTTCTATTCCTGCACCACCCCTTTCATCATAAGCACAATATTCCCATGTGCTCATTGCACTCGTTGATGTCTGGCAATTTAAAATTGACATTAGAGACCTTCCAAACGCTGCTCATGCTTCGCCCTTGGCGCTCTGCTCAACCCTGCTGACATCCCTCTTCTTTCAGTCGCCGCGGCCGAGAACCCATCGTCTTCACAACTGACGGCTGATCTCACCATATCTTCTGCAGTGCTAGCCGCCGCCGCCGAGCACATCATGATCTTTTCGGACTTTTACAAAGGCTCGCGCTCGCCGCTCGCCCGACTCCGTACCGGCAACCCACAACTCTCCTCCAAACTGCCCACTACCTCCCCGGATTGGGTTGGCGACGAGTATGTGGACTTGCTTAGCAAGGACAAGGCCAAGAACAAGGAGGCTATTCGCCGTTACCTTGCTGACAAGGTACGCTACGACTGGGTCTTCGACTGGCCACAGCAGCTTGCCCCAAACTCGCCTGGTAAGCCTCCCCAGCAGGATCAGGCGCAGGCTGTCAGTCCAAAGGCGGCCAAACAAGACAAGGTGAACTCAGAGACATCCGCTGGCCTTGATGCAATAGATGATGGCTATCAAGTCGAGGACTCCGAACTCGAGTCCGACGGCGAGTCTGTGTATAGTGTCGTCTCCGCAGACGATCTCCACTGGCAGCCCCGTGCCGAGTGGACGTCCGATATCGACGACCAAGGAGACGACTCGTCTTTCGATGACTCACAATCCTCACTGCAACTTGCTGGTATCGCCCGAAAGGCGAAACGTCGCCGCGCCATCCGCGAAGAGGCATCGTGGAACCCAGGACTCGCCTGCTTCGAGGCCCGGCGCAATGCCTGGACCGGCGCAAAGACGGCACGCGTCCGTTCAAAGCCCGTCACCGCCACATCCGCCCAAACCCTCTCGCCACGCTCTCCACGCCGCTTCTTCTTTCGCCGCAGCATGTCGAGTTCGCCTCCTACCGCTGCTGCGTTGGCGGCGGCGCATTCTGCATCTGTCGAACTCTCTGGCACTGCATCCGACTCTTCATCCATCCCCCATGACGAGCTACGTAGAGTTGACTCTCAAGTCGACGGAAGCACTGCTAATACGCCCGCTACCTCCACCGCCACCGAGGAAACGCGCAGCTACCCCGTGGAAACGATGCTGCCGCTCGCCCAGCCTATCTTACCACCCAACAACCCGTTGCGTGCGTCTATCACTCCCAACGTCTACCTTGGTCTCTACGATAAAGTCATTCTGCATAATCTTCAACCGTCGTGCCCTATCAACCTCGCCGACATGATGCGCTCCTGCGTCGTGGGGTGGAAGCGCGATGGCGATTGGCCTCCTCGCTCCACACCCTACAACCCATCTGCAGCTAAGAAAAAGAGCCCAAAGTCCAAGAAGCCAGCAGCGGCTACGGAACCCTCGACACAACCTACAGAAACCGAACCAAAAGCTAGCCGCAGACTTAGCTTCAATCTCTTAAATCGTGACAATGACGAGTCCCGCACGGGAAAAGGCTTCCGCCGGAGTTTGCAGCGCGCTTTTGGCATGGGGCCTCTCCCAGGCCCTGGGGAGACTGCTTGAACCGATAATTCATGTGGATGAGCATGAATCAATTACGAATTATTAGGGATCATGGAAGCTACCAACTACTGACGTGATGCACTTCTTCTATACCCTGTTATTTTTTTACTTTCTTTTGTTAATTGAAGGGATTTATGTTTGCAACTTCAACCGGGCATAGAAAGCTAGCTGGCTTTTTGGGAGTTCTTTCAGACTTGACGCATCGTTGCTTTCTTTCAAATCGCTTTATTCCCTGATTGGTTGAGTTTTGGTCATGTCTTGCATATACCCATAGCTGAACGAAACCTTGATTGTCTTTGACTTGATTAATCCGTTCCCTCGCATCGTCTGGTCAGGTAGTCAGCATGTGACCTCTGACACGTCCTCACAGTAACGTCTCAGGTCAAATCGCATATATCGAGACACAAAATGGACAATAACTGAGCTCTCGCGATGGCAGAATACATTTAAAGTGCAAACAACTTTTTATCCGGTCTCTGCACCAGGTCCTCCATCACACCGATCAAGTCTCCTAGTAGCTTCTCCGCGTACCCACCCCAGCTCTCGAAAGTTACAATCTCCAATGTAACTCTGTTGCCACCTTCGTGCACAAATGCCTGGATCTTCCATTCTCGTAGCGGTTCCTCGTGGACATACAGTGTCTCGTACTTGTTCTCTGCCTCCTCTTTTGTATTCTCACGCGAGGCCACGTGCGATACATCTTGATGCACCACCGTGTCGAACCACCACTGCTCCAGCCCATCCTCGCCCGTCATGCTCCTCTGTTTCTCCCACCCTGGGCTACACAGCTCGGCAATCTCTTCTAGGCTTATACCTTCATATCCTGCGCTCTGGATATGCTGCCGCTCCACAAACGCGAGTAGATCTGCGCCAATCCACGACTCGTCCATGCGCACACGAAACGGCACGTACTGCCAGCAAGGCCCTGTAACAGTGTCTGCGCCTTCAAGTTCGATGTTTCTGCCGCTGACGACTTCACCGAATACAATATCCCGTAGCTCTTGGCGGCGCGCGAGACACAACGCCCATGCGGCCGTGGGCAGGGACGCTACAGTGACTTCGCGATTCCACATGGAAATATCAAGGTTTCTCTCGATGGCGAAGTGTTTTCGATTGGTAATCGGAATATTTGGACGGAGGGCAGTAATCGTGGAGCCGGCGAGAAGTTCCCTCCAGTAGGGTACACTGGCGGGGATGGCGTGCTTCACCACACGAGAGACATACGAGGAAAATGGCAATGAAGGCTCCGGCGTCTTTTTGTGGGTGTAAAGAGCAGACAGCTGGCGCAGCAAAATTGGGAGGCACATCTCATCGTACTGCGCGTGGGAGATGCGAAAGACGAGACAGCTGCGCGAGGAGGGGCTTTGGGGATCGGAGACATAGAGCCATTTGACGAAGCTGGAGCCAAGCGGTAAGGGCTTCTCAACGTCGGCACGACAAATATCCTTAGAAAAAGATGAAAGGCCTTGTTCGGGATTGGTAAAGGCGTATTCTTCGAATGATGCGGCGAGGGAGTCAAGCACAACGGCGTATCCTCTTCCCGCGCTCTCGACAAACACTGTGCGGAGAATCTCGTTGTGAGAGATTAGATCCTGGCAGCTCTGGCGAAGAAGGGGCAAATCAACCTCTCCTTCGAAAAATATGAGCTCATAGCGCGCGGAGAATCGTGGTTTCTCTGTGGTGCCCCGAACTGCAATTTGCTGCAGGAATCGTGTTGGCAGCACATTGGCGACAGTCCAGGCCTTGTTCTCGAGCTGCGGGCGAACAACATCGGCAAGAAAAGCGTTCCTGTCATCAATTCCACTGAGAAGAGCAAATGGCTCAGCGGGGGAATAAGCAGGATCTTCTGTTGTGCATGTCGACTCTTCGGTACATTCCATTACCGCAGCCATCGCCACTAGAGTCTTGCTCTTAAACATTTGCGCAACGGTAAGGCGAATGCCCTCTGGTCGAGCTTCAGACGCAAGCTTCATGGCCGAGATTGAATCACCTCCGAGTAAGAAGAAATTATCCTCTAATCCAATCTCTGTCTCCGGGACACGCAACACACGGCTCCACAATGCTCGAAGTCTGCGTTGACGTTGAGATGTTGCAGAAATTATTGTCTTCTTCGCTTCAGGGGCGTCTGTAGCATTCATAGTAGCCTTTTCCCCGATGATTTGTATCTTGCCCGCGATATCGTACTTGGCCAGTTTTCCTGTAAGATACAAACCATCCGTTGGTGAGAAAGAACGCAGTTCCGCTAGCCATTGCGGAAGAGCCAGCAGCTGGAGCTGTTTTGGCAGAGAGGTCTGTATTACCAGTTCTCCAATGGCACCCACTGGAAGCACTCTTCTCGGATCATCTGATCGAACAATGTACGCACCCGAAGCGCCATCGTAAACCTTCAGCACCGGATCTTCCTGTGCCGTTTCGACAATATCCCGAAGTATGACAGCATCAGCATCAGAAAGAGAGTAAATATTGGCAACAAGCGAGGTCGTGCCCTGAGAAAGCTGCTGTGCGACATGTTTGAACTGGGTTAACACCCTTTGCATCATGGTCTTATCAACCGTCTTGGAGTCAAAGCTTGCCATGACCAAAAATCCCTTGGGGTCAATAGAGCACACCAACATCAGCGCATATGTGTTGAACTTGAGTGCCTCTTGAGCAGCCTCGGCATCACCTGCTGGAACTAGACAATTTGCTGGCAAGTTTGTATCCAAAGGCAATTCACCAGAATCGGTGCTCGGATGCAGGACGAGGCCGGTTCGAAGTTCACAAGCATCTCGCGCGTCAGGGCTCAATTGACGGATATGCTGCAGACCAAAGTGCTCGTGCGGAATCTGACCAATGATCTGTTCCTGAATTGATTGCAAGAATTCGCCAATCTGGGCCTCAAGATCAACTTGCACACGAACTGGTACAGTAGTGATCATCGGTCCCTCAATTTCTTCGGCTCCCAATATCGGCGCGTTTCGCCCCGTCAGGGTCTCTCCGAAGACAACATCGGATTTATTGATGTATTGTGACGCCACAATCGCCCAAGCGCCTCTAATTACTGTTGCCACCGTGGCATTGGATTTAGGCAAGTCTTGCAGGGAAACATATTCCTCCAACAGCTCGTCTGCCTGGGTCTGGTATCCTTCATATGGTAGTGTCGGGAACTGAAGACGATGAGTGCCCCGCAGCTGATTCCTCCAGTATTCTTCGGACTCATTTCCATCTTTTGCCGAGAGGTAGCCGATGAAATGCTTGAACTCTGCAGCTCGTGACAACAACTTGCCTTGGTAGGCCTGGTTGATGCGTTCCACAATGAGAGGCATAGCCCATCCGTCATATAGTGCATGATGCATGGTCAAAACGAAAGAAAGGGTACTAGAACCGGCATCATTGATGATCGCACATCGAATCAGAGGTCTGCCAAGATCCATGGCCGCCTCGCGATCGGAAACCAGGTAATCAGCAACTTTGGTGCCAGTCCGATACTCGAATTTACCATTGACTACGACCTGAAAAAGCCCGCGTCTAGGGACCTGCACAATTCGGGTACGCAGAATAGGGCTGTTCTGGGAGGCTTCGTCGAATGCTGCAATGAGTTTCATGGCAGTTTCAAGATCCTTCAACGCCACAACTCTCTGTGCCACATATGCCTCTTTGAACTTGCTGGAAAGTGCCATGAGCGCTTCTTGGAGGGGCGTGCAAGGGTATACATCCTCAACAAGCTTTGGCTCGATGCTGCACAATAAAGCAACATCTATTCGGGCGGTATCTTCGCTCCAAGACTTGGGAAGTAGGGAGAATGGCTTCGTATCCCCCAATGTCTGTGATGAGATATGGGTGGCCTTGTTTGCCATGAAAGAGAGCGTTGGGCTACTGAAGATATCGGCCACCGTTAATGCCAGCCCCTGCTCTCGCGCTGCAGCTACAAGCTTCATGGCGCGAAGAGAGTCGCCACCAAGACCAAAAAAGTTACTCGCTTTGAAAACAGTGCTTTGAGACCCCAGGACACAGTTCCAAGCATGTGCCAACTTCTTCTCGGCGTCTGTCTCGGGCTCCTCTTGTGGTCCTTGGTCTGCGTGCGTCGTGCCAAGTTTGGATCGAGGCACCGTGATGCCTATTTCACGAAGTTTTCTCCTGTCAATCTTGCCTGATACCATTGAAGGCATCAAGGCAAGTGTAATAAATGCGGCAGGTACCATATATCTCGGTACTTTGGCGCCAAGGGTGGTGTCGATAACATCAAGCGCAGCTGATAGGTCGGGGGAAGGATCAACAAAGATTTTGGCGGCGTCAGAATCGGTAAGAGATGTTTCAACCAGAAATGCCACCAAAGTTGGTGATCCACTTTCCGGCTTGATAACTTCAGCGGCGACTTTGACTCCAGTGGGCAGGCAGGCCTGGAGATGATGCTCTACCTCGGCCAATTCGACACGCTGTCCACGAAGCTTGACCTGCTGATCCTTTCTGCCTACAAACTCAATAGATCCAGACAAGTTTGACTCATATCTAACCAGATCGCCAGTCTTATACAATCTGCCCCGCCGGCCAGGATAAGAAGCATAACCGTCTGTGAGCCAGGTGGGATCTTCAATGAATACTTCCGCAGTCTTGGCTGGCTCCTTGAGGTAGCCAATACCAACAACTGGACCTTCGATCAGTAGCTCACCAACTTCGCCAATCATGACAAGGGCGTTGTGATCTTCCGGATTGACCAGCCATGTCGTACCGCCAACTCCTTTTCCGATTCCGGTGGACAAATTGAGCTCGTTGTTGATTGTGCAGCCGACTGTGCACTCTGAAGGTCCGTATGCAATGACTAGACTGGTATATTGGCTCCATACTGCGGCGTCACTGGAAGACACTGCTTCGCCACCGAGTCCGAGGACGTCTAGCGATGGGATGATATCAGAATCCAGAACCCGAGCCACGGAAGGTGTCATGTGCACCATATTGGCCTTGCTCTCTCGAATCGAACCGCTCAAGTCATTCATTCGGCCTTGCTCGGAGGGGACGCAGATCTGACCGCCACAGGCCAATGTACAGAGCATACAGTCAATGCTGACATCGAAGGCGTAGGACGGGAAGTCGAATACGCGCGAGGTTGATTTATAGCCGACGGCCTCTGCTCGGGGAATGGCCCCGCTGGTGTAGTTTTCATGCGATATTGAGACACCTTTGGGTTTGCCGGTACTGCCTGAGGTAAAAATGACGTATAGGAGAGACGATGATGGTACAGCAGGGAGAGGATCTGAAGAGAGCTGCAGAGCATTGTCAAATGTAGACTGAGAGACAACAACAACTTTCCCTCCCGCTGAAATCTTAGCTCCCAGTGAGCTCTGCAAAGCCGATGTGACGACGACCTTCGCACCTGTCTGCTCAACAATTGTTTGGAGACGAGCCTCAGGCTGGCTTGGATCTGTCAATGAGAAAGATGCGCCCGCTTTCATGACAGCCAGAAGCGCAACCACAGCCCACATTGATTTTTCAAAGCAAAGCGGTACTGTGACACCAGTGCCGACTCCCAGAAAACGTAGATGCAGAGCCAGCTGGTTTGAAAGCTCGTCAAGCCTTGAATAGGTCAGGGAGCCGTCCCACGACTGGACAGCCACATCTTCCGGTCTCTGCCTTGTCTGCTCTGATATGATGTCATGCATGCATCGTTGAATAGTTTTTGGCACGACTGCGTTCCAGCGCCAGAGCTGGTCGAGGTCTCGCTTTGGGATGCCGCTTTGCCGCTGAGTTCCTTGCTTGGGTCCTGTTTCGGTGCGGCAGTCTGCTCTGTTGTCGGGGCTCGTATCAGTTGCGTAGGATGCTGTCTTCGGCGAGCTGCTCCCGAAGGAAACGTCGACAGCGCGGGCCCCTCCGCCTCCATGGTCGTCGATGATGCGCATTGCGGGTGTTGTGAGGAGAGTTTCAAGACCAAGAGGAGTGTTGGCATTTATGCCAGTAGTGTGAGGTCGGTTGTGCAAGCCGTTTATGGTTGTGGTCGGGTTGCAATGACGTTGATGTATGAGAACTCGCATGCAGCCAGATAAGTATTTGAGGATACGCTGCACGTATCAGTTGGTACAGCTGGTCATGAGTTGCAGTCGAGTAGGGGACTACTGCAAGTACCGGCTAATGGAGCTCCATTGAGATGCGTGTTCGGTTTTATTACTGGATATCAAGCGGAAACCCCCGAACGTCACCTGACAGTGGGTATTTATACGTTTGCTAGTGTAGTGCAGAGCAATGGTCCCGTCGCCTTCTCAGCGCTCTCTAGTTAGAATGATATTGGATGTTGTTGTCCAGTTTAACAGTAGAAAGAGAAGAGCGAAGCAAGGCGTATGCGCGTGTTGCAAACTGTATCCACAGGGCCGCGCAGATTGGAGAAGCTATTAGCGGCAGCTTGAACAGAAACTTTGGTTGGTGGGATGAGGGGTGTGAGATTTGGAGCTTAGAGTACATTACGGGACCACAAGGAACTTGCCAAGGTACAAGACCCAAAGAGGCATGTACTTGCGGATCTGATAAGGCCGGTGGCAGCGCACAGTTCTCCTCCCCACTTGATAGCTTGCTGTGTTTTGTTAACAGTAAAACACATGTTCAATGTCTTTGGAACCGGATTCCTCCAGAACAGTGTTTCCCAGTAGTCGCGGATACTACCGATTACCAGTAGTCCATACTAACTATCCCTTGCAACTTGTAGTTGCCTGCCCGGTCTCGGGCACAGCTGAGCCTCGCACAGCAACCAGCCGAGAAGAGCTAACGTCGAACACGGGGTGACCGCACGCAAACCCCTGCCAACCGCACAGCTAAAAGGGGTATAGTATAGAGATTAAAGAGGAAAGGCGTAGAAGGTATCCACATATGCACTATGTTTTGATTCGTTAGAAATTTTTAGCTGATTTAGCTAGCGGGGCTAACACGCCCTTAAGACCAAGGAGCCAGTTAGAGACTTAAAATTACTAGAGGACGCCTGGAATAATGATCTTCCGCTAGGGTGTGACCCTAACCAGTCTAGCCTAGTTAGGTAATGATAAGCGGGCCCTGGCTGTGCGGTTGGCAGGGGTTTGCGTGCGGTCACCCCGTGTTCGACGTTACCGGCTAATATTGCTTTTCGGAGCAAGTGGACGAAAATAGGCAAAATAAGAGGCAAAAATAGAAGCTTGATCATGCCATCCACTATACTGGTATGGGTCAGGACGGCTATGGCGTCAGCATCACCGCCACTCTGGCAACAAACTTGGCAACCGGAACCCTGGCTTCGCCACCAAGTACCATTTTAACTGATCAATCTCGATTGACTTTTCTTCAGGTATCCGAGCTGGAGCCTTACAAGTTCACAGCTCGAAATAACACTTCACTGGGGCTGTCTTGCCCCCTGCAAGGCGACACTCCCTCGGTTGATTGTCCCTTGCAGGAAACACGAGCATGGCATCTGTAGCCCTGCGCTGTCGTAATAGGGCAAATGATACAGGAAGGATACTCAGAGATTTCCGGAGGGGCATTTCAAATTTTGAAGCACCCACAAAGTAAGCGCCTTCCTTGTCCACTGCCCGGACGATCACTCGAGGCCATTTTGAGACGCCAAGTTCTAGATGCGGTATTTAAATCAATAAAAAATCTTCGTTTAATATGGTCCGAATACCGGCTGGTGGAAAAATGACATGTACCACTGCATCCACAATCACGTTTTTCATGCCTTCGGTTAAGTCAAGGGCCAGCGCCGCGTCACCCACCCCTGCTGATTTGCTGCGCTAGCCCATCTTATCTGATGATCTGATTAGATGAAAAATTGCAGAGCTGAAATTGAGCGCAATACCGCCGACGGACCTCGGAAGTCCGTCAGCTTTATGGATACCATGTTATTATTTGCTATGCGGACCCTCAGATAGAGTCCATCCCCGACCGCGGACCGTGTCGTTGGCTATGGTCCCGGACCGTGGGAGTAAGTACATGCCATGCGCCCACCTTGTCCATAGGCTCGCTCATAAACAGGGCACTTGGCATGACATCCTTCGTGCATAGGCTAGCTCGTGCTGTGAAACCGGCATCTGGGTTCGTTTTGGCTTTCATTCGGTCTCATTAGTTAGTTATTAACAGTCACCACCTAACCATAGTACTCTCGCTGCTATTCCGGTACTCACGGCTGCTCTCGTAACCTCACTCCAGGTGCTGGGATTTTTCGTTATAGTTGCAAACATGTCATCTATACAGACAAAGACTATTCGACCTGAAGTGCCTCCCGAGACGCAAAAGCTCTCGCTGCTCCATGGCCCGCTCGACCCTCCTCTGGTTGACCTTACTCTTGGCGAACTACTCGAACTACAGACGTACCAACACGGCACACGCGAATGTCTCGTTATTCCTTGGACGGGTGCGCGCTGGACATACAATGAGTTGAACCAGCAGTCCTCGTGGCTGGCGCAGTCGCTTCTCGAATTGGGCATTGCTGTTGGCGACCGGGTGGGCATCATGGCTGGCAACTGCGAACAGTACGCCGCCGTATTTTTCGCGGCCGCCAAGATCGGGGCAATTCTTGTCATTCTCAACAACACGTATACACCAACTGAGGCAATGTACGGCATCCAATTCTCGGAATGCAAGATTGTCTTTACCACACGCAGCATCGGTCGCATGGACAACTCACGCCTTCTAGGCGACTTGGAGAACTTGGATCGTGGCCCAAAGGTCATCATGCTGCGGGGTGACGCCGGAAACTATACTACATATGACGATTTGATTAAGGCTGCCGCTCGGAAGAACCACGATAGGCTCTACGAGGCAATGAGGCGCGTGAGCCCACATCAAGTTGTTAATCTGCAATTCACCAGTGGAACCACTGGCCTTCCCAAAGCTGCCATGCTGACACACCAGTACGCCTCTATTCTTCGAAAGAACAATATATCCTCGTTTGAATACTAATTTAGTTTTTTTTTTAGCAACATCGTCAATAACGCACGTTTCATTGGTGACAGAATGCGTCTCACGTCGGCCGATGTTCTCTGCTGTCCACCACCTCTCTTTCATTGCTTCGGCCTTGTACTCGGGCTCCTCGCTATAATCACACACGGTGGCAAGATAGTATACCCTGCAGAAGTTTTCGATATCTCTGCCACTCTACGCGCCATATCCGACGAGTCCTGCACTGCTGTCCACGGTGTGCCTGCCATGTTCGATTCACTATTCCAGGCCGAATTTCCGCCCGATTTTCGGTGTGACCGGCTCCGCACTGGTATCATTGCAGGTGCACCGGTTCCTAGATATCTCATGGAGCTTCTTGTTGAAAAGCTTGGCATGACAGAGTTCACCTCCAGCTACGGTTTAACGGAAGCGAGCCCCACGTGTTTCAACGCCTTCACAGACGATAATATAGACACACGTCTAACAACTGTTGGCACACTCATGCCGCACGCCCATGCCAAAATCGTCGATCGTGATGGGAACATTGTGCCCGTCGGCGAGCGCGGGGAGCTATGCATGGGAGGGTACCAACTTCAAGCCGGTTACTGGAACAATTCGGCCAAGACCAACGAGGTCATGGTTCGCGATTCTACCGGTGTTCTATGGCTTCATACGGGAGACGAGGCTGTTTTCGATGAGCATGGCTACTGTACCATCACGGGCCGTTTCAAGGACATCATTATTAGAGGTGGCGAAAACATCTATCCCCTTGAGATCGAGGAGCGGCTCTTGGCGCATCCCTCGATTTCTCGCGCTATCGTGGTTGGTCTCAAGAGCCAGCACTACGGTGAGGTCGTCGGTGCATTTCTTGAGCTGGCCGTAACAGCAGCTAAGCCCTCGGATCAGGAGCTACGTGACTGGGTGCGCAAGCGACTCGGTGGACACAAGTCCCCTGCAAACCTATTCTGGCTCGGCGAAGGTGGTGTTCCAGTGGATGTACCCTTGACTGGCAGTGGTAAAGTGAAGAAGTTTGAAATGGCCAAGTTGGGCGACGAGCTGCTCCGCAAAGAGACGAGTGTTGCCAAGCTATAGAATATAACTTGGCAATGGAAGGAGAAGGATGAAGTTTTTGTAAAAGTTTTAGAGTCCTAGACTTAATCTATATTAAGAATACAACCGCAAGATAATACTTCCAAGGCGTTTATCAATTCATTCAATTGGTTCTGTTGACTCGGGTCCGGTTCACGACGCTTACTAACGAACTTCTAGATACGTTCCCAGATTTCCCGGTGGATCGCCGTGGTAGTCTTCATCAACCTACAATTTTGGTACAAGACCAATTCTCATACCGCCAACGGCTTTCTCCTGCTCGCCCAACGGACAAAGCTGGAAGAAGCGGCCCCGAGGACAGCGCACAAAGGCGCTGCGCTTGTGCGGCAAGTCGACAAACTTGTCGAGGCCAAATCCATGAATCAAATCATACATGACGACGGTGGAATTCGAATCCTTAGGCTCACCGACCACCCACATAGTACGTGGATCATCGAGAAAAAGGTAGTGCATCAGACTACTCCACCAGGCTGTAACACGATGAGGTCCGCGGAAGCGGATGTCGCCAACGAGAGAGTGACGGCCGCGGTCAAAGTCTTCAGCGTCGTAGTAGCCACCCAGGCGATCTTCCTGTAAGGAATTTAGCTGCTGGTGGGGTTAAATAATCGAGTAGCAAAACACAAACCTTGGCCCAGTACACCTCAAAGTAGGCAAAATAGGTATCGTCCCACTTTGCCAGCAGGGCAACTTGGTGAGGATCTTCGTGAATATTTCGCAAGTATTCGCGGTGCTGCTCCAGGGTGCCCGTTTCATTCCAGCCCTGAGAAACACGGGGGTCGTTTTGCCATTCATGAAACAGTCGCAGGTGTTCGGCATCGGTATAATCGAGAGATACCATAGAAAACGTCTCCTTGAGATGAGGAATCCAGCGACTGTAGATCACCGCACCAGGTGCGGGCTTCGCAGGTCGAATTGGGTGCCACGACTGCTGGTAACGACTCCGGTCCTGCGGGTCACCGGCTGAGGCGATGCTAATGGTATGTTGCAGGGGCGTAAGGGGGTATGATGAAAGAGGGTTCGAGGCCGGCAATGATGAGGGAGACTCGGTAGGGCACCAGACGGGGCGAGGCCCGAATGGCGATCCAGCACCCTGCCAAAAAGTGCTACGCAAGATAACAACGGTGCTTCTCGTGTCTATGCTCGCAATTTCAGGCGCAGCGCCATTGGCCGACTTCGGGTGCTCAATTCCGAGAAGCACATTGTGCAGCTGCTTTGAGAGCACATTGGTGCCATTTCCAGTGAGCTGAAGTCGTACCATTTCCATACCCGGCCTTATGGTGAAGAGCACATAAAGAAGCAGCCACGCCTGAGCAAGTGTGGGTGTGCTGTCGGCATCACCCCAGGAGACATTGGAGAACGGAGAGCGTCGAGCGCGTGCCCACGGGCTGTTGTTAGCTGATTCAGGCAACTCGCTAGATTTGAGATCGGCGGGCGCAGAGAAGAGCAACTGGGATGAGTGCAACTCAAATGGAAGTGGCTGAACTGATGAGCCTTTCTTGAGGTCCAGCTGGAAGAGGTTGTCGTCGGCGCGCTTGACGGTGTATTCAGTGAGGTATGGGTGCGGCAGCTTGATGACGGTGTCGGTGGGCGCGAGGGCCGTAAGGTCGATGGTGCCTGCCATGACGTAACAAAATATCGTTGAATTGGATAAAGTCTTGATAGCAAAGAAGAATGGGATTGGAGATGGAAAGATAAAGGAAGCAGTGTTCAGCCGCCACCTGAAAGACAGCTCGGCACATGGGCCGCCCATTCACCACAAGATGATCTCATGTCTGCAGCGATTCAGCGAAAGGACTGCCGATCCCTGGTAAGGAGCTTACTAGGTACCTCCCATTCCCGAGTTGCAGGGATTGGCAAAAGGGCAAGTCTATGCCGACGGACGGAGCAAAGACTGCGCTAACAGTTAAAATATTAGGGTTGGAAAAGAGGGCTCAGGTGCAGAAAGTGGAGGATGCAGTTTGAGTTAATCACACCCCCTCCCGTAATCGACTATTGGACACTTGAATCATTACAAGTATCTGTACTTTTCCAGGACTGTCGGTAGGCGTAGGTTGGCTGCGAGGAGACTAATAACTACCTTAGGTAGTATTAATTTGCCGCGAGGCATTTTGAGACCATTTGCTACCACCAGCAATGCCGCGTTATTGCCCCAGGCCTCGAACCGAATCGGTACAGGTACATACGTGTAACTTTGGCGGCGACAAGCACTCAGTACTGGTTCCTGTCCTCCATTCTCCATCTTGTGCGACCGAGTCACCCAATGCAGTCCTCTCGGTGCGAACTGGGCGTTCCTGGAATTGTCAGCTCCGATGCTCGGCCAGGGCCTATATCACACACAGTCCTCGCGGTCGGGAATGTGATCAAGTTCTACCTCCGGTGTCAATGTTGGCTCTATTGCCGTGTCACAAATCTTTATTGCCTTTGGTGGCTCAGTCTGTCGGTAGGTCACAATTTCGAGCACTGTCAAACACCAACACATTGTCCTTGTTTTCGCCATGGCCGCGTGTCATCTGCCAGGGTGTCTGTCCCAGCAAGCTCCGCAAGTACTTGCCAGCGTTCGGATCCCCAGAATTAGCCAAAGATATAGGGCAGCATTGCCGTTCAGTGATTTGTGCGATTGCATTCGTGGCCGTGGCATGCTGGCGCAACGTCAATGTCAGAAACATTAAGCAAGTCAAAGGCCTTCATTTCTAAAAGATGTGTTTGAAACGATTATAGTCGATTCACGCTCGTAGTAGACGTATTGTCCTTAGACATGATCCAATTTCACAGTCTCGAGACATGGTCAAACTCAGAACCTATTCACTGACTATAAAAAAACTGTTTTTAGTTCCGGGAACATTTTAAATGAAGAGTCCGCCAACGCCGTAACCGATATTAGTTATGTTCATGTTATAACCACCGAACTGTAAGCGCAGAATTATGCGTCGATAACAGTATATTTTTGCCCACCCAGCTGCATGTACTCCCAGCAAACTAGCAATCTGAGTTAATACAAAGAACTCATAGTTAAGAACAAGAGAGCTTACTGTCGAATCCCAAGTCGTTGCGGAAGTAGGCTTGCATGACATCTTCACCCGAGACAGTGCCACTGTCAGGGCTAGAAGCGACAGCCTTCTTGCCTACAGCAAGACCAATAACGGCTGGAAACTCTGTGAGCTCACTATACTTGGCCTCATGACCGCCCGGGGCCCGGTCACGTAGAATGGTTTGGTGAATGTTGTGGGCAACGTAGTGACCACCATGCATAGCGCCACCACATCGCTTGATGCCGCTCCATCTGGCGGCATCACCGGCGCAGAAATGATACTCAGCATTCGGCGTTCCGGCGACAAGTGTGAGGCTGCTCGTATTAGTATTTGGAGTGGTTGGATTACGCTTTCGAGAGATACAACATACTTTGGGTTGATTTTAACCAGGTTATTTTCATCCAGGGCCGTGGCGGGCATATACGTAGCGGTTGAGGCAGGCTGCGAAACAGCCATGATAACCTCGCTAGCCGCCATCTTGTGACCATTCGAAAACTCTATCTCATATTTTGTGCTACCGTCCATTGTTTCCACTCGGTCGGACTTACTGAGCCGGTGGCTCATCAGCACATTCACGCCGCTCTCGCGTAGGAGATCAAGCGCAGTATCCTTGCACTCGTCAGAGAGCGCCTCGGACGAGAGCAGCTTATCCCTCGAGTGAACTAGTGTGACATCAACGCAGGGATGGACAAGCTTGAGCTCGGCAGCCATCTCAATGCCAACAGCACCGCCGCCAACGACAACGACACCGTGCTGGGCATTACTCACAGCGTGAATGTGCTCAGCAGCCTCAACCAGGTACTGCTTGCGAGAGAGCGACTGCGGGACTACGGGCCACACACGTCGGAGGCCGGACGCAGCGACAAAGAAATCGTATGCGTGCTCAGTTGGAACCTTTGTGACGGCCTCGAGAGTCGTGACAGTCTTGGCAGCGCAGTCGACAGTAGTGACAGAGCCAATGACGACTTTGATATTGGGCTGCTGCAGACTGGGAATATCTCGGAACTTGACCCAAGCTTTTTTGGTGTAGTTGGAATCGGCGAGAGCAAGCGGGGAGCCAATAAGATGATCTAGTCATTAGACAAAGTTTGTCCTTGAATACCTGTCTCTTTTTAGTTACTTACAGAACCCGTCTCGCTCATCGGCAATGGTGATTTCAACATCCATTTTCTCAAAGTTGGGCACATGGGGGTAGGCTTCGCCAGACATGCGAGGGTTGACACCCGAGGCTAGATCGAGCAGGTTCAGGGCAGCAGAGAGTCCGGCATAGCTGCCGCCAGCGATGAATACACGCGTTGGCGCAGGCGTCGGTGTGTCGGGGGCCATATTGAATATTTTGATAATTGGGTGCCAGCGCTGCAAGAAGACGTAAATAGCGATCGAGGGGAGACGGCAGACAGAATACTTAACCGTCTGGCTTTGGTGCGAGCGGGGAGTGTTTGGCGTTTGGTGGGGAAAATGGAGGAAGAGGAGTAGAAGTTGGTGTAACGAGGAGACGGAAAATGATTGCAAGAGTTTCTCTGGTTTTTGGAGAGACAGTGGCGCGCCTTTCAGCTGAAGCGAAGAAGCTGGAACAGGTGGCAAGGCAGCGAAACGTACAAGTCGCGCAGGTCACAGTCATGAGGGAACGAGAGGAAATCGTTGAATAATATTGCAACTGTGAAAGACTTGTATAGCGCATAAAAAGCAAGGACAGTTGTAGATAGGCGCCACGGAAGGGAAGTGCATGTGCTCAATATACTGCACAAAGCGGCGACTCTACAGAGACTGCTCACCTGCCAATACAAGGTGTTATTTTTGTTTCAAGCGTGCTGCGACACAAGTAAGGAAAGCGCCCAGCGAGTTGGGTAAATTAAGCATGGGATCTGCGTTGATGGGAAACTCGGAGCAGATGAATAGATGGCCAAGAAAGAAGGAGCAGGGCCAGCGAGCGCCGAATCCGGGAGTCGCCCCTTATCTGATCCGTGTCGGCCGGTATCAACTAGCCTCGGACCAGCTTGTCGCCTGGCCGAGCCATCGATTCAGCAACAATGGCGCCATCCACGTAACTCCGACTGACCGCCGTAATTTCAGCGGAAAAATGTGATGTGGTGCGACCCGGATACGACTGACCCCGCTTGGTGGAGCGTGCAAGAACAAAATTTGATCAGATAATTCGATACTCTGTACTCTGTACATTACATATGCAAACTAAAGAAACTTGTAACGAGCCGTGCTCAAGAGCGACCGGTTCTGCCAAGCATGCCCATACCCAGGGTGCCGGCTAAGTTATGACTTTCTTGAGGGCACATGTTAGCACAAAAAGATCCGATCCCGAGGAATGAGCCATTTTATGTACACCATTTGGGCCGCCTGGACCATTGGTTACTGGTGGCCACGTGCCTGACCGACGTTAAAAAGTCAAAAATTATCTGATCCGTCGATGGCCCACAGTCCACAGTCAGCCAGGGGGCACAGTCCATATTGGACGCCCACAGATCACTATCAGTACAAATTACAAATTACCAGTAAATAGTTTAGGCAGTGATTAGGTTCAACATTGAGGCCAAGCTCTAACAGTGTCACTCCCTTACCTAGTTACAAGTACCTGCCTTGGCAAGGGCCTTGTCTTCTGAACGTTGCTTTTCCCCTCCCTCTCATGATGACCTCTCCACACCCCCTTTTCCCCTTGTCACCCCACTCTCAATTGCTGGTAACCTTCCTCTGTACGAATATGGAGAGGTCGACTTCCGCAAGGTACTGGTATGTACAGGTACTTGCTGGCTTGGCATGAACCTGCTCCCAGCGGAGACGGATGGTGCTGGGGGGGGGTTCACAAAGACGCACGAAAGAGAACATGGCGGATACTTCCTAAAGCCCCCCAAGGTACTTCTCTCGGGGATCATGATACTTTGAAAGTCCAGTTGTCTCTCACACTGCCGTGTTGCCGTGTTGCCGTCTCGCGTCGGGTCAAATTCTGTCGGCTCCAGTTCCTTGCAAATGTTTAGCAGAAACAGACAGACTTAGTACGAATATTCCGGCCCAGCATTGTCAGTGCAGCAGCGATGTACCTACCTACCTAGTTAGGTAGGTACCTAGGTAGGAGGTAGGTAGTCAACTTGCCCGCAGCAGTGGACCAGCATTTGGAGCACTGTCATTTCAAATCTTCCTTCAACAGGCTAAACATTTGTGGAAGTTCGAAACGAACAACAGTCATTTCGCGTTAATTCCCGCCATTTTCTTTCATCAAGTTCTTGTTCGTCGACCGCGGTCCAACCCACACAGCACTGGTTTTGTTTGCGCGACTGCCGTCAGTTTTGACGTTCATTCTCAGGGATATCGTTTCCAACTCCCCCAACCATGACTGCGGCTTCTCTTTGAACATATCCCCTTCTCGTAACCTATTAGACCAGCTCAGTCATGACTGCCGACCCAGCCAACATCTCTGCGATGCAATCTCTATCTCTCGCTCCGAACCAGCCAGGAAGCCAAGAACACGACAGCACCACAGACAATGGCGCCAACACGCCGACGGAAGACCGTGATACCGCGCCAACCACCGATGCCATTGTTGCTATACCTCTGCCATTGATTAAGAGCTTGTCTACGACCACAGTTAAGTCTTTCAAGTCTGTGCAAGACGGGCAGCCTGGCGCGGTATCTGCTGAGCCGATAGCAACCAGAAAGGAAGCTGTATGCACTCTAGATGGTGCCTGGATCGGTGAAACACTCTAATCTCTAACATTCATTGTAGTTCTTTACTTATTTCCAGCTTCTGGTCTACGCCAATCCGACATGGAAGGACTATCTCCTCCTCGCTGGTGGTCTGGTCATATCCGCCGCTGCTGGTGTCCCAATCCCCCTCATGGGGATCTTCTTCGGTCAGCTTGTCGACGACCTCAATCAGGGCACGTGTGACTCCAAAGACCGTGTCAACATTGTCAAGCTATCCCCCGATGAGCTACAGCATTCGGTCAACGAAAAGGTTCTCAAACTTCTGTATATTGGCATAGCCAGCTTTGCCCTCATCTACGCCTACCTCGTCTGTTGGGCCATCTTCTCGCGTCGCCTCGAGGCCCGCATCCGTGATGCATACTTCAAAAACCTGCTCCGGCAGGACGCCACTTTTTACGATAAGCGCCAGGCCGGCGAGCTGTCGTCTCGCATGAACGCAGACATGCAGACCATCCAGTCTGGCACCTCTGAAAAAGTCGGTATATGCATTGCCTGTACCTCCTTTTTCGTTACTGCCTACGTTGTGGGATTTGTGAAAGACGCAAAGCTCGCCGGGATGCTCATCTCTCTTATCCCGGCGTTCCTGCTATTGTCTGTGGTCGGCAGCTACTTTACGCAAAAGTTTACCTTGGCTATGTCGAACGCTATTGCCTCAGCTTCCTCTGTCGCGCAAGAGACTCTGTCCCATATCGCTGTCGTACAAGCTTTCAACGCCGGTCCCCGTCTTGAGGCCAAATTTGCCGCCGCTATGGACCTCGCCCTCGCTGCGGGCATCAACAAGGCATTTGTAGCTGCGTTGCAGGCCGGTACGCTATATCTCATTGCTTACTCTGCCAACGCCCTTGCCTTTTGGCAGGGAAGTCGCCAGATTGTCGACGCCATTGGGTCCAAAAACGGCACTAGCGTCGGTGACATCTATGTTGTCATCTTTTTGCTTGTAGATGCCTGTATCATCTTTGGATCTATCGCACCCTATCTTCCAATGCTTGGTGCCGCTGCTGCAGCTTTTCGCAAGGTCCGAGAAGATATCGAAGCACCGGTCTCCATTGATTCTAGCTCCGACAATGGCCAAAAACTTTCCACTATTGCCGGCGGTATTAAGTTCGATGCTGTCTCTTTTGCCTATGTCTCCCGTCCTGACCAGCCCGTCCTGAATCGAATTACTTTTGAGTGTCCTGCCGGCAAGTACACAGCGCTCGTAGGTCTATCTGGCAGCGGCAAATCTACTGTAGCAGGTCTGACCACACGGTTGTATGATCCCACCGAAGGGGCTATCACACTCGACGGTCGTGACCTCCGAGATTTTAATGTGAAGAACCTGCGCAGTTTCATGAGTCTTGTACAGCAAGAACCCTCTCTCCTCAGCCGGTCGATTCTCGAAAATATTGCCCTCGGTGTACTCAACTCGCCCTGGGACCACCACCGAAAGTTTCAGGCCATCATTGACAGCCCGATATTGGCGCGCCTTGCTGCAAATCTCCAAGAAACAACGAATATCAATACGGCTGCGCAAGAGTTTGGTAGCGATGTCGTTGAGCTTGTTGGCATGGTTCGTGAAGCAGCCAAACTTGCTGACGCTGCGTCCTTTATCGAGACACTGCAGTGCGGCTATGGCACTGAGGTTGGCATCAGTGGCAAGCTTGTCAGCGGTGGGCAGCGACAACGAATTGCTCTCGCCCGCGCTCTCATACGCAACCCCAGAATATTGATTCTTGACGAGGCAACCTCATCTCTAGACTCTGCCAGTGAGCGACGCATACAAGCAGCCGTCGAGTCCATTGCTAAAGATCGCACTCTAATTGCAATTGCACATCGTTTATCTACCATCAAAAATGCAGATAACATCATTGTCATGAACAATGGAGACATTCTTGAACAAGGTACTCATAGTCAGCTCATGTCTCTCAATGGCAATTATGCCAGCATGGTTCGCCTCCAGAATATCGAGGCGGAGAGACATGATGACAGTGCCTCGCTCGCGAGTACTGCCCGGGGTGATATTGAAACTGACATGCCGGGTCGCAGTTCCGTCGCTAGGGAAGAGGAACCTGTCAATAAGGTTCACGATACGATCACGGCTGCCAACTTCCAGGCCACACGGACAGATGAAGCTACCACTGCCGCTGCCGCTGCCGCTGCCGCTCCGAACGACAGTGATTCCAACAAGTCGACTGGCACAGTTGTCCGCAGCATGTTCAAGCTCCTCCGGCCGAATCTTCTCTGGCTATTCGCTGCCATCCTTGCTGGGACCATTGTCGGGCTCACCTTTTCCGCTTCGGGTCTCATCTTCGGCAACACCATCGGCAACGTCAGTCCCTGCAACAGTGCCATCCATATTCTATGGGCAGGCCGCTTCTTTGGCGGTCTCTTCTTCATGCTCGCTGTTGTTGAGCTTCTCGCCAATTCGGCAAGTTGGTCTGGTTTTGGCTACGTTGCGGAAAAGCTTCTGTACCGTATTCGCGTGCTTACATTTCGCTCTCTATACCAGCAAGACATGGACTGGCATCAGGCCAGTGGCCGCACGCCCGCATCTCTTCTGTCTGTTATCACGGCCGATGCTGCCGCTGTTGGTGGTTTCAGTGGCTCCATCATCGGTACCATGTTCTCTATTATGGTCAATTTTCTAGTTGCCATAATCATGTCCCACATTATCGCCTGGAAGATTGCCGCTGTTTGTCTCGTGACAGTGCCACTGCTACTCGGCTCTGGTGTCATGCAGGTGCGCTCGCTCTCTCAATTTGAGCGTAAGCATGCCAGCGCGTTTTCCTCGGCTATCGGTATTACCGTTGAGGCAATCAACTCGTTCAAGACGGTTTCTTCTCTTTCCATTGGGGATGAAATCCTGGGGACGTACCGTCGTGCATTGTACGCACCGCAAAAAGAAATCACAATATCTAGCCTCTGGACCAATTTTTGGCTCGCCATGGCCAACAGCACGTGCAACCTCATCTACGCCTTTGCCTACTGGTGGGGTTCTACGCGCATTATCAAGGGCGAAAACACGCAGACACAGTTCCTCATTATTCTGATGGCGATGCTCGTCAGCGCACAGCTTTGGGGTCAGATGTTCAGTCTCGCACCTGAAATCTCGCGTGCGCGTGCTGCCGCCTCTCGTATTCTGAGTCTCATTGACCTTGATTCCGCCGCATCGCTGCCTAACGAGAAAGGGAGTGTGGACGTCGAGGCTGATGCGCAACCTCCAAGCAAGCCACCTGGTCCGATCCAGGGCTCTACAATTATATTCAAAGATGTCGCCTTTGCCTACCCTTCCAGAACCAATATTCAGATCTTGAAGGGCATGACATTCACTATCGATGCAGGTCAGTTTTGTGGTCTCGTTGGCCCCTCTGGTGCTGGGAAGTCCACTATCATGTCGCTGGTGCAGCGCATGTATCGTCCTTCCGCCGGTGTGGTTGAGATTGACGGAGTGGACATTTGCGTCAAGGAGGGTACTGAATTCCGCGACGACATCGCCATTGTACCCCAGGATTGCGCGCTGTTCGAGGGTACCGTCAGATTCAACGTCAGCATAGGTGCGCGCCCCGGCCGCGAGCCCACTGACGCCGAAATTGAGGCAGCATGCCGCCTGGCTAATATCCATGACACCATTGCTGCACTGCCCGACGGCTATAGCACCGAGTGTGGTCCTAACGGATCGCGCCTCTCTGGTGGACAGCGTCAGCGTCTGGCGATTGCGCGTGCGCTGGTCCGCAAGCCTAAACTTCTGCTCTTAGACGAGAGTACCAGTGCTCTTGACGCTGAGAGCGAACGCGCTCTTCAGGAGGGTCTTGAGAGGGCGGCCAAGGGTATCACAGTCATTGCCATCACCCACAGACTACATACGGTACGCAAGGCCGATGTCATTTTTGTGATAGAGGATGGACAGATCATGGAAAAGGGCCGCCACGACGAGCTTGTGGAGCGAAGCGAATCATATAGGGTTAATGCGTTGTCACAGATGTTGTCAACATCGCTGGCAACAGGTTGACGCGGGAGGTGCTTTAGACCCTCTTATCAACTTTCTGGTTCGGGAATTCACAATCTAAAATTTAGAGAGGTTGTATATATTAGACAAACTTGAAAAGTTTTGTAACTTTTGTCTCGGGCACTCGAAAGCCATCAAATGGCGGGTTTTGCCCGCTAGCATACTGCGACCATGTCTTCGGGGTTGTCGGACTGACTGGACTGGAAAACGTATCTCTTGACATCGTCTTTTATTAGTGTAATGATGGCTTTAACAACAAACTTGTTCAGGGGGTGCTGCACACCCAAGTTCAGGCCAGCAGCGTCTTGGGTGCCACTACCTTTTCGTACCCACTACACAGTACTGACCTACCTACTACCTACCTAGGGGGCAACCTACCAGTACCTGCAGTCCATCCATCTCCATCCATCTCCATCCATCCGCAGCATGACACTGGCCGGAACTAAGAAGTGGCCCTAAACCGTCATTACTCCTGCCCTCGAGGTTGTATGCGTTTCTCCTCCCGACCTCAACCCAAGGCGCAACTATTCCAGGCCTGTCCCATCCAGAGCGTCCCTCCTCCGTTTCTCGCACCGTTGCCGCCGGTCCTTCACTACTATCCTGCAGCCACGTATCTGGACGAAGCCCTCGTGGCCGCCACAGCAGCGAGCGAGGAGGGATCCCGTCCACATATACGCCCGCATCCAACGCCATCGAGCTCCTCGAGTATCCCATCAAATCTCCCCACGATCCACGAGAGCAGCACCTCCGCGAGAATCGTGAGACGAAGCGCCTCTGGCTCGAGGCCAAAGATGAGATGAAGTTCTCTCACAGCATCCAATTCAACGCTGTTCCAGACTGGAGCAGTCACTACATTGCCTACAGTAATCTCAAGAAGCTGTAATTAACCACTGGACCTGTTTTGTTTCACAAGGCTAACCGCTTTGCGAAGCATATATAACCTCGAGAAGAACGCTGCCCAGGCCCGCTCTGGTGACCACGAATCGCGACCCCTCATATCCACAGACGAACCCGAAGATGTATTCTCCAGGGCGCTAGGCATAGAATTAGAGAAGATTTGTTCATTCTACGTCGCCAAGGAGGGCGAACTGCACGACGAGGTCTCTCAACTCTTGCGTGATGTCGCTGAGCAGCCAGCGCTAGAATCATCCGCAACCTTCCGTCGTCGATCCAACGACACGAACCGCCCCGACCGTGTTGGTTACCATGCCCGCGTGGCGAGCGTTACCGACCAAACATCCGACGATGATGGCGGTGACGAGACGGCGAGCGAAGAAGAAGATGAAAGCGCCGCCCTCACCCACGCCAGGGGCCAAGGCCGTCGCAGCACCGTGCCCAATTTTGCGCCGCCCCCTATCAAGTCGGGTCCGTCGTCCGATCTCGGTCGCGCTCCGTCTACGCGCCGACACAGCACCACATTTGACGATTATGGCGAAACGAGCACCGTCTTTGCCTCCGCACTATTCCCATCGGCCATCATGCTCAAAAAACGCATCATTGGACTCTATGTGTCTCTCTGCGAGCTCAAATCGTATGTGCAACTGAACCGCACCGGTTTCAGCAAAGTCCTCAAAAAATTCGACAAGATCATGGACAAGGAGCTTCGCAATACCTACATCAAGTCTAACGTGGACACGGCGTACCCTTTCAATGACGAAACTAAGAAGCACATTGAAGACTACATTGCCGAGATGGAGTCCGCCTACTCCACTGTCGTGACCGGCGGCGACGATGCCATGGCCAAAAAGGAACTCCGCTCACATCTCCGCGAGCATGTTGTTTGGGAGCGCAACACTGTCTGGCGTGACCTTATCGGTATTGAACGCAGAGGAGAGGCCGCCCGACTTGGCTCGCTGCTCCTCGGCCCCGACTCCAACCAGGCTAAACGACTACAAGGAGATGACGACAAGACGATACCAACGACCAATATCGCCACACCGTTTGGGCGGCTGGTGCTACCTGTTTGGATGGTCAACTCATCCATGCTCATGCTTCTGCTGTCCACAGCCGTCTTTGTAACGTTGCTCTTCCTCCCCATCATGAAGCATCCGGAGCAACAAAACTGCCTCGCCATGCTGGTTTATGTGAGCTTGCTGTGGGCAACAGAGACGCTTCCGCTCTTCGCCACAGCGCTTTTGATCCCTTTTCTCTCTGTCATTCTTCGAGTCGTTCGTGATGAGCAAGGCGACCACCACCGCCGCCTCAATGCCAAGGATGCAACGGCGGCCATCTTTGCCTCAATGTGGAGTCCAGTCATCATGCTCCTGCTCGGCGGCTTCACCGTTGCCGCTGCACTGTCTAAATGCACTATTGATAAGAAACTGGCCACTCTGGTTCTTAGCAAAGCTGGCACTAATCCACACGTCGTGTTGATAGCCAATATGCTCGTTGCTGCCTTCGCTTCCATGCTCATTAGCAATGTCGCCGCCCCAGTACTGTGTTATTCTCTCATCGATCCCATGCTACGCACGCTGCCCTCTGACTCACCCATGTCGAAGGCTGTTATCATGGGTATCGCATTGGCGTCCAACATTGGTGGCATGCTCTCGCCCATTGCGTCGCCACAAAATGTGGTCGCAATGGGTATCATGCAGCCAGCACCGACTTGGCTGCAATGGTTCTTCATTGTCATTCCTGTCGGCACCGTCTCTATTGTTGCCATTTGGACGTTGCTCCTAGTCACATTCAAGACTAGTCAAGGCACATCCATCCAACCTGTACGACCTCTCAGGGAGAAGTTTACCGCTGTCCAATGGTTTGTAACTATTGTGACCCTCATTACCATCGCCCTTTGGTGTGCAAGCCATCAAATGGAGGATATTTTTGGGGATATGGGGGTCATCGCTATTATACCGATTGTGATCTTCTTTGGCATGGGTATTCTCACAAAGGAGGACTTCAACAACTTTCCCTGGACAATTATCATTCTCGCCGCTGGCGGCTTGTCCTTAGGGAAGGCTGTCCGCTCCTCTGGTCTCCTTCACACCTTGGCCGAGGTTGTGTCCGACGAGGTTCAGGGTATGGGTGTTTACGGCGTTCTTGTCGTCTTTTCATCTCTGATTCTAGTTATTGCGACTTTCATCAGCCATACAGTTGCAGCTCTCATCTTCCTCCCGTTGGTCTACGACGTCGGTGTAGCCATGGACCAGCCTCATCCCAACCTATTGGTCATGGCTGGTGTGCTGATGTGTAGTGCTGCCATGGGTCTGCCAACCAGTGGGTTTCCTAATATGAGTAAGTTTTCTTCACGACACATGGTGAACGCAGCCGCTGACATCGCGTATAGCCGCTATCATGAAGGAGGATGCTACAGGTCAACGTTACCTCCAAGTGAAGCACTTCATCAGCCGCGGTATTCCCAGTAGTATTCTCACTCTCGCCGTCGTGGTGACTTTGGGCTACGGCATCATGCAAGCTGCCGCTCTAGATTGAGCATCACAATCTTGCTCTCACGCTCTCACACCTATGATTCCTTCTTTTTTCCAATTTGAAAGCTTTGCATCCTTCACAACCCAACCTGATTACGACATCCGGTACGTGTACAGTGTCTCGATTTAATAGCTCAACTTAATTTAGGTAGTTGTTTAGAATTTGTGGAGGCGAGCTAAATATACATATCACTTGATAGGCATCGTTCGTATTTGTACTTTTAGCTGGAACTCAAGTACGTCATATTTTAGCGAAGCATGGGTAGTCAGCCACTGCTGTGGGTTGACAATCAGTTACGGGACCCTTCAATCCATTGCAATATTACTTCATTGCTAGCACTATCAGTGTCGTTACGGTGTCATTTTTAGGAGCATGAGGCTTCTTCCAGAAGTCTCATGTACAAGTTCATCTCTGTCAGTGAGAGGAACTTTCACTGTATGAAGATTGATGTTAGTGCCTCGGATGAGTAAATAAGTGTGGAAATGCTCTTGTGTAGTTTGAAGATGACGTGTATAATACAACACGGCTAGTTGTATGTGCGCATGGAGCAGTGACTGCGTGGCTAGGCATGTACGTCTTTGATAGGCGGCAAAACATTCACATTTGCCTGCGTTTCTTGTATCTCGTTACGAAGAGCATGGCGCAAATAGCTTGAGTTTAGGACGTAATGCGACAAGAAAGTAAGTTGAAGCACGAGCATGCTAACTAATTAAAAGCATTAAAGCCTATTTTTTAATAAGATATTAAATAAGTTTCTTATTTAATATATAATTTATTATTATTATAATACTATTAAGCTATTAATATATATTAAAGATCTTATATATATTTTTTAGAAGTTATATTAAATACTTAATAGTATTATTATAAAGGAAATTTATATATTAAGTAGAAAATAGGCTTTATATATATAGGTACCTATATATATAACGCCTATTTTCTAATAAGGTACTAGATATATTTTCTACTTAATATATAATTTTTCCTTATTATAATACTATTAGGTTATTACTATATATAGAAAAACCTTTATATTTTTTATAAGCTATATTAGAGATATTAATAGTATTATAATAGGGGAAAATTACCGATTAAAAAAGTAACCTATCTAGTACCCTATCTAAAAATAGGCCTTACTTATATACATAGGTACCTACCTACGCCTAGCAGCTTATCTTGTGTTATAAAGACCGAGTAACTATGAAACTGATAAATACCCTATATATAAGTCTAATAATATGGAGGCATGGGCAGCAGCATTGTCCTTGCCACTATTGTCAAACTCCATTATCTTAATTTATACTATACTGAACCCATCTTCCGTATTATTACTTATTCAGCCTAGTCATGTGCCTACGATGGGCCACCGGGGAAGAACGGAGAAGGCTGATTAACATAGGTAGTAGGTACCTAGGTATGTACAAGGTACCTACATACTAACAGCGGCTAAACCGGGGCACCTCGTACATTTTCCTATCGAACAATAATCTCATAGTTACCGGACGCATTCTGCCAGGACAATCCATATGAGAAACTCGTTCGAAGACATTCGAATATCAGACAACCGAGCACTCACTGTCGTTTTTTGAGATTGGTTTGACAACGTCCGCTCTTGTGTTGGTGCGGTAAAACTACGCAACAGCCAATCAAGCTCCTACAGTTGTAGATCCCACAACTTCACGAGCAACAGGAGGGCACAGCATGCTGCCCCCGATTCCAAACCTCGATGACTATGCTCTTTCGACCACGCATGGATTTCTGCCAAACGAGCTGCCGCTTACGCGACTCCCCGACCCATACTACAACAAATGGGAAGCCATCGCCGCAAATCTACCAGCACTGATTCTTAGCCGTCGGCTTCGTAGTGTCATTGACCGGCTACCAGTACTCGATACTATTGGTCTGGAGCACGATGCAGAATGGCGCCGTGCATACTCGCTTCTTTGTTTCATGACGCATGGCTATGTCTGGGCTGGTGACTCGCCCGCAGATCGCGTTCCGCTGCAAATATCCATTCCACTTCTCACAATATCTCATCGTCTTGAGATTCTTCCCGTCGCGACATATGCTGCTGTCTGTCTTTGGAACTTCAAACCGCTGTTCATGAATGAGGACATTGACAACTTGGAAAACCTGGCCAGTCTCAACACATTCACAGGCTCCATGGATGAATCCTGGTTTTACTTGGTTTCAGTCGCTATCGAGGCCCGCGGCGCACCTATACTTGACCTGGGTCTTACTGCCATGGAGGCAGTCAGACTTAATGATAGCTCCCTCGTCACAAACTGCTTATGTGCATTCGCTGAGCGCATGACAGATCTCACAGGTCTTCTTCAGCGTATGCATGAGAGTTGCGACCCAACGGTGTTTTACAATCGAATCCGCCCATACCTTGCTGGCAGTAAGAACATGGGGGAGGCGGGCCTACCTCATGGTGTTATCTATGAAGACGGCTCTGGTACTGAGACGTTCCGACAATACAGCGGAGGCAGCAATGCTCAGAGCAGTCTGATCCAGTTCTTCGATATTTTCCTCGGAATCAAGCACTTCCCTACCGGACAGTTGGCGCAAACCAGCGAATCCGCGTCCAAACGAAACAATTTCATCCAAGATATGCGGCGTTATATGCCAGCACGGCATGCGGACTTTCTCAATGACTGTGAGAATGTGGCTAATGTTCGCTCATATGTTGAAAGTAATACTGGTGATGAGAAGCTGTGCCTTGCATACGACGCGTGCCTTGCTATGCTGAGCGCGTTCCGCGACAAGCATATTGCCATTGTCACCAGATACATCATCAACCCATCACGAGAAGTCCGGTCGAGAAGCCGCAGCCCGGAAGCTACACGAGGTCGCAACAATATCGCCATAGCATCAAGAAAGGGAGACGGCAAATTGCAAAAGGGCACTGGCGGAACTGCTCTTATTCCTTTTTTGAAGCAGGCCAGAGACGAGACTGGTGCTCCGGCAATAGCGGAGTGGACGAAGCGGTTCATGAAGCACCAAGTGAAATCTTCACATCAAAGCGATGTGTTTTCAGCCCAACAAAGTGAAGCGTTGGCGTCAAGGGTAGACGAGGTTCGCGTGAGCGGGCTTGCGCAAACATGGACTATGGAAGATGAAATGGGGGGGATTTGCCAATTTTAACTGAAAATGATACATGTATAAGACTTGTTCAACTCGTGACACATACATGTATCGTATACTTAGCCCCAAAATAACTATTACCGCCGCATAAGAGTGCACAAGCCCGGCCTCATCAGCCACCTATCAAAGGTATTGATTGGTATTGGTATTACTATTTTACGCCGGAATATCCCTGCAAGGGCAAATGGCGCCTGCGGGGACCTATCAAACTTCGTATTTTACAATTCATTCTGATTTTTAATCCGTGCAACAGGACTCGTGGGGCTTTCGCTGGTTAATCGTGGGGTCGGAAACAGAACCGCCCGGGGGCCTATGTACATATAACCTGGACAAGGGAAAAAGACGTGAGAAGGAGCGTAGCGTGGCTATCTCGGCAGCTACCGATTAAAGTAGAGTAGGCGGAAAGTTTTCCCTTATCAATAACTGGAAGATTGCTGAGCAACGACATCTTACAAGGTCGGGCCATTTGCCACATGAGAGGAATATGGTAAGTCGTTTATTTTCATATAGTTAAATAAAATAACTAGAACATGAAAGAGGTCAACGAAATCCAGACGACTACGGGATCAGATTCTGATTAGTCAGGGGTGGAGCTATCTATACCACCCTGGGACTAGCGCGCTTCATTGCTTCACGTCGCGCGCAGAGGCATAACTAGAAAGTCCTCGCCATGGTCTTTTCCCATTTGCGTAAGAGCATCACCCTGATTCTAACCTCAAACTCTCTCCTACACAGTCGTGCGAAGTTGTCTTGATACAGTAGCGTGGATAGCGCCATTCAGCTGCTGTGCTCAGATGCACGCTTAGGTCAACAGGCGTTTGGTCCTAACTGGCCGGTCAGCCTCCTCGCCCACGACCTTTTTGACGGCCCCAGCCTCTCGAACCCCAGCACCAAGCACAAATCATCGCGCGAGCCCCCTCGTCGTGTTTTTGATAGCTAGTCTATACATAGGAAGGCACAAAGCTGCTACAGCAGTCATTTTCGCCCACCATGGCAGACTACGAGGATGAGTACGACTACGAAAACTACGAGGAAGATTCAGGCATTACCCCCGAGGATTGCTGGACTGTTATATCCTCCTTCTTCGAATCCAAGGGTCTCGTATCCCAGCAAACGGCCTCATTCGATGAATTTACTCAAACAACCATTCAAGATCTCGTCAGCGAGTACTCGAAAATCTCCCTTGACCAGCCCAACCCGCCCTCCACCGACGAACGGAAGATCAGTGTCCGCCGATACGAGATTGAGTTTGGTAGCATTATGGTATCGAGACCTTCAATTAGCGAGACCGACGGAACTGTGACTTCACTTCTGCCGTACGAGTGCCGGGATCGCAACCTGACCTACGCCGCGCCGGTTTACATCAAAATAACCAAAAAGGTCCAAGCTGCTGTGGAAACAGAAATCCCTCTGCACGAACTCGATGACGCCCAACATACCGAGTATGCTAAATCTGGCGAGCTACCTACAAGACTGGCATGGGAATCGGAGGATGTGTCAGAGCCCGAAAACGCCAATAAGCCTGACGCTTGGAAGGACATGGTTTTCGTTGGAAAAATGCCAGTCATGGTGAAATCCAAAGTCTGCCACCTAAGCCGCGAGCACGATGAGAACTTGTTTCTTGTCAACGAGTGTCCATACGACCAAGGCGGCTACTTCGTTATCAATGGGAGTGAAAAGGTGCTGATCGCCCAAGAGCGCTCTGCCGCGAATATCGTTCAAGTCTTCAAGAAGGCCCAGCCCAGCCCGTACACTTACACCGCCGAAATTAGGAGCGCTTTGGAGAAGGGTTCGCGCCTCATTTCCAGCATGATGCTCAAGCTCTATGGTAAGGGCGAGTCAGCTCGTGGCGGCTTCGGTCAAACGATCCATACAACACTGCCGTTTGTCAAATCAGACCTTCCCGTCGCCATTGTTTTCCGAGCTCTCGGTGTTGTTTCCGATGAGGACATTCTCAATCACATCTGCTACGACCGAAAAGACTCTCAGATGTTAGAAATGCTCCGACCTTGCATCGAAGAAGCGTTCTGTGTCCAAGACCGTGAAGTCGCTCTTGACTTTATCGGTAAGCGTGGTAACCGAGATCAGGCTGGTCTCGGGCGCGACAAGCGTATTCGTGTAGCACGCGATATTCTTCAAAAGGAGACCTTGCCTCACATCTCTCAAGAAGCTGGTAGTGAGACGCGCAAAGCCTTCTTTATCGGCTACATGGTCCACAAACTGCTACAGTGTGCTTTGGGACGTCGGGAACCTGACGACAGAGACCACTTTGGAAAAAAGCGCCTTGATCTAGCAGGGCCGCTGCTTGCGAAGCTTTTTCGTGGTATCATGCGCCGAATGCACTCGGAGCTTGCCAACTACCTTCGACGCTGTGTTGAGGGTAACCGCCACTTTAACCTAGCTGTTGGTATCAAGCCAGGCACGCTTTCAAATGGCCTCAAGTACTCTCTTGCCACGGGCAACTGGGGAGACCAGAAAAAGGCTGCGAACTCAACTGCCGGTGTATCTCAGGTATTGAACCGATATACTTTCGCCTCCACCCTTTCCCATCTTCGACGTACCAATACCCCCATTGGTAGAGATGGCAAACTAGCGAAACCTCGCCAACTTCACAATACTCATTGGGGTCTTGTCTGCCCCGCTGAAACACCCGAGGGCCAGGCTTGTGGTCTTGTCAAGAATCTATCCCTCATGTGCTACGTCAGTGTCGGTTCGCCAGCAGAGCCGCTTATTGACTTCATGATCAACAGGGGTATGGAGGTAATCGAGGAGTATGAGCCACTCAGATACCCGCACGCTACCAAGATCTTCGTCAATGGTACCTGGGTTGGAGTCCACCAAGATCCCAAGCACCTTGTCGACCAGGTATTTGATACCCGCCGCAAGTCCTACCTGCAGTATGAGGTGTCCCTCATTAGGGACATTCGTGACCAAGAGTTCAAGATCTTCTCTGATGCTGGCCGAGTCATGCGGCCCGTTTTCACGGTGCAACAGAAAAATGACCCAGAGACGGGTCTTGAAAAGGGCCAGCTTGGTCTTACCAAGGACTTGGTCAACAAACTAGCACAAGAGCAAGCGGACCCACCCGATGACTCGGAACTGAAGATGGGCTGGGAGGGTCTTATCAAAGCTGGCGCGATCGAGTATTTGGATGCTGAGGAAGAGGAGACATCAATGATCTGCATGACTCCAGAGGACCTGGAACTCTACAGACTTCAAAAGGCGGGGTTATCCGTTGATGACGACCACGAAGGCGGGGATTTGAACAAACGCCTGAAGACTAAGACCAACCCAACCACTCACATGTATACCCATTGCGAGATCCATCCAAGTATGATCTTGGGTATTTGTGCAAGCATTATTCCTTTCCCAGACCACAACCAGGTAAGTCTTCATCTTATACACGTTGGCAATTCTGGAACTAAACAAACTTAGTCTCCTCGCAATACCTACCAATCTGCAATGGGTAAACAAGCCATGGGCTTCTTCTTAACGAATTACTCTCGCCGTATGGATACCATGGCAAACATTTTGTACTACCCCCAAAAACCTTTGGCCACGACCAGATCTATGGAGTTCTTGAAGTTCCGAGAACTCCCTGCCGGCCAAAACGCCATCGTCGCTATTGCTTGCTATTCCGGCTACAACCAGGAAGACTCCGTTATCATGAACCAGAGCAGTATCGATCGCGGCCTCTTCAGAAGCCTGTTCTTCCGCTCTTACTCTGATCAGGAGAAGAAGGTTGGTTTGAATTATACGGAAATATTCGAAAAGCCATTCCACCAAAGCACTCTCCGGATGAAGCACGGCACCTATGATAAACTTGATGAAGATGGTATCGTCGCCCCTGGTGTTCGTGTCTCCGGCGAAGACATTATTATCGGCAAAACTGCTCCGATTGACCCAGAGACTCAAGATTTGGGCACGCGCACCACGGCGCACCAACGGCGTGATATCTCAACACCCCTTCGCAGTACAGAAAACGGTATTGTTGATCAAGTCATTGTAACTGTCAACGCCGATAACGTGAAATATGTCAAAGTCCGAGTTCGCACGACCAAGATCCCCCAAATCGGTGATAAATTTGCCTCACGACATGGTCAAAAGGGCACTATCGGTGTAACATACCGACAGGAAGACATGCCGTTCACGAGAGAAGGTGTCACGCCTGATATCATTATCAACCCACACGCTATCCCCTCTCGCATGACAATTGCCCATTTGATCGAATGCCTTTTAAGCAAAGTTTCGACCCTAGAAGGCATGGAAGGTGATGCTACTCCATTTACCGATGTCACTGTCGATTCTGTGTCAGACCTGCTGCGTAAGCATGGCTATCAGTCGCGCGGTTTCGAAATTATGTACAACGGCCACACCGGTAAGAAGCTCCGTGCCCAGGTCTTTTTTGGACCTACCTATTACCAGCGTCTACGTCACATGGTGGACGACAAAATTCACGCCCGTGCGCGTGGCCCTGTGCAGATCATGACTAGACAGCCGGTGGAAGGTCGTGCAAGAGATGGTGGATTGCGTTTCGGTGAAATGGAGCGCGATTGCATGATTGCGCACGGTGCTGCGGCTTTCTTGAAGGAGCGTCTGTTTGAAGTCTCAGATGCATTCAGAGTGCATATCTGCGAGATCTGCGGCCTGATGACGCCGATTGCGTAAGTGGCTCATTCATTGCCATGGTTCATTGCCATCTTAAACCACAACAAGTAACTGACACTCTCAACAGAAACCTTTCAAAGCAATCTTTTGAATGCAGACCTTGCAAGAACAAGACAAAAATTGCACAAATTCACATTCCGTACGCTGCCAAGCTTCTGTTCCAGGAGCTTCAATCGATGAATATTGCAGCACGCATGTTCACGGACAGATCTGGTGCCTCTATCCGGTAAAGGGCGGCCGAAGGTTGGAGTGGTGAGATGCACCTGTATTATACCTTTTTCGGTCTTTTTTTCGGGGGGGGGGTATAAACACCAAAAGTTTCATGATAATATCCCCCAAAAAAACATTTACTAGTCAAGCCAGGCGCGAGTTTCAGTGGGAGAGGAGGAAAAAGGATGTACAGTACAACATAGCGAATTTGAGACAACGGCGAAGAAATGTCACTGCTTGTTGGGCTCCAGCTATAGCATTGTATCAACATTCGAATACGAGATATAGTGAGCAGGTATTTACAAAGGTAATTTTCGTAATCTGTCGTAATTTACATGATGTACAGAGCTCGTGCATGTTGGCCAGTCAGCGGACTACGACTTGTCCATACCGCCGCCATCACTTTGTATCGGTATCTCTAATGAGCTGTGGACATTTTGCTCTTGTTTATATTCTTCTTCCAGTGCCTTTTGCATATCAAAATCGAGCTGGCGTTCGCGCTTGATTCGCTGTTGTTCCATATCGCGGACGACACCTTGGTGCATAGCCTGCAACCTCAAGTCGTCAGCATGCATGATTATGGGACGCCGGCTTTCCCCTTGCCAGTTGACAAAATTTTCACATACCTGCTGCTCGAAATTTTGCTGGAAATGAACAAAGACAATGGTAGTGGCTGCAAAGAGCGAGGTGCCCAAAAGGGTCAGTTTTGAAGCTCGAGACATGGCTTGTGACGCGCGTCTAATGTTCTGGACCGCTACTCTCTTCTTCGGTTTCCCAATTGGCAAATGGAGTTAATGTCTGATTAGAGCCAGCAGTTGGGTATTGGGTGACCTCGATGGGTGGGAAGCTCCGGTTTTGGATCATGCTGCGTTGCCAACGACGAAGAGCAAGGTCACCAGAAAATGCCCCACTGAAGCTCTGGTGCGCCCACTCTCCGGCGAGGAACCGTTAATCACCGCCGCCATCGTCACTCTGCAACCTCATCAAACCGCCCATCAATCTTGACCGATCCTACTTCGAGCGCCAATTCACTTTCGAACCGCCCCCCTCCCCCTCCCCCCCGAATCATAAAAGAACACACCCTTCTTATCCCAATATGGTCAGCGAAGACGCCACCCCTCATCCCCTGTTATTGAGCGGCACATCATCACTATATGGTTTCACTCCAGTAACTGACCCGTTGCAGTCGGCCCAGAACTCGGCAGGCATCCAGACCCTCCTCGATGTGTGTGATTTACCACACGGTAGCCCCCTGGAAATTTTGACCAGCAACCTCGCTAACGTAGCCATAGGCTGAGCGCGAAGCTTCCAAGATTGTGCAAAAGTGTGAGCTGCGGCGATACCGCCTCTCGGTTGTTAAGTCTGCTAACGAATTTTTCAATCACCTAGCCAGAGAATGTGCGTACAAGAGTGTCCCTACCTCGAAACCGGCCACTGTGATTTCGGGAGTCTTTAACACTTCCATATAGTCCGCACGAAACGTGTCAAGGAAGCCCGTGACGAAGCCAAGAAAGAAATTGCCGAATACAAGGCCAAGAAGGAGGATGAATACAAGAAGTTCGAGATTGAGGTGCGTTACCAATCTACAATTATCCAATATGTGTGCGAAACCAGCTCCTAACTTGTTTCAACCACAACAGCACAGCAAGGGCAACAAGCAAGCCGAGGACGAGGCGAACAAGGAGGCTGACAAGCAAATCAAGTATATTAAAGAGGCTGGGAAGTCGAAGCAGGATGCGGTTGTTAAGAAGCTCCTAGCCGCCGTCTTCGACGTGAAACCCGTAGCCCCTGCCCCTGCCTAAGAACAGTTGCGCTCGCCCGCGACGGACCTTCTTGGGGTGGCGTTGAGGCTAGACGTCTACGATTGAGACAATGACATTGTGATGCTGGCACTCGCTTTCTAGGTTGTGTTATACAAGTTTCCTATATTACTCCCTTATCGCCACAACATAGATAGATTGATCCCTAATATTCGGAAGCTCATTGGAGAGACTCGATCAATGCACCCAACATGTCATTGAAATCTTGATTATCCTCCTCGTTTGTGTCCAGTCCTTCCTTCTGCTCTAGCAGTAGCAGTCGTAACGAGCCTAGATCCTCATCACGATTTGTCAACAGATTCCCGATGATCTTTTTGGCACCATTGTCCTCTGCTACAAGCCATGCGAGGATGACTGCAATTAGCTGCAGCGTAAAGAGTCCGTTATCAAGTCTAGCGGCGAGGACCTCAAAGTCATGCGCTTCCTCGTTATCGCCCTGTGACAACATAATATTGACCTGCCGCGTAGCTGAGGCTACTTTAGCTTGGTAATTGTGGAAGAGCATAACCAACTTGGTGGTCTTTTCATAGCTTTTTTCCACGAATTTGGCAAGAGTCCGGATGCGTTCTGCAGACTCAGCGGGGAAGCGTCGCAGCATATTTGAGAATATACTGACAAGGTGGTCAATGAGTCTCTGTTCGTGTGTCTTCATAAAGGCAGAGAACAAATTTTTCAGCCCTCCGGCATCAACAACTTTTGTACAAATATCAACGCCAAGAGGACCAGCGGCGGCATGGTCGAGCAGACGTAGTGCTGGAGGTTTGGCCTTTTTGCCCTCTTTCAGCATGATGAGGCAAAGCTCAACACCTTCAGCTTCCAAGAATTTGCTTTTACCAATATCTGAATCCACGATGCATGTCAAGGCCTCGAACAAATTCTCCATGTACTCTTCTTCATTGCCACTTTTGTTGGGATCTCGTCTGCGATACTGAGCGATGAGCTGTAGAAGACTGTCTACTGCATCGGCCTCCGCAAGTGCCTTTTTGCTGCTGTCCGAAGTTTGCGCCAAGATAGCAAGAATTTCAGCGGCATACTGCTTGTTCTGTGTCACGTTGGTTTCCTGGCGCTGAATGCGCTGAATGAGCCAATGTATTAGACGCTTTTCGTTGCTGATCCGAGCAGCTACTTGGCTCCTCGAGCAAAAGTTTTCCAGTATACCCATAGCATAGTAAATACCATTCCGGTCGGGTTCATCGTCTTCATCTAGCCGCGAGAAGTTGGATACGAGAAGGTCGAGTAGGCTAGCCTCCATAAGGGCGTCTACCAGTTCACTCCATTGTTCATCTTCAGCAGCGACGTCTTCGTCGGTGAGCTCGCCGATGATTTCGATAGCAGAAATCGCAATATCCGTGTTCTCGTGCGCCAGCAGGCCAACAAGACTTCCAGCGCAGCCGAGTTTCACGAAGTCGATGTATAGTTCGGGATGTTCAGCCAAAATCGAGAGGCCTTTGATGTCTAAGTCTAGGTCTGCTTCGCTTCCAATAAATCTTTGAGGCTCGTTCTCGAATTTGGCTCGCAGCTCGGCGTTTCGTGTGATGTGCTTCTCGAAGTTGAGGGCGGTCTTACGCAGCCATCCAGCGTCGACTTGCTCTGCCGCAGCGCCCGCACCTGCATCGTCAACGTAGTCAAGGATTTGTGATTCTTTCTTGCTGATACCACCTCCGAAGAAGCGTCCCTCTTCGTCTTCGCCGCCAGCATCGTCGGGTGGTAGGCCTGGCCGGAAATCCGGCACCTCTCCATCTTCAACCACATCGTCTTCGACGCGGGCATGGCGGGTTGAATCACCGTCGATCGATAATCGGCTATATTTGTGTATTTCCTCTATTCTCGGTTAGCGTGTACTATTTACATGAACGTCATTGCAGCCCCGGGGTGCATACTTGGGTCGCGTAAGGTATCAAGCTTTCTTTTATTCTGAAGCCTTGCGCTCTGTTGGGCTGGTTAGTGGCTGTGTTTGCATGGCGTTTTTTGCTTTTCCCTGTTACCTTGAATATATCGTCGACGCTGGCCATCATGCTGGAGATTCATTCGTATACGCTCCGAAGCGCCTTGCGAGTTGTATTGTCTAGACAACTCGACGACAAAGCGGTCGTGACAAGCTTGGTTTTTAGCGGTGGGGGCCGTCACAGATGTCCTGCTCTTCCTGACTTACCTCGTCCGAATTTTTGCACCGGCTGCACTGATATCAAACCTGCCTGTAGGTTCTGAAGTACGATTTTATGCGCATGCACAATACAGCAAATTGCTGGTGGATGTTTCGGCGATTATACAGTGAGTGGGGTGACAGAAGTCACGCCCAATTCCCAAAAGGCGCCACATCGTCAACATCGACACCCCTTTTCTAACACACTATTTTATAGCTAAATTACACCTTATTTAAATATAATATTAGTTAAGCTTATATAATTAATATAAGATATAGTTTTTCTATTTTAATACTTTATATACTATCAAACCTGTTAGGAAGCGCGGGAGCATCGCGTCGGGGCCCGAGACGATCGATCAGAGCCGCGAGTAGAGAGCGCATCGCGCGCACATCACTAGCGAGTCCCCTAAGAACACTCACTAGCTTGCTCTAAACGGCAGACGCACCTAGAGACAGGCGCGCCTTATAAGCTAGAACTAGGCTAGAGGGTATAGTAAGAGTAGCTATACTATAGGTACACTTCCTAGTTATACTACCTATAGTATAGTATTAATAGATAGCTATATTATATAGCTAAGTATATTCTTTATCTTCCTTTCTAAAGAAATTATTAATTATATTAAAAGGCTAAATTAAAGCCTTAGGCTTAGACTAGGTAACTAATTAAGCCTAAATAGTAGTTATAGACTTAGTAATAAAAGTATAAATATAAAGATAAGAAAGCTTTTTCTCTATATATTAAGAATAAGAGTTTAAGTTTAAAATTATATTAATTAGCTATTAAATAAGGAAGTAAAAAAAAAAACCTACTTTTTAGCTTATAGTAAACTAACTACCTTTTATTTATAAAAGGTAGATAATTTATATAGGGAATCTATATAAGACTAATACTTATAAGAGTAAGATAATATATTCTTTTTATAGGCTTCTTTTCTAGACTTTTATTTACTTTTCTTTTCTTCTTCTTAGGCTATTAAATTAAAGGGGATAAAGTAAGTAATATAGTCTTAATAGTCTTTAAAGAACTAATAAAAATAAGAAGGGGAACCTTAAAAATACTAATATAATATTATAGGTTAAGAGTAAACTAGAGGGAAGATAAGAAAAGAGACTAAGCTATTTAGAATAAACTATAGAAACTAGGAGATAGACTAGTAGGTTATAGTAAAGTAAAGCTAATTAATAATACTTCCTATAAGGTATTCTAGAACTATAAGCCTAGACTTAAGTAGAAGATCTAATATAGAAGGAGATATAATACCTTATAAGTTCTTAACTAATAGGTAAAGTATATTAGTAAGTATAAGAAGCTTAAGAAATAAAGGTAAGTATATATAGAAGTAAATAAAAGCTATAATACTAATAGCTAAGGAGCTAGAAGGATTAGTAAAGAAACTAAAAGCCTTTTTTTAATTAAATATAAAAATAGGTAATAATAAATAAGATATTATAAAGTAACTATATAGAGTTAATTAATAAAGAATAATAAAATCTAATAAAGAAAAAGAAAAAGAAAAAAAAAGCACCTTTTATCCCTTACTAGCTATTAGCTAGTAACTAATAAAGCTTTAAATTATTTATTTATATAAAGTCTTATTAACTATAAATAAGATTAAAATAATAACTTATTAATTATATACTAATTAATAAAAAATAATAATAACTATAAGTATTTAAATAAAGTATAATTAAAATTATTATTTAGTTTTTATTAAAAACTAATAGTTATAAAGAAAATATATTTATTTATTTATTAAATCTTATTATATAATATAAACTAATAATAATAAAAATTAAAAATAACCTTTAAGAGTATTACTATAATATTCTTTATAGAATATACCTTAAGCCTATATAAATAAAGTATAAGGTATTAAGAGTAAAAAAGAATAGTAGGTAAAGATAAGAGTTAAAAGCTTTTAAAGGAAAGGAGAGATAAAGGTATTATAAAAGCTAGAAGACTATAATAATAATTAAGCTTAACTAGCCTAAAGACTTATAAGGCTAAATATAACCCCCCTTAATATAAATAAAAATAAAGAGAAAGGAAAAGAATTAAGAGGTTAAGAGATTAAGAGGATAATAGGCTTAATTAGTCTAGAAATATATAGGATTAAATATAGCCCCTTTAATATAGATAAAAACCTAAAAGGAGGGGAAGTAATTAATAGGCTTAGCTAGCTAGAATAATATAAGCTAAATATAGGTTAGGATATAAATAAAAACTTAATATATAGTATTAAAAGAGGTCTTACTAGACCCCTATATACTTTAGAATAAAACTATAAAGAATCCTATAAAATATAGATAAGGTTTTCTTTTAAATACTTTAGTTTTTCTTTACTCTATAATTAATAAAAGTATTAGATAGGTTATTTAGCCTAATTAGTATATAAAAATTAAAATTATTATTACTTTATATACTATTTATTATTATTTATTTATTTATTAAATTACCCTAATTAGACCTTATAGTTCTTTTAGTACCTTAATAAACTTATAAGTACTAGAAAAACTATAGTAGTAAATCCCTTATACTAGTACCTTACTATACTAGGTATAGACCTAGTATATTTTTATACTATAAAATAAACTTTTAAATATCTATAGTAATTTTAATTAAGAAAAAAAATAACTAATTAAAATTATAAAGAATTACTAGCTTTATATTTTCTAACTTTTTTTAAAAGTATCTCTAAAGGTATAAAATCTAGAAGTAAATAGAAGATTACTTTTATTTATAAAGACTTATAAGGTATTATAATAGATAGTGATTTTCTAAAAATTCTAACTTTTGCTTTAAGAGACTACTATAAATTAGTTAGGCTCGAGCCGACTCCGGACTAGTCCTGGGCGCGCTACGGGCGCGCCCCCTTTTATACTGTAGGAGATAGGTAAGCTAGCTTTTCCCTCCTCGCTTACTTCGTAAGAGAGTTAATACATTAATAATACTACCTAGGTCTTTGGGCATTTGTCGTAACAGTCACAGGATGAACTGTAGATAACTAACTAAGTGTCTTTCATCATCCTTGCTGGCAAATATATCAAGAGAAGCGTGGCACCCCTTACCATAACACCCCCCCACAAACGTAATTCATCCAACACTTACGTACCTACTACCTACTAGGTACATCTAGGCAACCCCTGACCTATCTTGCGACCCTGTATGCCATCGGGGCTATTTCACTACCTAGGGATCAATTTATTAAACAATTCGAGATATTCACTGCCCCTCTCACCTTAATCGCGGCTGCAACTTCTTCGTCGAGACAATTGAACGAGTATCTTACATTCGCTAGAACGGCAATGGCCCCGCCTCCTCTGGAGTAGGAAATCAGCCATTGTCCTGTTTGTCGCAACACTAGGGGGCGACCTCAACGACCAGTACGGAGTCCTGCGCCGTCGTGTCTGTGCAGGTGCGCCAAAGCGACTGCGGCACTATCCGAACCAAAGGATGCCACAACACCAACCACCACACGACCACACAGGGCCGCCGATCTCGACGCCGACTGCTTCAGCCGAGACCGACGACATTGATCAAGGCGCCATAACTGCGTCTGTCGCAGCAACAACCTCGAGGGCCACCAGCGCCAACCCTATCACCTACCCGAAGTCGCCTTTCTCTCCACCCTCATCCCATCTCAAAACGGATTCTCGCTCGACTGTCTCCCGTCCGCCTAGAACCTCGTCACTACTGCCACCGCCTCGACGTTTGCGCAAGCTGTCCATCGTAGGTGACGAGCTCCCGGACAGCATCGAAGCCGCATCAGCCACCGATGGTTACTGGCACCAACACACCACCGCCATAACAGAGGACGACCCTTGTGATCTTCTCACATCCACGGATCACGACGGTCACTGGAGCGCTACCTATCCGAATTATTACGAAACTTACCAAAGGCCCAGTCCGAATCCAAACGACTTATTCGAGGAACCCGTTTCGCAAGGTCTCTCGTATTCACCGCAACATAACACTACCAGACCTTCACTAAGAGAGGCGGAGGCTGGCCACCTCCACGCCAACCGTGCAGGCCAACAGTCGCAGCCTATCGCTAGTGCCTCGTCATTCGTGCGTCTGCCACCGCTTGAACTACTCCCGCCACTCGATAGGGAGCTTGTGGGGTCATCATCACCAATCGTGGATAGGCCGCATATCGAGTCCTCGCCACCTGAAGAGTCCAGCGCCCAGATGCCCCAGGAAGCACCACACGACGGCCAAACGATGCGCAGCCATGGCCGCCGTCGCAGCTCAAAAGGAGGCAACGATGCCGACAAGGGAAAGGCAGTCAAGCCGCCGTCCCAAAAAGCAATGCTCTCGCGTGCCCTTCAAAAGGCAAACACGGCCGTCCAGCTTGACAATGCACAAAACCTTGAAGGTGCTCGATTCGCCTACTCCGAAGCCTGTGAACTTCTGCAACAGGTATTGCGAAGGACATCCGGCGATGAAGATAGGCGGAAGCTGGAAGCAATTGTGAGTAAACATGGCTACGTAGTAGCCAGCCAAGACGACTAGAACTAATACCACGACAGCGTCAAACGTATGCGAGCCGAATAGAAGAACTAGACCAAATAGGGCTGTTGAAGGACCAGGATACGGCATCAAAAGCGCTCCCTGCTAGACCCGGCAGCGACGAATACAGTCCGAAGCCGGCTCAGATTCAATACAGCGCCATGAGCATCACATCTGCCGTAATGAATCCTGACGCAAGCAAACGGGCAGAGGACCCAACCCCAAACCGAGACCCTCGACGACCAACTTCGCCACCATCCTACGCTCGACAGCACATCAACGACCAACCACCGCCCAACATCAGAGCCACGGAGTGGCATCGCTCGGCTTCGAATGGGCAGCAAGGCATGCTGCAATCATCATTTTCAAAAAACAGCTCTCGCCCCAATCACACCCCCACAGTCTCACAGGAGCAAGCTGTCGACATGCCACAGCCGTTGAATCGGGCAGCTTCGCCACTCAAAAGCCCTCCAGTGCAGTACCTCAGGTATGAAAAAACCCATGGCCACTCTAGGCAAACTGGTTCGAAGGACAAGCTTAGTCATGCTCGTGATAGCAGTCAAAACTCATGGCTTGATGGAGTTGGCGAATCCGGAGGCTCAACAGCATCATCAATTCACTCGAGAAACTCTTCGCAGGGGTTGCGAAGAAAGCATCTGCGAGGTGTAAGTGGCAATACTGAAACCGAGTTCGACACTGCCCTTGACGCCGCAATCGAAGCGGCCTATGATGACGGGTACGAGCCCATGGGCATGGCCGATTTGGTAGAAAGAGATACAGGCGAAGAAGCCGTGGCAAGAGTTCTGCGAAGAGTCGAGATTGCACGCGAACGAGTTCGCCAAACGGAGCAAGAAACTCTCTCCCTTTCCAACGGCGCAGACATGATTGAATTGCTCTCACCCAGGCATTACAAGCTCCCAAATACTCAAAATGGCTTCTCTGACGGTAACTCATCAGACGATGAAGAGCGTATGCTGGAGGAAATGGCTCGTGACTACGACATTGGTGATTTCACAATGAGTGAAGCAGTGCCCATGACTGTGGGCCGTGGTGAGGAACGCAGACCATCCGCGCAACAGAGCGAAATTCAACCCGAACCAAGACCTCAGGCCGAGCTTGTACGACCTCTGATGGAGAGGAAGTCGATTTCTAACATGATCAAAGGGCTAGGGCCAAGTCTGCCACCGCCCAGTACCTCGCTGCCCGAACTTCCACCGCCTCGTGGCACATCCCCCATGCAGAGTGTCAGGAATCGACGCTTATCCGGACAGAACCCCAAGCAACTGAAGATCGACACCACAAAGCCTAGCCCGAGCCCGTTAGCTGTTCATTCGCACTCTGATCAGCCGATTGTTGCCCACGAGCAAGGAAATGAACGTCCTTCTACAGCAACTGGTCGCATTCCTACTGTTTCCCTCGCCCGTTCACCTCCATCCATAGATGCTGCTTCTTCTGACCCGTCGAGTCTTGCCTCGCTGGGGGGTTATCGAGCTCCCGTAGACCAAGATGAGGGCGCATCGGCCAAACCGGCTTCGCCAACCACTTCTAGCAGCAAGTTGCGGAAGAATTTCTCATCTTCTAGCCTACGCAGCATGAAGATCAGAAACATGTCGTCGTCGAACTTTGAAGATCCATCAGATATGTCTCCCGGAACACCGTCGAGCAACCAATTCGGCGGCTCAAGAACCCCGGCGGTACCCACCATTCCGACGCCCATGAGCTCAGAGTTCCGAGACAACCTCGACTCTTCATCGACAGGGGCCCGCCTGTTTGATGACCACTTCCATCAGCCTACGAGCCCTGGCACGATAAACAATGCACCTCCAGATGCCCCGGTCCCGCTAGAATCCTGCCCGCACGACTTTATGCTCCGACCCTTCTGGCTTATGAGGTGCATATTCCAGACCTTGGTGCACCCTCGAGGTGGCTATGTCAGCACAAAGCTGTTTGTTCCTCGTGACGTATGGAAGGTGAAGGGCGTGAAGTTGAAGAACGTCGACGACAAAATTGCGAACTGTGACCTGCTTACAGCCGCCCTTCTTAAACTAGCCCGGGTAGATACGTGCGACGCGGACGCTGTCCTAGAGGAGATGCAATCGCTAGAAGGTATTCTCGAGCAGGTGCAGGCCTCATTGACTCGCAAGCTTGGAAATGATGTCGGGGTCCAGGGCTCAGGGTCACTTTTCAAAGAGGCAGGCGGCGACGGAGACGGTGCTTCCGGCGTCCCGCGTTCAAGCAGCGTATCTACCAAGCCATCCTTTTCGTGGCGACGCCTAAGATCCAAGAGCTCGGGGGTTGCGCTTAGTGGCGCGTACAACAGCAGCAGGACGGTTGTGGGAGATGCGGTCAAAATGGAAACAGGCATGCCCAGTTTGCCCATGACGGCTCAGCCAACAAGCCGTCCGCCGAGACGTGAGCTTAGCCAAGCGCTATTCGTTGGACCTAATGCAAACTATATGAACTCACTTGCGCGCTTATTCGATGCTGCCCAAGCCGTTGGTAAGTAAAAGATCGCCTATGAATTTGAACCTTGTCTACGATTAGATTGACCAACATGTTGCAGATCAGATTGCTCGCCAGGTAGACGACCCCGGTCTGCGTCATGCGGACAAGACGCAAGTTGGCTTGGAGCTTTGCACGCGCCATGCTGCCGAATTTTTTGGTTTTTATATTTGTCGATTTGCCTTGGCTGACCTTGGTCTGCTACTAGAGAAGTTTATCAAGAGAGGGAGCGAATGGGTTTTAGCGTAAATAGCGTATGGCGAATTTGCCCTTAGAATATAGGTGTAGCAGGGACACATCACTTGCATATAACAACAGCTGGACTTAGATGCATTTGATGCCGTGCAATTCAGTTACTCGACCCAGCTGGCAAAATCGACGCTGTGACTGAGAATCACTTTTTTGGATGACGAATCAGGTGTATATTAGTACCTCGGCCGTCTAATATTTGTGCTGTTGGCGGCGCGTTGTGAAAAAAAAAGTTGGACCCAGCAAGCACCTCAACAAGTAAGTAACTACACACAAGCGCAAACAGCTTTAAAATAGCGCTACAGACCTTCCAGTAGATGACAGAGTCGAAATTCCTACATGAACTGGGTCGGGAAGGCTGCGCGAGCATGGACTCGAGGATGCTTGACTCACTGGTGCCCCATTGCATGCCGCAGACTGGACTTCGCCGTCTCCTATCCAACATGGAGACAGCACTTTGCTTCGAAGTCAAAACCAACGCCAGCCGAACTCGAAGCGCGCATAACAGCCATTCCTATTCAGCGATATAGGAATTTCTGCATAGTAGCGCACATTGACCACGGGAAAAGCACTCTAAGCGACCGGCTACTCGAGCACACGGGCACTATTTCGGCGAGTGACGCGAACAAGCAAATTCTGGTACGTTGACATCGCTGGCTCCAGGAAAGGGATTATGGACCAAGTGTAAAAAGCTCACCATCGGTAGGACAAACTCGATGTCGAAAGAGAACGTGGCATCACAGTCAAGGCGCAGACGTGCACAATGCTTTATAACTACAAGGGGGAGGATTATCTGCTGCACTTGGTCGACACACCTGGCCACGTCGACTTCCGGGCCGAAGTAACTCGCTCATATGCCAGTTGCGGCGGCGCCATTTTGCTCGTGGACGCAAGCCAAGGCATCCAGGCACAGACAGTTTCAAATTTCCATTTGGCCTTTGCGCAGAATCTGGCACTGCTACCTGTTGTCAACAAGATTGATATGCCGTCGGCCGATATTCCCTCCGTCTTGAAACATATCAAAGACAGCTTCGAGTTGGACCCTGAAGAAGCTGTTCTTGTCAGCGCAAAGACAGGCAAAGGCATTCACAGAGTGCTTCCAGCGGTTATCGAGAAGATGCCCCCTCCAGTGGGCGATCGCAGCAAACCGCTGAAAATGCTTCTGGTGGATTCTTGGTACGACAATTTTCGTGGTGTTGTTCTGCTTGTGAGGGTCTTTGATGGCACGATCCGGGCAGGGGATAATGTTGTATCGCTTGGTACTGGCATGAAGTACACCGTCGGGCAAGTTGGCGTGCAATTTCCGGACGCAACACCACAGAAGGTCTTGGGTGCCGGGCAGGTTGGCTACGTTTACTTTAATCCTGGAATGAAACAAATACAAGATGCCAAGCTGGGAGACACTTTCACGGTCACTGGCAGCGAAGATGTCGTCGAGCCATATCCTGGCTTCGAGGAACCCAAGCCCATGGTCTTTGTTGCTGCCTTTCCAACCGACCAGGGAGACTACAGCAGGCTCGCAGATAGCATTAACCAATTGGTGCTTAACGACCGCAGTGTAACACTTCAGAAGGACCATTCAGAGGCACTAGGGGCGGGCTGGCGCCTTGGGTTCCTGGGTAGCCTGCACTGCTCAGTTTTCCAGGATCGTCTCAGGCAAGAGCATGGCCGGAGCATCATCATTACAGAGCCTACCGTCCCAACCAAAATCATATGGAGCAACGGCAAGGAGGAAGTAGTGCAGAATCCTGCCCTCTTCCCTGATACTTCGCACCCGCTTGTGAAAAGCTCACAGCTACTGGAGCCGTAAGTCTATCACGAGCCGAGTGCGTACACACAAGACTAATCAGCAGCGTCAAACAGGTTTGTCAAGGCGACCATCACGGTACCCGAGGAGCACCTCGGACGCGTGATTGAGCTTTGCGAGGCAAATCGGGGGCAGCAGAAGGGTATCGAGTTTTTCAACAAAGATCAAGTCATTCTTGTGTACGATATACCCGCCGCTCAGCTGGTGGAAGACTTTTTTGGAAAGTTGAAAGGATCGAGGTACGTCGTGCATATCACGCAGTTACGAACCGAACCGGTGATGGAAATGAACTGACCAAAATCACACCCCAACAGCAAGGGATATGCCACACTTGACTATGAGGAAGGCGGTTGGCGAGAAAGTAAACTTTGTAAAGTACAGTTGCTCGTGAACAAGCAACCTGTCGATGCCATATGCAAAATTGTCCATGCCTCTCAAGTCGAGAGGGTAGGCAGACAATGGGTCACAAAGTTCAAAGAGCATGTTGATAGGCAAATGTTTGGTAAGTGGTGATGGTGATGTGATGGTAACTAATAACTGTGCTAACTTGAAGAATTACACAGAGGTTGTTATCCAAGCGATCTCAGGCAATAGAATCATTGCTCGTGAGACTATCAAGCCATTTCGTAAAGATGTGCTTGCAAAGTTGCACGCTAGCGATATCACCAGAAGACGAAAGCTGCTCGAGAAGCAAAAGGATGGTAGAAAGCGGCTACAAGCCGTGGGAAATGTTGTGATTAACCAATCAGCTTTTCAGGATTTTCTTGCGAAGTAGATGTATTCTAGTGAATAAGTATTAAGCGTTTATACTCTTTATATTATGGGTATTAATAATTATAAAGTAGAAAATTAGGCCTATTCTTAAATTGGTGTGCTGAAATAATTTATTTTCTAGTGCTTTATTAACGTGCATCTGTGTTCCTATGAATATTTTTTCTTAAAGAAACGGTTCGTAAAGCAGTATTATTAGTCACTAGCCGTCCTAGGTGTGTCTCATACTAGTGGTAGTAGCTATGTGGTTTTTTTTTTTTTGGTCATCGAAAGTTGCCTAACGTTGCCATACTATGTTCGATAAAAGCAATATGGGGTGCCTAGTGATCACCATGTACTTAAATGCACATTATAACCATGTGACAAAATTCAGACGCAAGATTTTTCTAGTACCGCTGTTTTTATTTTATCTCTCTAGACCTAGCTTTTATGCGATCTTTTCTTTTTTTCTTTTGTAATGTGGTCTAGCTAGGTAGTAAAATAGCGCCAATCTCCGCTACCCTCTTTCGTGGTAATTAATGTTATCACTATGTTCAGAGTTCCTAAAGCAATTGAAAACTACGATATCGAAATACTATAAAGGACTTGAGAAAAATATGGCGATTAGACAGGAGCCGCGTGATAAAAGGGGGCAAAATTTAGCAGCAGCACCTACCATCAGGTATATACGCCAAGCCGTCCTGGCGCTAAGCTTGTTGTGAGTCTTCCTGACTGACGACTAGGTATGGAGGTATATATATAGCACCATGAATGACTCTAGGCCCTGTTCTTTATTCGGCATGCGAAAGCTTTCGGGGGATTCTTATCGCATGTCAATTTCACCGCAACGTTTCAATTTAACAAGCTAGGTACCTAACCCGCGCTAAAGTGATATGCAAGTTTGTGTCGACGCCTTCTTCCACCTCCGCTTCGTAACCTATACACTGACGTGGATGTACTATGATATGTATCTAGGGCAAGATAGAGCACCAGCAAGCACTCTTGCTGGCGCGCGCATATGATATGCACGGTCGGGCATTGCCGTTGGAAATTGTCAAGCGTGGGGACACATTTCTATAGAGTAACTGTGTAACAGAAACTGAGGGTCATGACAGTAACAAGCTACGCGAGTGTTACTCACTCAACCTGGGTTAGATCTCCTTCGTCCTGTATTGCCGATTTTCACAAGTATTCTTCAGCCGCAATACTCTCTGCTGAATCACGCAAACAATTAGCCGTGGTCGGCGTTAGTTCATCAGCCCGACCGATCGCTTGGGGACGGCAGACACCAACTGGTCCGTCCGAAGAGTTGGTTATACTCGACCGATAATGGGGGCCTGTCTTATGTGGCGTATTCTAGGGCTATACGGAGTATATATATCCTGACGTTCTATCGTTCGTGACTGTTCAATGTCGGTAATTAGGAGCCTGTTGGGATTGTAACTTGCTAAGACGCTACAGACTTTGACGGCCCTGACTTTCCTATGCCTACATCAATCCCACGACGGGATTTCCTTTCTTGCATACGGTGGCGATATGCTTGTTAGCTCGGGGTCCATGGCCTTCCATACATCCCTCAAATGTAGGGGCACATGTTTACTCCAGTAACGAAACTCAGGCGTGATGCCGTTCTAGGGTGAGACAGGTTAGCCACCGCTATGAATCCGTCGTCCATCGGTGTTGCCTTTGCTTACGGAACATGGTCTTTGTTTGGGTGGTTTCCTCATATAGTATCTGGACGACAACATCTACTGCAGCCAGGGTCGTAGGTCACGCCGCGAGATTGGGTTGTCGTGTGCCAACCTCCTTGGCGGGCATGGCATATCCTGTTCCCCTGCGGCCTTCTGTGTCGTCCACTAACTTCCGCTGCGGGTGGTATCTATTACCTCTATACCGCCGATGGCCATAAAAGCTAAATATTAGCAGCATATTACTATATCGTGTGGGACGTATGGCTTCATCGCTGTCTGGCTGTGGAAGATATATTCGAGACAAGATGTGGGAGTAATTAGTGATGGCGCCAGAGGACGACAGATGGTATACTTCCTCGCTTCGCGCCAACAAATGTCTAACCAATAGGTGCACACCAGTAGATGCAATATGGGCAAACGTACATCAATCAACATGGCGAAGACGATAGAGTAATAGGCCAGACCAACAAACCACGTCCTGAGATGTGGCGTAATTGCTGGATTGATCGATATAGGGTAGGCTGGGGTCTGGGCAGAAGCTGATGGCATTCACCCCGCATAAGGTCAAAATCTGAAGAGCTTTCGTCACGCACCCCCTCCGTGACGTGCTTCTGCCAGCCATTAATCGAAGATGTCGATATCAAACGAGGCCTTGCAAAAGGTAGGCAAGGAGTATGCATATCTTTATGGACTGAATTGACAACAAAACAGCTGGCTCGTGAGATCGAGGCGCAGGCCGCCTCTGCACAGCAACAGATCGGCATCGCACGCACGCAAATAGCTGGCAAGCAGAGAGAGCAGCGCCTGGTAAAACTCACACTGAGCGAGCTCAACAGCCTCCCCGAAGAGACAGTGGTATATGAGGGCGTTGGCAAGATGTTAGTATATTTAATTGGTGTTGCGTCAAACCACACAGCTGTTAACTGGGCACACAGGTTTGCCGCTCTGCCCGTCTCGGAGATGACCCAAAAGCTAGAGGACCAGACGAAAGGCCTGGATAGTGAGGTAGAAAAACTCGGACAAAGACTAGTGTATCTAGAAACGACGCACAAAAACAGCCGTGAGCATATCGAACAAATGTTACGAAAAACCTGACCGAACGAGGCGAACTCCCAAGACACAGGCAGGTAGCGGGGAAGTTAAGCGCCCAGCCAGAGCATGGTTCGATGAACCAACACCACAAGCTGCAACGTGGACGATTTCATAGGTACACATAGACGACAGACAGAAGGGCCCCAAGGTCACAGATAGAAGATAACAGAGGAAGCCTTGTCCGTCCACCAACCCGCCCCCGCCGCCCAGGAGCGCGCACAATATCTCCTTTATGAATGGGACCCGTACAACTGCGGACTGGCCGGAGTAACTGGCGGCCGCGTCCCACTAACCAATATTGCAACTCTACAACTCATTCCACAGTTGCAAGGCAAACTGCCTCCTAATAAGCGCCGAGAAGAAGCCCCTTCATTTGATTATTCGTTTCAGGCCTAATGATCACCCCAATTCGGGCGACGACTAAACTGGCGCGGATTATGGTGGCGTGGATCATAGCACCCCCGTTTTAGCTGCTGAATGGTCAGCCCTATGCGACTCAAGGGCTGCTCTAACTACTAAAAACTCCTCGTCCGCCATCCCCGCAGACTGGTCGGCCTAAATACAAGAAGGGCTCCCCCGACCGACGCGACTGCCACATTCATCGTACTCTATCATAGCAAGATGAGCCACTACTCGTACGACGAGGACGACCTGGATGTCCACATCCGTAGGCGCCACTCTCCGGAGCCTGTGCGGTATGTCAGCACGGCGCCCCGACCATACTATCCGCCGTCGTACCTTGTGCCCGACCAAGGCATGCGTGTTGTTGCGCGTAGCCGCTCTCGTGAGCGCAGCAGCCCACCCCAGCCCGCCGGCCCAGTCATTATTCAGAACAAGATCTACAATGATCTGTCTTCTGACGATGAGCATGAGCTGTCTCGGCGACGCCGGTCTCGCCGCCGCAGCTCATACTCCCCTTCTCCCTCCCGATCACGAAACCGATACATGACCAAAGAGGACTGGCAGCTCGAGCTAGACAGACGCGAAATAGAGAGACTCCGCATGGAACAAGTGAAGGAGAAGGAACAACGCCGTGCCAGCAAAGAACGCCAGGATGACGAGGAGTTGCGCCGAGCAAAGGATGAGCTGGACATGATCAAGCGCCGAGAGGCGCAGGCTGAAGAAGAGAAGCGTATCAAGCGCGAACTCGAACTGCAGCGTCTGCGCGAGGAGGAGCGCGCTGTTGCGGAGAAGGAGATCCGAGACAAAGAGGCTAGGGCTGCTGTGGAGAAGTATAAGAAGGAAGAGGTAGAGCGAAGAGAAAAGTACGAAAAAGAAAAAAAAGAAGCCGAGAAGGAGTACCAGCGGCGTCTGCAGGAGCAGCTTCTCGCATCCGGACTAGACGAAGAGGCTATAAACGCTATTATCAAGAAGGAGAAAGTCAAGGTCCCGGAAGCTAGAAACGAGCGCGCAACCTACACCCGAATGCCTCGCAAGCATCTGTCAATCGAGACTCTGAGAACCTTCAAGGTCGAATATGACCTTGATTCCGTTGTGAGTGCTTTGTGATGTCAACCTCGAAATAAAGACGCCAGTAAACAGACACTGAAGCCAGGCACTGACATGACGAACAGGACCCTACTGGATTCGTTGTCATCAGGCGACCGGTCCCCGAGTGGGAGCAAGATCACTTTTGGAAGCATACTAAGTATATCCGCGAGAAACGTCTGATTATCGAAGATAGGAGACACCACCACCGCCACAAGAGCGATATCGAGCTTGTTGTTCGCAAGAAGGAGCGCAAGAGGAGTAAGTCGCCTTCGCCCCTGATGATGTGGGTTGCGGGAGGTCGACCATGATTTATGAGTCTGCCAAGATTGTCACAGCTTGGATGTCGGCGCCACGACAGCACGGTCATGAAATGAATTCAGAGGCGAGATGTCTAGTCTATTTCTTTCTCTCAATTATAGCTGTTTTACACGTTACAATGACCCGTATCTTCGAATGAGTTCCTCATACAATGTCCATGCCAAAGCGGAGCTGAGAGCCTTGCGTCCCATGCGCAATCCCAAGCCACTCCAAAGAGATCTGAACCCATCCTCGGTGATCATCTTGTACCAAGCCTGACCCATATTGCGATAATTTTGTGGCTGGAGCTGTATGCGCGTCTTTACTGCGTCAAAAGGATTTGAGACGACGGAGCATGCGGCGCCGGCCAGAATTGCAGAGCCGAAGTTGATGGAGCCTGCCAAGGGAGTGCCCATAACGGTCTTGGCATCTGAGTTTGAGCTAGTTCTGGCAAGGGTTCCGATATATGATTTCAACATCTCATAGAAGAGAACGTACAAACCAGCGTACGGCGCATCACGCATTGCTGTAGCACCAACTCCCGAAAAGAAGCCGCGGAAGCCCTCTCGCCCTTTGATATCCTTCACCGCGCTGAAGAGGGAGGGGTACGAGTACAAACTGGATTCGAATCGTACTTTAATAACAGTTAAAGGCATGAGGACAACTCCGGCCAAGGTTCGCGCCACGGCCCCGGAAAGTAGATTCGCCGTATTCGATAGCTTGGGCAATGCTGTAGAACCAGCCATGCCGCCCTGGCCAGTCCCTGGCACGTTTGAGCGAGCCGCATATTGGCGGATGGCGTTGAGTGAAGAGAAATAGAGCGCAGAGCCAAATCCTGTGCGAATCGCAGACGGGAGAGTGCCTCTCCACAAAGCCCGGAGCTGATTAGGGGAGCGACGTAGCTCCAGCCATGACTTGTACAAGGTTGGTTGGCCGGACTGCTGCACTCTCGTTTTCAAAAGATCGAGAGGCTGTAATATTATAGCAGTAGACATGCCAGACCCTAGACCGGAAACAAAATGATGGCCTGTGCGTATTTGTGAGGACAGTTTCAAGCAGGACAGCATTACGGGAGCTTACTGGACTTGGAGGGGTTCGCCACCCCTACAGCGGACGGTGTTAGGCTCATGATAAATCGCTCTCAAGAGGTCATCCTAGCCACAATTAATGCCGGATAAGTCATTCCATGATGGGATGTGCAATGCGATGAGTAAATTTGGACAAGCCTGCCTAGTCAGTCTGGCCACCTGGTTTCGATTTTCGGCACTGTGATACAGGCAGAGAGACCCACACCGTATTAGGTCGCGGCCTAACTACGCTGACACGCCGGTGAATGGTGCCTTGTAGTCTGCAATGACAGATTCCAAGCGTCCTGCGAGTAATCGGTGCCGTTTGATAAGATCAGGCCATTCAGCTACGCCGATAGAAGGGATTAGCATGCCAAAATCAGCACCGAGTCTACCCAAGCTGCCTGCACAATACAAGACCTGCGTTAATATGCTTTCTCGTGACGCCTGGTCTTTGACCACGGGCAGGTATGTGCGCAATATCTCCAGAAGCATACCGACAAGATGCATTGGAAAGGCCGATAGAACGGGAGGGATGGAACCCAAGTTGTCTATACCTGAACCAGTCTCCGGACCTGCACACCCACCCGCGTTCTTCGAGATTGATATGATGTTGAAACTGTGCTCTCGGAACACCTCGATGAATCTCTTCAAGAAGCGCTCCGTTTGCTGGCCACCAGACCAAGATTGGCCTGCGCTATGCTGACGCCGGCGTTCTTCATCAGCGAGCTCTCGCAGGGGGTTTAATGCCTCCAGAGTTGTTATGAGATTGGAGAATCGACAGATCAGAAATACGGCGGGCAACGAATCCCCCGCAGGCAAATCTGGGACCAACTCTGGAACAATTCGCTTCAGCCATCCAGTGGTGCGGAGCGCCGCCGCGAGTTTCAGGTTGGGGGTCGTCAACGACGTGATCAAATCAATGGCGAGCTGACGAATTGCATCGTCTGCCTGCAACCTGACAGATCTCACAAGCTCTGATTCTGGGTAGAGGGACGAAAGTCGTCGAATATGGCCGTACAAATCCAGGCTTGTGGAGTATCCGAGAGGACTGGCGGTAACAGCAGAGAGTAGAAGGGCGGGTAGCTCCAAAAGATCGACGATACGCTCGGAATTTTCGAGAAGATGAAGGGCCTCTTTTCGCTGAGCCAAGATCTGACTACCGCCTGATTTGCTAAGTGATCTGGAAAAACGTTCGGCTTCGGCGTCGAGGCGAGGTACAGTTGCGGTGAGCTCACATGCCCTCAGGTCGAGGTCTCGTATTGTTTCTTGTAGAGAGGAATGCCTAATTGCTGAATTCACCATGTATTTGTGAGATCGCTTGGACAGGGCCTGTATGGAACGCAGCATCGATTGTGAGATTTGAGCAAGTGCTTGAGGCTCAGACGAGAGTACGGACTCAAGCGAGAGGCTCTCGAGATACTCCAAGAATTCTAGATCCGCAGCATCAGACGGCGCATCCAAGCCGAGCAAGTCTCTGAGGGCTTCAGCCATGGCACAGGTTGTCCAATGCGTCAACTTTGTGGCTTTTACTTTGTAGTGTGGGTGTGGGAGGTTGAAGGTTGAAGTTTGAACATGACCTCGGAGGTAGGTAGTCTGCATGACCCACCCGACCGCCCCGTCAACAGCAACAGGCGCTGGTCGGTGAATACTGCCCTTAATACAATTCGCCTTGGGGTGATTCTATTTACCTCTAGGTACCTAATAAGGAACCTAGCTAGGTACCGAGGTAGGTAGCTAAAAGTAATAACTGCTGACACAGCCATGTGGCCATCCATGTATAGCCATCTCGTGACTTGTTCGCCAACCGTCCGTCGTCGTAAGGCCTAGCAAAACCAATGGAATCAAGAGCCGCTTGGCCATGAAGATAGTAGTATAGATCCCTCCTGACTTTTGAAATATGTGCAAACGCCAAGAAAAGCATTCATGCGCGAAATGTGGCAGTTGATGAGAGGTGCCTGCCCTGGCCACGTGAGATCCCCAACACTTCTCGGAAGCCCACCAGCCCACCATCTCGGCCCACCAATTTTGGCTGCCTGTCAAACTGCTTCTCACCACCACCGTATGTACGGGGGTCAGGGCATCGCCCTTTTATATATATCTGGTTTCGCCCAACTGGACAGCACATCCTTAATATTCATTGTCAACACTATTTTCGCCGTCCCGAAAGTCCGAAAGCAGGGCCAGGATCTGTGGGCAAAATGAAGGACCCCTTCTTCTTTCAGCCCGTTCCATGGCTCTCGGACTTAGTTCGTCCCCTGTCCCGTCGTCTCGATCTGGTGACCCTGCCGCTGCACATCCATGAAGTTATATTCGCTGCTCTGCTCTACTCCGTCATCTTCTATCCGATATCGCCAATCCTCTCTCGACTCATTGCCTCGAAGCACTACTCACAGCTTTCCCGCCAAAAACGACTTAACTGGGATGCTCATGTTGTTTCCATGGCCCAGAGCATATTCATCAATGGACTCGCTTTATGGATCAAGTGGGTAGATGAAGAACGCAGTGGTATGGATAGAGAAGGTCGCATCTGGGGCTATTCCGGAGCACCGGCTCTGCTCCAGTCTATGGCTGTCGGGTATTTCGTTTGGGACTTGTTCGTCACTGCCGTTAACCTGGAAGTTTTTGGCATTGGTACTTTGGCACATGCCGTCTCTGCACTGATTGTTTTTAGCCTGGGATTCGTATGCCTCTGCCTCTGTAGTCTTCTCGTCTGTAAGATGCTAACCTTTGGCAGAAACCATTTGTCAATTATTACGGATGCAACTTCATTCTCTTCGAACTTTCTACACCTTTTCTGAATATTCATTGGTTCCTGGACAAGGTCAACATGACAGGATCCAATATTCAGCTCTACAACGGCTTTGCACTCCTGTTCACCTTCTTTGCATGCCGGCTCGTCTATGGACCTTACCAAAGCTACAGAGTCTTCAGCGACATCTACGCTCTCAGTGGCAGAAGTCCGTCTTCACCAGGTAAAGGCGTATTTGCATACGTGACGTCAGAAACATATATTCCAAAATGGCTTTCTTTTGCTTATCTGGCCAGTAATGCGACACTTACTTTTCTGAACTTCTACTGGTTCTACACGATGATCTATGCTGTTAGGAAGAGGTTTGTTCGGTCTCCTGGAGTGGAAGGCGAGAAGCCCGAGCCTGCCACTGAGGTTGAAAAAGACTTGAACGTTGCTGCCACCGGAAGAGCATCGCAGACCAAACCTCGTTCTCGCCGTGCTTAGGAAGGTCCTGTGTTTCATCGCAAACGCCACGCATGCTAGGGTAATACCGCCGTTCTCAAGCGGGATGTTGAGCATGCCAGGTATTGGGGGGGGGGGTGGTTGTACCACCACCAATACTGAACTCTTCGGTTGGTACAATGGCTGCACTATCTCTTAATCTCTTAATTTTTTTGAAGAAACATAGAAAAAGATCGAATAATCTGTTTATCTTTCTGAAACATAGAAAAAGATAAATTAGTTATGGTGTGCAATGCATTCACGCATTGATGGTTGTTGTATTTCAGAACCACGAGTCCCACTTTCCAACGCTAAAAATATGAATTACATTGAGCAGCTTTTGCAGAGCTACTATCCCCATCTTAATGCTGGCTGTCTCCCGTTTGTTTTTGAGTGATCGAAGGATGGAAGGGAGATGTATCGAGACGAGCTCGAATGTATCAATATTGGACGAGGAGTTTAGCTCAGAAGCCAAAGGGGTTCTGAGGCGCTGTATCGATTTGTCAGTCAGTTTTGCGAGTATTAGGCTTGACACATTAGTTTGGAAACTCACTAGCTTGAGACAAGTTCGCTCGTCGCCCTGTCGGCTGGGCGGTTAGTTTCTTAGCCTCAGTTACTCCGAAACGTACAGGTGGCGGCGGCCCTGTCTTCTGCGGCTGGAGAGCTTGTGGAGGTTGAGTACTAAAAGTATTGAGACCAGTAGCCTGTGGTTGGTGCATGACGGCTATTCCAGTTCGTTGCGGTTCAAGAGCAGGCGGTAAGTAGTTATTAACATTGGCCTGATTGGCCTGACCGAATGATGACTGCGGTTGAAACTGGGGAGGATAGGCAGTGTGCTGTGCCTGAAGCGGTGAGAACTGGCTAGGCGCGCCAGTATCTTGAAACGGGCTTTGTGTTGGAACTCCTGTGTACATGGCTTGCATATACTGCGCACCTGTCTGATACGGCGCGAGATGAGTCTGATTCTGCAAAGTACCGTAACCCGTCATAGTCGGCTGGAGCGCCTGTATCTGCTGCATCTGCTGCATCTGCTGCATCTGAGCTGTAAACTGCTGCTGAAGGCGCGCCTGCGTGATGTCATTGAGACTTTGACCTGGCGGAGCTACCTGCCCCTGAACAAGACCGGTCATTTGCGCCGACAATGCTGGTACTGCGAAAGCACTCTGCTGCTGGGGAGCAGATATTGACCGCTGCGTTGGGGGAGGCGGGAGAGAACCATGACCGGTGGGTATGGTTGGTGTTGGTCGTTGCCGTGCAAGAGACTTCGGCGATGCAGGGCCACCTGTTCGCGAGCCTGATACAGAAGAAAAGAACGAAGGGCTCGCCCCTGACAGTGGTTGAGATTGTGGTACTGGTGAGGCCGAGGTTGATGTGGTTGCTGCAGACTCTGGCTGATTGACAGACTCAGCTTTGATCGGTTCCAGCGGTGCGCTGAGCATAGACAAATCTTTCAGGGAACCCGCAAGTGCCGGCATGGCTGTTGCAGAAGGGGGCATCGATTCTGTAGGCTCTACAGTCTTCCCGGCCCGTGGCTGTTTGCTGGGTTTCACCTCCCAGGCGTCGTCCTCGAAGCCAGCCAAAGCTGGTTTGGGTTCTCCATGAATGGGGCTGCCACTGGACTTTGCTATGGCGCTACCCCCTGATTCCTTGGAAAGGGTTGTTGCATCGACAACATCATTCGTCTGAACAGCGGGCGCTGGACGACCCTTCCGAGTGTTGTTGCGAAGTGCACCCCCAGGTCCCGAGAACAGTCCTCCAGTGCTGCTATCACCCTCAGCACTCCGTTCCCGCCCAAATTTCGTATCCAAACTGCGCATGATCTTGATGATATCGCCTTCGCGAATACCTAGTGTTCGAAGAATAACGGCGTTGACATCGGGAAGGACGCTTTCATCCATGGAGTCTCGAATGAATGCTTGAGCATAACGTTCGCACAATCCCACAGGGACGTCACAAGAGAGGAAGAACTGAAACCAGTCGTATTCAGGCTTCTTATTCCTTTCAACTTTGGCGCCTGATGGTTCGCTTGGCCGGTTCGCTGCTTTGGAGCGCCGCACATCAGCAAGAGGCTTTTCATCCTCTAGCGAGATACCCGTAAGGTTTTCGACATATTCTAAATCTTCCCGTGACATTTTCGTTATTGGAACCGCAATCTTCACTCCATTCAGTTTATGTAGATGGATTTTGCCGTCTCGAAGGCCAAGAAATTGCGCCTCCACACTAAAGGACTTGGAACGGTCCGTCCAAGTGCGAATTTTGCTTGTATCCGGTTCTGCAAAATGCTGCCGTCAGTAAAACCTCGCCAGAATTGTTCGGGGTTGAAATCATACTTGACTTGCTTTTGGAAGAATTACTACTTTCGCCATGGCCATTTTCGCGACGGCTACGCTATTGCAATCAGTTAGTTTTGATTACATTGAAGAAAGTATATCTCGGTTGGAAAGCTTCGTACCTGTTGAGGCTCTTCTTTGCTGGCCTTCAGGGCTTCTTTGGTGAGTCTCATCTCTTCCAAGCGATTTTGCTCGACGGAGGACATGCCACTGCGAGTGCCGCCCTCAGTAGGTGGAGGTGTGACAGCGCCAATGATCTCAATATAGCTGCTTGGAACAACCCCCTCCTTGCTATTTTTAAGTCGCCGCAATTGCCACCACTCTTCACTTTTGGAGTCGTCCAAGATAATAACTTCATCACCGGCGGCGACAGTGACCTCATCCTGGCCCTGGGCCATGAAATCATATAGAACTTTTCCCTTTCGTTGATAGCGCTGTGCTCCAGCCATTATAACCTCTTTCAAACCCTCCGCTCGCACAGCACCCGCCATTTCGCCCAGTGCCAAAACGATTTCTTCCGCGGTATCCTTGGCACCGGCGTGGAAGTCGATACTTTTGCTGGGGCGCACTAATTCCATAAACACATGCTTTCCTTCGCGAGAGTAGTGAGTCATTTTGTCGGCAGTCCACTCCTGAGGAGGGGCATCCTGTGCTCGCTCTGGAGCAATGAGGAGCATGCCGGTCCCTAGATTGATACCTAGGGTAGTCGGCATCTTCTTCCTTTTACCCATCACGGAGACCATCTCGCTGATATTGTACATGTGAAATCCACCAGGTGTCCTCTGAAGTGGTGGTGCATCGGGCAGTCGGTTGGGATCAGGCATTCCGTAGTCATCCGAGTTGCTTCGAGTATGCTGGATTTGTGTTGGTCTTGGGCGGGAAGGTAACGCAGGAGACTTGATAGATTCCTTATCTGAAGACGCCGAAAGTTCTCGCCTAAGCTGATCCGGGGGAACGGCATGTTTTGCCGCTGTAGACCGTCCTTGTAAGACCCCGGCCAATGCAGACGCTGGTCCTGCAGGCCCGGGACTCATTACCGTAGGGTCTTCTGCTACAGCCGGGGTCGTTGCGACGGAGCGAGGCCTCGCCGGTAACGCCGGGGGTGGCATTTGGGAAGTCGCATGATCCGCCACGCCTGTCGATTCCACGTCAATGTAATTTGCTGGGACGAATCCAAAATCATCATCCAGACCGACAAGAATCCAGTCCGGGTCGGACGTGTCAAACACGTCGAGAACAGCATCTTCATGGAGAGATAGTTCCTCGTCAGTTTGTCGAGTATACTCGTAAATAGCGCGGGCTTGGGTCAGTGCAGGGGCCTGTAGACGAAGTGATATTAGCAGCGTACCCCGGGAACATGTTGGGCTATCCGGTCGTGCATACCGTCTCGACATAGTTGTGAGGTACAAGTCCCGTAGGCTCATCTTCATCATCTGCGCCAGCTCTCTTTTTGGCTTTCCACCAGCCATCGTCGTCATTCTTTTCGATTATGTAAAGCAGATCGCCCTCGCTGATGGTGAGCTCGCCATCAGACTGTGGCTGGTAGTCGTAGAGGGCTCGATACACCCCGAGAAACCCCATGACGAATGTCAGGCGTCCCAGCACGCAGGCAATGCTAGGTTTGGCAGTTCCTTTGGGGCCCTAGAGACAATCAAGCCAGCCGTGGGGTATTGAGGGTTATCGTAACAATGGTGAATGTCGTCAGCGGGACATGAACAGCGCGAGTTTTTGGCGACGAGGGCAATTCGATGGACGAGGTTCGTAGCTAGTTAGTTACGCCAGCAGTTTAGCGGGACCTGGCCAAGCCGAAATGTCATTGTTCTGACTGCTCCATTTTTAACGTGACAATGTCCGAGCTACCAGGCAACCAGGGCAGAAGTGTCTATGTCTAACACCCAAAAAACAAAAGCAAGCAAAATAAACCATGCCGGTATTAATTACAGCTTGAATGCATCGACCAATACCTCTCTACATAGCGTAGCCCTGCACTAGACAAAATATGTATGCAATACATTAAGAGAGACACAAACGACTATGACATCCGGCGGCAAAATTCAGCAATGACTAGTAACGTGTTTGACCCAGTTGAGGGATCCTAAATATTCGGAGAAATTGGATGATATCGTTGAGACCATGATCAAAGATGGTTCCATCCAGTGTTGTACGTTGGAGCGCCCATCTCCTAATCAATCCTGTGTTGGTGTAAAGTTCATGTACCGCTTGAAGGACTGGAAATTTATTCATTACCAGCAAGGGTCTTTTCTGGCACTTGACCGAGGCTCTTCAGGCTGCCCCCGCGACGCTCCCTGCCAAGTATACCGGGGAACAAACGCGGGTCGCTGCCGGAAAGGTGCCAGTCTGCAGCGCTATCAGAGGGACGGCCATTCAAACCAGGTGGCCCCGCACGCTCCGTATTCAACTTGCCGTTCACACTGGGTTTGCTTGACAGGGATGATAAACACTGCGGCTTGCCGAACGTAGTTGCCTGGTTATTGGTTGTTCTGAATGTGCCAGATTCGTTTGCAGCGTCATATGCAGAGAATCGATGAAGGCTAAGGACCCGTTAGAACGTGTCTGCTATTGCTCTTATGTTCCACTTACACATCTCTCTCTTGCATTAGTGTGAGATAACGGAACTCTTCCCGGCGATCTGGCACGTTGGTCTTCACCATTTTGTTCCCTTCCTTACCGGGCTTTTCAAAATCAGGACCGAGCCACTGCTGTTTGACCGCTCGCTCATAACCACTCTGCTTTACCGAGTTCTTTGCCAGTTCACACATATCCACAGAGCTCAGCTTGCAGATTTGAGCCGCAACGGCGTATTCTTCAATGAGCGGCTCTTTCGTGAAGGCGAACTGAAGTGGATCATCGGTTGAGAGTGACACATTAAGACCGCGTTTGAAGTACTGATGGAAGGGGTTTCTCTCGTATGCGAGGAACAAGGCGTTATTACTCAATGGTGACATGGCCATGCCAATCTGCTCCAGATAAAATATATACTGGAGTAGAGGCACTTTGCGGAGCAAAAGGCCGTGGCTGATGCTGTGACAACACAGTGCAGTAACAGCCAGATGCTCACTATCTCCAGCCTCGCCACAGTGCGGCCGAAGTATGAAGGTATTGAAGCCACGTCTCTGCCTCCAGAAGTTCAACGAAGCCATATTGGCGAAAGTATAGTAAATCCAATAGCTGTAGGGCGGGTTTTGCGCCCCATCCCATTCCTTAGGCACTGGGAACTTGCGAAAGAGCCGGCGTTCTATTTTGCTTTCGTCGTCAACACTGTCGAATCCAACAACCCGCTGTAGGAATATGTGTAGCTTTGGATGGCTCGCTGGGTCTTTTGTAACTTCGAACAGTGGCTGGAATAAGTTCTTGATGACTTGTTCAAACGAATCCATGAGACCACTGCCCTTGTAGACGTCGTATAGACGAGGAATTTGGATGAGCCAACGAACGTTGTGTGAGAAGAGCTTGTTGTCCACTACCCATGCGGCCAATTTGTCCCACTCGTCGATAGATTTGCCGTAAATCGAGATGCGCCACTCGGCCATTTGATACTTGCTAGACTCAAGATCTTCGATGACTTCTTTGGTAATTTCTGCAAGGTAACGACCGTGAATGAAGTTATCGGTCTTCAGGAAAATAGTTCTAAGACGAGACTCTCCGATAGGGTTATATTTGAGATTGAACTTATCGAACCGATGAAAAGAATCTGTGTGGGCCTGGGAGGAAGGGTAGGGGTTAGGCAAGTTGACTAGATTTGATGTTGTGTGGACTTACATGCATGTCAAGAGTATCAATGCTCAGATCGTAAGCAGTGAGATTAATACTAGCAAAGACTTCGGCCAGCGTGAGGTGCTTTCCATCCCTATACAGAACCACCTCGTTGGGGTATTTCTTCATCTTGCTCTTAATGAATCGTAGCAAATGCTTCTGGTTCATACAAGCAGAATGATGAACATGGGTATCGACTTTTCGGACATTGTAGAAGTCCCTGTGGGGAACCTTTTTGCTGTCTGCCGTCTCTTGGTATTCATTCAGAAGGGCGTAAAGATTAAATTTGCCCTCCAGGTATTCCAGCCTTCGAAACGCGAAGCTTTTGCTCGGGCCATCTGACGAAACTTTCAGGATGGATTCGAGGTCCATATAGAATTCTCGTATGGTTGGTATTTTAATTGCTGGCTCTGCACCAGCAGCATCACCCAGGACCTGATAAACACCATTCGAATCAAGCTCAAAAGTGCACCCATCGTCTCCTGGTAGAGGCATTAGGTCGTCCATGTCGAATTCTTGGCTCGAGTCATTTGCGGATGTTGCCTTATGCCGTGAAAAGCGGGAATTAGCATGGCTGGCCTCTCTCCAGGCTGGTTCTGGTGGTGGCGGATAAATCTCCCATTCTTCGCTGTCTCTCGGGTTATCACTCGGGCCTTGCAAAGAGAGCGCGATATAGCGGCGGCGTAGATCCACGATTTTTTGGATATTCCTTGTAATTGCGGCTAATTCAGCTGTGACGTGAGGTTCCGTATCAAGAAAGCTATTGCTAGCAAGGCCCGAATTTGAGACGCCAGGTACACGCTGTTCTTGAAGCGTAGCATGTGCTACAGCTATAGATATCTGGCTTGGATCGACGCCGTTCAAGTGCGATCCTTCGGTGGAGGACAGGTCTTCTTACATGAGATGCGCTATTAGCCAATGACACGTTTCCGAAAGACAATCACGTACCACAATCTTGCTCCAGGATTAGGGAGTCAGCACCGTACTCAGTTGCCGGACGAGAACCAGCTTGAATCGAAGGACTCTGCTGGGGCGTTTTGTGCACCCACTCGCTGCTATCACCTCTTAGATCAATCTGGCTTCGCTGGTAGAACAATTTTGCATCGGTCTGGGTCATCTGACGCTCGGCAACAGGATCATAAAATGTCGTTCTCTTTGGCACATCACGGAGGAGCATCCCTTCTTGCAGCTCTTCTGCATGTGCGGGGTCTGCCTCTGATACTTGATCAGCCAGCTCAGAGTCCGCAATACTGTGACCAGCTGTCTCATCATCCTCCCAGTCCGATTCACGTGTATGAACCTGAAAAGGCAACTCAGTACTCTTCAACTGAGCTTGTGCATCTGCAGTAGTATATCTTCGTTAGAGAGTTGAATGTGGCACACCGCTTCCAAGTACCTACTAGCCATCTTGCAGAATGTCCTGCGCGTCGCAGCTCAAGATCTGTCAAATTTCCTCGATATAAGTATCGCGAAGGACCAGTTTTCGTAACCCAAGAGCAGCCTAGAAAGCTATTGCGCAGATGCGTGAGCGGCTGAAGCTCCTGTTTTGTGTGACTGTTGATTATTTTGCCCTCCTGTCGTCTGGTGTTATTGTTTCGTTTGTTAATATCTTTTCAGTCTTCTCTGCTTTCAACCTTCCTTTAGGATTGACGCTTAAGTATACAGCGAGGATAATAAGGACCAAAAAAAAAACAATCGACTCAGGGGGCAGAGTCAACGACGCACATGCTGGTGCAGAAGGCAGAAGAAGCACTTTATTCGCGGGAGCGTGGTATCATAGGTAGGTACCTAGCGGATGCCTCAAGTTGGGGAGTGTGGGGTTGGTGGATAAAAGCATCCGAAGCCAGGTGGCTCCAGGCGGAGGTTGCCTATATCCGAGTCTATGTATCAATGGAATCGAAACGTTTCCGCTTCGTGAATACTGGAAGCGACTGCAACTTCAACAGTTATATTCCAGTTTCGAACATACATTTTAAGTTTTATAAAGAGCCTTTTATCTACATAGTTTTCTTAGATTTGGGGTTCTTCGCGGGCGATTTCACAGCATTGCTCTTGGAGTCTAGTGTATACAATGCACCACCTCCGAATACCAGCAAAGCACCAATGACAGTTCCCCTAGCCAACGAATTCCCAAACAACCAAATGCTGAGAAGGAGGCTCACAAGTTTCCGGATGTTGAGGACAATAGTGACTGTCAAGGCTGAGGATGCTGACGCTAGCAGATTTACGCCTCGGATGCACGCGTACTGCGTCAAGATGTTCGCTGCGACGTTGGCCAACTGGTGAGGAAGACGAATCCCGAGGCTGCGAGACAATTCAATTGATTGCGAATCAGATAGAGATCGGAGCGTTCGTATCATGGATGGTGCGAAAGGTAAGAACAGCGGCAAAGAAAGAATATGAGAATAGAATAAATTCTCTCGCCATTGTGGCCCATACATGCTGTAAGTGGCTTCTGTATACAGGCCCATGATGGCGGAAAGGACCTGGGCAATCAAAAGAATGACAAGTCCAGTGCCAAATGCGGGTTTCGACGACGAAGTACTAGAGTCTGACTTTGAAGCGACGTGAGCGTCGATCCAAGAAATGTTGGGGTTTGTCATACCTGATTTGTCGCATCGGACCAAGCTGCTTGGATCACACCGATACTTAGTAGTCCTACAGACATAATCTGCAATCTTGAATAGCGCTTGCCGTAGAGATAACCTGCTGCCATGGTTGTAATACTGCCTCCAGATCGGAGAATTATGTGAACTGGCACAGAGATATCATAGCTGAAGGCGTGGTTGTTCAGGACATTGATGGCAAAGAACAATATAATATTGACAGCCCATCGGCTTAGAGGAACTTTCGTCGGTGCTAGGAAGAAGGGTGGCCGTTTATAATCGAATTGAAAGACGTAGCCGGTCACAGCGACAAACGCGAACTGAATGAATGTGAGGAGAGTACCTGCAGACAGTTAGCAGCCACTTGAACCTACGCAGATAGAACATAGCTCTTACCACTACCAGACTCAAAGCTAGACGGACGCCGATTAGTCTTGCACAATCCTCAACAGTAGACGGTCCTTACTTGATGATTGATTCTAATGCATAGACCTGTAGTTACATTGTTAGGTGTTACACAAAGAGTTATAGCTTGGGGGTTCGAGAGCTTACGTTCGAGCAACAGCCGCCAAACACAAGCCCAAGCATTGCGATTGCAGCGAAAGCTGAGGGACCAATAGAGGCGACAATAGAAGCTCTTTTGTCGTCATTTTCCAATGGATGCCTCTTCTTGCGAATCCCCGCATCAGAGGCGTGTTGGGGTTCTCCCATTTTTACTGTAGTGATCAAAACAAGTCCTAGTTACCTACCTAAAAAAAGCCAAACCTGATACGTGGAGGCTTCACCTAGGTGCAAATTAGTCCGTTAGGTAATACCAGGTTTCTAACTCGGGCAGGCCCCGCACGCTGAGCATGTCGTCTAAGTACCTTAGTACCTACCGTACACCTACCGTACCTACTAGGCACCTACCTACCTACCTAGGTATGTAGGTATCTATGTAGGTATTTATACCTAGACTTTGCAATCTGGCGACGCGTTGCCCTTTTTTTCCTTTATAATTCATTTCACATTTATACTCTGTTGGTATTATTTCATAATTTATAACTTTCTCGAGGCTCCCCGAGCTAATTTTTGAGTATTTTTGGTTCTTTCTTCCTTTCTTTCTTTCCTAACGTCTATCTCTGACCGATTGCACAGATTGCTCTTGCCCGCAAAACGGCTTTTCCATAGGGAATGCAGCATATGCCCATCAGAGAGATCCTAGTCACACGAAGCAGGCTGGCACAAGGACCAATTATATCCGAGCACCGCGCCGGTAGGCAATGGGACCTCCGAAAAGACGGGCAAGCGGGACTCCCACTGATATCGCATCGCTGTTTGAATCATGGACTGAGCATCAATTCGTTCACACCGAACTCTTCACACGACGTTGTCTGATACGACGACAGGTGGATGCCTCGCAAGAGCTCGCAAATATGGAGTGCATTTCCAGCAGTTGATAGTTCAACGTCATTCCCGGTGCTTTCGATGTGCTTTGTAGCAACTACAGAGCAGAGAAAACAAAGAGCTATTATAAGAGATGTTAGTAGGTAATTGATTAATATGAAGTGATTTGCCTCATGTCCACTGACGTTATTAGTTGCTGCTATAGCAATGCTGTCTTCGAATGGATGCCAGCTCATGTGCAAAATCTTCTTGTTAAAGTCGATTTGGTCTGCATCTGTCTCTTTGCGCATACGCTGAGCCCCAGGGCTCCCAGCCCGTGAACCGTTCTTCTTGCCGTTTGAGGTCGGGCTTGTGGAGGAGTTGATGGGAGTCGGCACGCCAACCTTCTTTGCCTTGAAAGCGGATTTGTCTGCTTGGAGAACGACTTCCACTTCTTTGTCGGGATCGGACGGATAGATCATAAAATTGTTGTTGTAGCTGCCTGTCATCACATTCTTGGCATCGCCCGAAAAAACAACCTCAAATTTGTCGAATATGCTATCGTTGTCGTAGGTATCACACAGGCGAGGTCGTAAATGCTCGTGGATAGGTATCGTTTTCACCGGTTGGCGCTCCATGTTGATATCCCAAATCTTTACAGTCAGATAGTCGCGGGACAGGATGTATCGACCATCGTAAGAAAATCGCACGTCGGAGATCGACGAGATGATCTCAGAGAAGAATGATCTCGACAGTGGATCCTCGTCCTGTTCAAACACTACTCGGGATATTAATATGTGGATATTCGTTGCGCATCGATGGCTTACTTTTTGCATGTTGGTCACAAAGCGCGCTCTCCCTCATATCAGCCAGCTTGATTGTTCCCTTGGAGCTTGCATACATGAACCAGTTGCAGCTAAGCGGGTGGAACTCCGCAGCAGTGATAACTTCAGTCAGTTCTTCCATGTTTGCCGGCTTGATATCCACGATGTTGAAGCTTTGGTCTTGAATATTCAGATTCCAAAGATTAATTCGCAAATCGTCACTGCTGATATAGGTTTCGCCGTCGCTATTCACGGAGATGCTGTTGATATGGTATGCATGTGCATTCGCATACGTACGACGAGGCACAGCTGCCACAACGGTGTCATGGTGTGTGAGGCGGGGGAGCTTCAAGTCTGTGGCATTTCGAAATTGCTGCGAAGTAGCCAGCGGTCGAGCGGCACCACCACTTCCAGCAGCACTTCCAGGGGTGAGATCGTGCGATAAGTTATTTTCGGCAACAACTTTGAGCGATTTCTCAAACACCTTCCACAATTTAATTGTTTTATCGTTTGTCGATAGGAGATAGTGGGAGGCGTTTTGGCGTCGGCACCATTTGATTTTGTTGATCTTTTCCTCGATCTCGAGCGACTTAAGATAGTCAAATTCGGGTTCGTGGGACTGAAACTCTGTATGGAATTTGTATTCGCAAGACTTCTTCTGCATGGGGAAATAGTTAGTAGGCTCTCCTAACAACCCAGTTGTCTCGAAGCAGATAGACGCACCGTCTCGTTGCGCTCGAATAAGACGACACGACCACCTTTGTCACCCGTGGCTAGGTAGTTTCCTGTGTGGTCGAACTCTACGGTAGAGATGATGTCGGCTAGAGCCGATCGGACAGGTTAGCAAGCCTACACAAAACTGGCGAGCCCATGGGCGGGGAAGGGTATCAACACACCCTCCGTGATGTCCTCCACGTCACCTTTATCACCGAAACACCTGTAATTTGGTGAGTTAAATAGTCAGTAAACTGTATACGATATTCACGTACTGCGTGAACTTCCATGTTGGCGAATTCGCCTCGCTGTCAACCATTTTGGCTGACCGCGACTCTTGGGAACTAAGCGACGCGGGCGACGACCACCAAGGGTGAAATGGATAAGGAAAATATCTCCTGTAAGAGCGCTGTAGAGGTCTCGTTCGAAATTGTGTATTTTGAGGTGGGAAAGCTTGGGGTTCAGATAGCTTTGCGCAGCTTGAGGTGCTGGTACAAGCCTTGACCGCGGTGATGGTTGGACAGGGAGCGATGTGGATGATGTCGTCTGGCTTGGTGGGTCCAAAGGGCAGCTCCCACCACAGATGGGAGGCGGCTACCTACTCGGATCGATCACGCACAGAACAGGGTGCGACAGATTGACTACACGAGACGAAACTTGAGGATAAACTTGAGTTTTCTGTCAGTATTAGCCATTGATTTTTCAGTGATTTACGTGTTGCGATTGAGCTTGTGCTTGCACATGGTTGTTCATATCGGCCTTCTCGTAATTCATCTGGCAAAGCCGCTGGAGCACGCCAGAGAACATAGACCAGATTTTGAAGTCTTCTCAATCTCTCATTTCACTCCGAGCATCTAAACTGCCATTCTTCTCTATCAATTAGATAAGAAAAGCCGCCAATGGAGAGCCGAGACGCCGACACAGATCCAACTCAGGAACCGCGACGCGAGGACACAACGGCGGGGGGTAACGCGAGGAAAGATGGCAAAGGCAAAGACAGAGAGGTCGCACTCAGCGATCGCTTGCGAGCATCTGGACGAATGGCTCTGAACGCAGCCGCCACAGGGCAACCGTCGTTGTCTCCTACTGGCTCTAGCAGTGGCAAGGCTTCCTCTGGAAACCAAAATGAGAGCTCAATACCCGGGTCTGTTCTGGCGGAGGCTTCTCATCACCACGCCGCTCCAGGACTAGGGGATTCTGTACGAAATCATCCCCAGGGCTTAGGTCAAGCATCCACTCAATACGATGAGTTTGTGAATACGGCGCCGCAGATGCAAGATTCGTTTCATTCTACTCTCCAGAGCGACGAATCAATGCAGAGCGCATCATTCCGCGAGCAGACAGCCGCTGATGGCGCAGATGTCGCCCAGTTACTTGCAATGCCAGAAGAAGAGCCAAGGTACTTGGAGCTTGATAATTTGCTATCGGAGCATGAAGCTGCTCGCCTCCGAGAAGCACTATTTGCGAATAGTCCTTCGCAACCCGTTTGGAATCACCTACTCAATTTCAACCCAGAGTTTGTTTTGAATCCGAGAAACTCTCATCAAGCGAGGTCACACACAGGCACCGAGGACACAATGGTGGCTCAGGAAATATGGTTGCAGCAATGGCAAGAAGTTCTCAGCTCATACACAGATGCAGTTTGGGGAGATCTGGGGTCTTTGGCAGAGGAAGCAAGGCATGAAATCGAGGCGCTCAAATCTCATGCAGATACACGGAGTTCTGAGTCGAAGGCCTTGGGTCGTCTCCGGCAAATTTTGGCTCATGTACGAGGGCAAATCTGAGTGCAGAGACGGGGTTGCCAGGTCAACCAAGCAAGTACTTGCTCGCTGCTGATAGGGCTCAGTTGGTGGTTTCAGTCTTGCTGAAAGGGCACGAGTAATAGCTTGATGTAAGTCATGAATGACTAATTCTTCACTCTGCAAAATTTGTCTCCATTTGCCCTTATTCGTACACTCATGTCTAACTAGGTGAGAGGGGCTTCAATGACAAGTTATTTATTATGCCTTTGATGGAACTGCCCCACTCAACATCTCGGTTCATAATAAAGTGGTGAAGGCATTGCCACAGAGGAACCTCACCGCTCTCGATATGCCATTATTACATCCAGCTGCATTAACACTAACCACGACGGCGATTTGCTTCACTTCGATCCTACCTATACCACAATGACCTGGCCAGTACCAACGACCTCCCTCCACGGCCCCCCGCCGTTGCTGCGGCCTCGTGCCGGGTGCCCCGCCAACACATATCATTGCCCTGCGTCACTCGGCCCAGCTTTCAATGATATCTGCTGCGAAAATGGACAGATATGCGCTACGGATTCCAATAATAACCCAGCCTGCTGCCCTCAAGGGTAAGGCTCCGAGTACCCTTGTCCCTCATGAACCCCAGATTCCGCTAACTTGGCGCCACATAGTGCTGTATGCACTGGAACTGCTCCTGCTACTGCACCAACTGCTCCCGCTGGGTCACCTTCATATGTCCTCAATTCATATTTTCCGTTCCCATACGCCTCTACTACGTTTGGTAACAGTGCCGCCTGCTCTTCTGCTGTGCAGTCATGTTCCAGAAATTATGACGCCTGCTTAACCAAGCTTCAGAACGGCAATGGATATCATGTTACTGTGGCTGTTCCAGGTGATACTGGCACAACGGTCACGGGTGGTGGTGGTAGTTTTCCTGGTAGCCAGGCAACTTATATTTGTTCTAGCTTGAGCCTTGTGGCCTGTGAGGCTGTCGGCTCGGCAACCTGTACATCATTTGGCCAAGATTCTGGTACCTGCAATGTCACCCCGGCATCGTCATCTTGGCTACTGCTGCTACTGCTCGCTATCAATCTCACGTGGTAAATTTTTGGCTCTATCTCACGTGTTCAAGAGATTATGACCTGTTCTTTTGCTGGTTTCGTGGTGTTTAGGGGATGTTATTTCCAATAGACCGTACGTACGTTCGAGTGAGCTACACCTTTTGTTGTGGTCAAGCCCACTATAACCTGCTTGCTTGACATACGCTCGATATAAATGTATACACGGGCTCAATTCTGTTCAAATTCGATTATTTGTTAGATCAGCTATTGTCTTTTAGTAGCAATTCGTCAGTAGGGAACGCCAGCTTTACAAAAGTAGGCTGTCGAGCGTTTCAAGAGCCTCGAAAGTTGAGTGAGGTGGTTTGCAAACTCCAAATTCTAAAGAAATGAACTTTCTGGCAACTTCTTCTGCGATTTCCAGCCGGGCTCGTTCAGAATATGACAATGTCGCGCAGGTGGCAGTAAGGTCTCCATCGTGGTCAATGATGAAAGAAATTGCCCCTGCACGATTGACAACTGCCTCTGGTACACCATTCATCGTTGCACATTGCTCGCCAAAGCTGGAGCTGCTTCTACCACATTGCAAGGTAAAAAGGTAAATCAAAGGGTCATCCCCAGTCCTACTGTCGTCATGGTTGATTTCCACTTTCATGTGAGCAAAATCTAGAAGTCCGTAGCCGTTAAAATCTTCAAAGTCGAATATTTCGTGAAAATGAGTTGCGATAATAACTTGCGGGCATCGTTCGCAGCCAAGGGAGAGAAAATGGCCTAACAACCCGGCAGCCAGTCCTGCGCCGTTAATTGGGCATGTACCCTTGCCAAATTCATCAACGAGTACTAGACTTTTCTCAGTCGCTCGTCTGATCGAATGTGATACCCCTCTTAGATCAGTAGCGAAGGCACTTTCATTCGAGGATGCGCTTTCTTGTGTTGGCATGCACACCAATATTTTATCAGTGATTGCAATTGTGGCCTCTTCCGCAGGAACGAAGCTGCCAATGTGTGCCAGGTAAAAGATAAGTGCCACTTGTTTCAGATAAACAGACTTTCCTGAATGATTTGGTCCCGTTACAACCAAAACGCGCCCCGGCTTTTGCTTCTTATCTTCCTCATTGGCTGGAACGCCAAAGTCGTTGGGTATAAAGTGCTGCATGGATGCTTCGTGAAGAGGATGTCGCCCTCCAGTTATGTAAGAGCTCCCATTTAAGGATATTCCCGGTTTATTCCATCCAAATTTTTGGGCCCCAAGGGCCAGAGCTAGGATTGCATCCAGTTCGCCTGTTAACTTCGATGCAAGCAGCAGGTGGGAGCTGTATTCCAAGACACTCAGAGCCAGCCCATGAAGTAACTCAACTTCTCGGTCTATCGATGCGTTAGACTTTGCTGATATCCGTCAAATAAGCTATAATTACCTCCAATTTGGCAATACATATCACCATAGGCTTCGTCAAGCTCTTGCATTTGTCTGGTTTTGTAACAGACAGAGCCATTCGCAGAAAAGATCTTTTCCCATGAATCATGTGATTGGCCTTCGCCACTGTATTTACCGTTGCCCGTCGATTCATCGAGATCAACAACTAATAAAAACCCTAGCTGAGGCAGAAATATGCAGGATTTAATGTATTGTCGGGCCCACGAGGCGGAATTTTCTACGATGTTGTCAACAACCTCGGTCAAAAAACTTTCCATGCCGTCATATCGCCTTTTGAGACGGTCAAGATTTGGGTCGACTCCGCTTTGTATGGAGTAACGTTCGCGTAACTTGGACTGTTCAAAGTCAATAGTCTTTTTGATTAGTGAGCCTACACAGGCAATCGCTCCGACTTCAATAGTATCGCGAAACTAACATTGGGTTAGCAGATTATGCCTTATATCTCAATCCTCTTACCTTTTTCAGAAGTGGCGCAGACTCACAGTCTGAAAATGAGCCCGCCAACCTCTGAACTTCCACGATATACCTGCTGAATCTCTCTAGAGCCGCCCACAAACCTCCGCGTGCTGAGTGGCCTACGGAGGTACAGTCAATACCTTTGCTGAGTTTTGAGACGAGCCCTGTCATGTTTGGAACCTTTCGAACTGCAGAAACGATCTGACTCAATACTTCGGAGTTCTGTGGTTGTAAAAGTATTGAGATAGTTTGGTGTCTCGCAGTTATCAGGGAAACGCTCGTGCTTGGTCGCAGGAATATCTTTCTCAGCTGTACGCGGCCCTGGGAAGTCGATACTAAGTGGTGGAACATTCCGTACACAGATAGCCCTTCTTTTTTATTCGCGACGCCAGAGGTTGTATGCCACGTCTGTGAGTTGGGGTGCATCTCGCAGTGCAGAATCTGTAGACTTGACATGGCGGCAGGGTTGATGTACAGATATTCTGACAGGTGAAACGGTTCCATGCTTTGAACATTATATCTCAATCCAGCTAGCCCAATGTCCCGTTGTGACTGGGCAGCTCTGCGCTTATTGACTTCAGCAACAACAACACCCGCGCATATGATCTGACAATTAGTCATCGAGTTGATACAGAGGAGACCGTTTCTTACAGATGTAGAGTTTTGAGTGCCTAGGACACTACTCAATCTCAATTTTTGCATGACGGAGGATTCGCTCTCAGGTAGAATGCTTCCTGTAGCTCGGTCCTTGATTTGAAAAGTCTGGTGCAAGTGAAATATAGCACCGGGCTGGTTTTCTATAGCTGAGAATGTTCCGGTGAGTTTATCTCTAGATGCTGATATCGAAAACTCGGAGTTCGCTACTGAAATAACGTGAGAACGTTTAGCTTCCTCTGGCGGATTGTTAGCTGCAGCTTGATTTCTTCGGTTTTCGGCCGGACTAGCCTTGGTAGACGCGATCAACATAAGTATCAAGAACTTCGACCATACTATTGGGGAACTTGTCTGATATCAATATTGATGACGGTTGAACGTGTTCGAGAAAATGCTGCAACGTTAAAGCGTCCACGAGTGGCACATCTTGTGCAATATAGAGGCGGTTGTCTTGGGTAGAAAAGAACGCACACCCCATAGTGCCGTTCTCTGCAATGGTTGTGGCCATTATTGTCTCGTAAATAATCTCTGCGTTGCTCTCCTCGTCCACATAATGTTGGGCGCCAGCTTCTGCGCCGCATCTGGCCGGCGCTTGCCCCCCGACAGTTGCCATACCTTGGTACGCAGGTGGGGATAATACGGGCGTACTTGCTGCCGAGGTAGTTGTATTCTTCGTACACCTATATACTGGCATATATGGCCCATTTCGTGATGTTTGCTCCTCGCTGCTCTTCGAATCTGGACTCCTTAGCATTCTTTCCTGGTCGCTGTAGGACAGTTCTGTAGATATCTCTATCAATTTGACATCGGGCACTTCCACGTGCTATGAACTATTGTGTCTTTGGTCGATATTCACGATCGTTGCCTTGTATTGCGTTGCTGTTTGGGGTGGCATTGTTCAGCCAAGCGATGTAGGTGGCTCTATCGCGTTTTCGTTTGCATAACTACCTACATACCTAGGTAGGTAGGTAGCCATAATAACTACCTACCTACATAGGTACCTAGGTATGGTTGGTACCGAGGTGGACAGGGCAGGTAGTACCTACCTACCTACTAGGTACCTATGTACCTACATACGTAAGTAAGGCCTATTTTTAGATAGGGTACTAAATAGGTTATTTTTTTAATAAATAATTTTCCCCTATTATAATACTATTAATATCTCTAATATAGCTTATAAAAAATATAAATATTTCTTAATATATAATAATAACCTAATAGTATTATAATAAAAGAAAATTATATATTAAATAGAAAATATATTTAATATCTTATTAGAAAATAGGCTTTATATATATAGGTACCTATATATATAAATAAAGCCTATTTTTAGATAGGGTATTAAATAGGTTACTTTTTTAATAGGTAATTTTCCCTTATTATAATATTATTAATATTTCTAATATAGCTTATAAGCCTTTATAGTATAGTAGTTCTATAGTAAGGAGTTCTATATAGGTTAGTATATAGATTGCTAGTTTAAATCTAGCTAGAAGTACCTTAAATAATTTCTTTTTAAAAGTTAAGTAGTATAGCTTAGCTTTATAACTAACTTATAAAGAGAATATAAATAAAGTAACTATAAAGTAAGTTAAGAGTAAAAAGCTAAAAAGGTATATATTAACTATTATATTAAATTAGTCTTTATAGTATAATAAGACTAAAAACTATATAAATATTATAATATATACCTATAAATAGGTATTATAGTAAAAACTATTCTAGTATTTAGATATATATATAGATAGTAAGTAATTTAATATACCTAAATAGTTAATAAATAATAAAAAATATAAAAGGATATAAATTAAGGTAATAGCCTAAGAACCTACTAACTAAGAATACTAAATATTATTAAATACTACTAGGAATTATTATATAATAGTAGAATTATATATTAGAGAGGCTGGTTTACACCTAGGCAGCCTAGGAACTATACTTAGTATAGTAAGATACTAGTATAAGTCTACTACTATGGTTTTTCTAGTACTTATAAGTTTATTAAGATACTAGAAGGACTATAAGGTCTAATTAGGGTAATTTAATAAATAAATATAGCTTATAAAAAATATAGAGGTTTTTCTATATAGTAGTAGCCTAATAGCGTTATAATAGGGGAAAATTACGTATTAAGTGGAAAACGTGTCTAGTGCCCTACTAATTAGAAAACAGGCCTCATGCGCGTAGGTACCTGTATGTATGTGGCCTATGCTATAGCCTGTATATAGAAGCTCACGCAAGCATTTTCTCTGGTTTCCTGTTGCTTTCCGTCCGTCTATTCACTTCCATCTTTGCAGAGGCTGTTGCATTTGAGCCTCCCAAGTCTTAGACAATGTCACATTCGCCCGTGCTAATTACATGCGTATGTGGAAGAAAACTTAGAAGCATGCGCGATTGGCAGCACGGTAATCCCGTATAAATGCATCCCAATTGATCTAAGCGGTTCTACCAACTGCTGTTACATGTTCCTCCGCTAGTTTGCGTCCGCCTTGACCCATGCTGTGAATTCACGTCGTTGCTTGCGAATATTTGTGAATCCTGGTCGACTCTGGAGAAAGATGAATGGACTTCCACGAAAATCTTTGTCAACTTCGCCAGATCCGTCTAGGAACCCAGTATCACCTTCTCGTTCGAGTTTTCCTCCCCAGACATTCCACTGTATTGGGCGCAGTGCCTGCGAGCCCAATACAAGCCCAGTGCATACAATGAATGTCGCTATAATCGCCTCTATTGATATGTCGATTGGTAGGGAGCTATTCGCCTGTTGGTGCGATAGAGCGTGCTTCGCGAGTGCTGCGGAGAGAGCCGCATGCTCCTGCGCTGAGTAGCATCTGTCATGCGTTAGCGCAGCAAATATATTGGCGGGTGTATAGTTTCATACGCATGTGTGAGGATGATTAGTCCTACGACCGTCACTGATTGCGATATCCATGTCATGGTTGGTGTGTTTGGGGTGTGGCTATCTAGGATGATTGCTCGCGACGACTGGCGAGACTAGTGCTGCCAAATTGGATATGACTAATCGCGCCTCTAGCCCAGCACCTCAGGTACCCTGCACCTCCTTTGGAGTGTACGCGATATTGTCGTGTCCCCGTGTCCACAACACGCCTCCAGGCCGTTGCTTTCCTATTTAGGCTGTTTCTTTATCCTGTTACCGGTGGTATATCCTTCCTGGCGGATCCATGGCTGCGGTTCCATGTGCTGGCTGCCTGATGACACATGCAAGCCGAGACAATAGAATGACAGATTAAGACAGTATATTCACAAAACCAGAGGTTCCAGCCACCAGAGGGCAGAAATAGACGGCCGGACTAGAAATGAGATAAAATACATAAATAGTAACAATAGAGGCAAACCAAAACGCCGTGGACAAACAATAGCACTCCCCAACCACACACTGACCACTACGCCCCACACAACCTCGAGCGCTACTGCTGCTCGCCATTTCCTGCCTGCGTCATCCAATCACTGAAATGGCTCCCATCCTCGAGCTGCTCGACCTGCCAATCACCCTCTGTCCCCTGAAGATAAGCCGTATGCGCGCCCGTGACATCTAAGTCAGGCACGAGTGTCGTAGATGCATTCTGAGCACCACCAACATTCATCCAGTCTGGCAGCATGTCGTGATTGGCACCCAAGAACTGGGCATACTGAGAGCCCGGCGCCTCCGCACGGAGAGAAGGATCCAAACACTGATCACCGAACCCTGAATAAGGCTGATAGTATAGGCTCGACGAAGTGCAGGCGTATGAGGTACCAGCAACAGGGCCACTGGGGCCCTGGCCAGCACCACGCTGCGGATATTGGGAGGCTTCCGTCGAAATGCGGGCAGGCTCATACCACCCGGAGAACGGAATAGTTTGATGAGGTTCCCAGTTACCACCGACGGGTTGCGAATGTAGTCCCTGCAGTCCACGATAGTGATCAGGCACCTCCAAGGGAAATGACTGCTTGATTCGAGACGTGCCTCGAGCAGTCCGCTGCCTGCCACTTCGCCTGGGACGGCAGCTTGATTCGCCATCACTCAAATCGCACGCACTGGAAGTATGATTGGTAGTGTCCTTGGGCTTCTTTGCCTGCACAGGGTCGTATTTATAGGCGGGGAAAGCCGCCTCATGCATCTGCTTTTCGATATTCGCCAGGTCCTTGAAATGCTTGATGACGCTGGGAGGTTCCCAGCCGTTCCAAGAGGCTCCGCATATAGCCGAGACCTGTTGATGGTTGCTGCGAGTGATCTGAGTCATGGCAACATCCTGGTAGGCCTTGCGGTAGAGGATAAATGCATTAAGCGGTCGCTTCACCTTTCCGGCCTTGGCAGCTTCCATCTGTCGGATCTCAGCCGATCGTCTCGCAAAAGTTGTAACATCCGCGACGCCAACCCCCGGGACCTCCCGTGCAATCTCCGACAGTGGCTTAGTTAAGCAGATAGAGGGTGCGTTTTTCGTATTCCGCTTCTCGACCCTGGGCTCTTTGCTCCGACCCCTGTTCCCTCCACCATCTCTACCAGAGCGATGCGAGGCTCTCGTCATGGCATTGCTAGTGTCAACTGACAAAAACTCAGAAGATTCACCGACCAACGTCTGAAGAACAAGTCAATACTGGTAAACGCGGATAAGTGAAAGAAGCTTACCTGCCGGGAGACTTCCGCTGGATGGACAGCGGAACTGCTGTGCGGCGGCATGGAATCGATGCCGTCACTCGTCTGGGAAATGTAGACAGAGCTCACGCCTGTACCCGGAGAAGTGCGCAGAATATGGTTAGAGGCGTAGGATGGTATCTCCCTGGTCTTCATGGGAAGATTTGACTGTCCCGGGGGGCTCATGTTGGAATTATTGGCCAAAATTATGTCGCAGACGAAAAGCTTTCGAGCGGCGGATGAGTCCCCAGAAAAGAGGCCATCAACCGAACGAGACAAGGATATATTCTGGATAGACGGAGTAATTGTCGTTCGCGAAAAGGTCCTGTTGTATTGGCTCGAACCGAGAGGAAATTATTTGCCTGCAAAGCTGGAAGCATGCGAGGGCTCGAAAATGGGAAGCGCGGTCACATACAGTCGTTGCCTGTATACTGTAAGAGACAAGGAACACTTTAGAAGGGAAAGACTCCCTTTTGAAGAGATGAGGAACATACAGCTAGCGGCTCCAATTGTCGCTGCTCCTCCCATTTGATACAAGGCGGCAAACCGTTGGACGGGGACGCACGAGCCGTTGCTCCTTGCGTCGCCGCCGAAAGGACTTCAGACCGAGCCAAAGACTCTGAGTATGATACAGAAGTGGATCGAGAAATGCCACAAAACTAGTGCATCTACCACTGCGTGGCTATGCTTCTTTGGTTACAAAGTTGGGGGTGTCACGGACCAGTCAACTGCGCCCGCAACAGGGTCGAACAACGAACTGCGGGAAACAAGACAACCAAGTGACGGAAAGACAATGGCAGTGATTGGGCAGATACCAAAAGTTGAGCCACACACGTTCCAGCCTCATTGTTTATTGTCCCTGCTCTCCACGTGGTTCCCAACCCTCACCAACTAAAAATAACGGTTCAAAGCAAGCGCAACCTGGTCTGTTCCAAGCTGAGTGGTTCGTCGGGCATAATGGCAGGCGAAGCTCTATTATGATTCCGCTTTGCCCGGCTAATTGTTCGGCGTGTCATCCAGTTTGCTTTCGGTGTTCGTGCACGCTTGTCGTATCTCCAGTGCAATATTCCGTCCGAATTCTGTCATCTGCCTACTAGTGCCACACATCTGTGAACTAAACGATTGCCCATGCTTTGCATATCTGTCGCCCTGTCTACCAGATGTCATGTTTGATAGTCCGCGAAGGGTCCAGGATGGTATGGGGTATGTAAAAGTGCGATAGATCCTTTCCAGAGAGTTGCTGGCTCAGAAGGCTGTTAATGCACGGGCGAAACACGAAGAATATCAGTTCTCCACAGATGCTGGCTCGCTATCGTACACAAATAGGGATTATCCAGGCAAAGCCTTCGAAATGGCGTGCACTTGTATCTGGTCATTCTGATGGTGACATAGGGAGCTCATGCTGGTTCACTCGAACCGATGGTGCAAGCGCGTACGTGTGGACATCTTTCTTTGACTCGTCGTTCCGCAACTGAGATGGTAGTACAAATTCGCGGTGCGCATGCATTTGGTCCTCCACCAGAGTATAATCGCGAGGCACCCGAGTTGGTCGATCCAACGCAGGCCTGGCTGGATGCCTCTGATTCACTCCATCTATGTGGGCTTGTTGAGTTGCTGTCGGATGAGTTGCTAGCGTGCCCGAACTGACAGCGCTACCCATGCCAGCGCTATCAGATATGTTGCCAGAGAATGATGATGCTTGTAGTAGTGGCTTCGTGGCAAGTGGTAATGCAAACGCGGACGCCACATTAATAGCAACCTCGGTCATGTGTTCCGGCTTCAACGCTGATTTGTCGCCAGTGCCCCTTTCGTTCGACCCCTCGCTCGTTGCCACGGTCAGTGTAAATCTTGGCTCGAAAAGAGTCTCCGCTGCACTATTGCCGTCGGAGAATAATCTCGCGGCGGTCCCAGAGCTGGCTTTCAAGCCCGTGGAGGGTTGTACTGTAGCCGGCTGACTGCCAGACTTACCATTGGAGACTTCGGTCTTGTTTACCAATGCGTTGAGATTTGTAGAATGTATTGCTGGCCGTGAATTGACCTCCACCGGTCTGCCATCAGAGGGAAGATCTATCCATTCGGTAGAACTCCTGGCTTTCAATTTGATCACAATTTTACGAGTCGTGACTCTGTTATCAATTTGCAGCTTGCAACTCTCGCAGACAAATTGAAAGTCTTCACGGTCGGCTTCGGCTTCCTGGATTCCGACGCAGTCGCTGTGCTGCCAAACATTGCATCTTTCACAGGCAATACTGTGGGCACCATCATCGACCTGTCCATACAAGCCGCAGACGCAATCGAACGTCCAATCTTCCTCCTCGTCCTCCAGCGCCCTAAGCGCCCTTTTTTTGCGATCGATTTCTGATTGCAGCTGCCGATCTGAAGTCCGAGCCCGCCCATCGGGGACGACGCTGTTGCCCTTTGAAATCTGAGACAATTCTTCCTCACGTAAGTGCCGTCTCGCAGCCCTGTCTTTCAGTCTCCTTTCTCGGGAGAACATTCTGAAATCCCGCTCTCGCTCCGACTTGATTTGCGTTTGCGTCTCACGTTGTCGACTTTCCAGTTCCCTCTGGGATTTTGCCCATTGTTCTTTTGCTTTCTCCTCTTCCCTCTGTTGCTCGACTTTTCCAGCAATTCGACTGGAGCGTTTTGCATTTGCCATCTTGGCAAGACTTAGCAGCTCACGCTGGTGTTGCGCATCTTTTCGCTTCCTGGACTCTTCTTGCTTCTCCAATATTGGCAACAAATGTACATCGAGTTGATTCCGTAGTATCTTCTCGTTCGCATCGGGGGTTGTTCGAAAACTGTCGACCAAGCGTCGAACATCATCCAGCGTAACAGCTACACACTCCCAGCCCATACCACCGAGGTTACTCTTTGCTTGTGGGCTGTCAGACTCCAAAGATTCGCCTGCAACACAGTGTTCGGTTGAAAATGTATCGGATGTGCGGCCACGTCTACCGGATCGCCGAGCCGTTCTGTACGCTTTCTGTTTCTGTGGCTTCCCGGCAAGTGGCTCCGAAATTTCGGTCAAGCGATAGACTCGGTTGTCGTCCAACACGTAATAGGTACGATCATCTGCATCCCATCCATAGGGCTCTATTCTCTGTATAATGAAATAAGCTTGTGCCGTCGTCATTCATCAGAAAAAGCATACCCAGCTAGTTTGATCGTGTGAATCCTCCATTCTCTCCCGCAGCGCAGGTTGGCTCATAACCCATTGTGTAAGCTGCTGGAGAACGATAATCTATAATGAGTCAGCACCACTATTTCGTAGCCTGCCTGGTCCTGTCAATTACTTTGGTTGGTGTATCTAGATCGCAGAAGCTGCGCCGTGTAGTATCGCTAGCACCTAGGGGGTTATTATCAGGTAGTCTGGCGGTATATTCTTTCCGGAGTCGTTCATCGAGGATTTCGCGGCTCGAAGAAATATGTCAGAAAGATTGTGCGGTGTGATGTACAACAGTGCACTACTCACGTAAGACCCCGATGTTGCGAAACAAGTTTGAGTAGGGCTAGAGCAATATCTGACAAAAGTGTTGAGCAAGGCTTGAGGCATTCAGTTTCGATATCCTGAGTCGCGATGTAATTAGCAAATGTCAAACATGGGGTTGCAGAGTATGCCGCCCTCACCTCGATTTCGAGCGATTCATCAATTTTCGCAGCTTTGCCGAAAATGTATATCCACTGGCAAAGATTCGCAAACTCCCACATATTTCGAATACGTTGTAGCAGCAGTGAAGCTGCATTGACTTGTATACCATCCATGGCTGCGATGGCCTCCTGCTTTGATGGCACTGGGGTGATGATGGCTTAATCTCACTGGTATCCTAGTTGTCGCGCGAACGGTTTTATTCATGACGTCGCGGCGAGCGTGAAGCTGGTAGCTCGCGCATAAAGTGGACCAGCAAAGGAGTACAGGGGTACTCCCGTTATTGTTACAACTACCTACAGGTAGGTACATATTAATAGGCCAAAAGTCGCGAGTAAGATACACCACATTATTCGGAACTTATTTTCTAATTATATATAATTAACTACCTAAATTATTATACTACTTTAGTATGATCAAAACAGCACTTTCTAGTACCTCTATGGTTTATAAAGACTAGAAAAACTATAGTAAAGGATTTCTAGATCCCCGCCTAGGTATCCCTCCTATATGTGTTACATTTTCTAGTTAAGCTATAACTAATTTGTACAAATTACAGAGTAGTGCCTTGTATCTTAAATAAGCATAAGAATAGTGGAAGCTATCTTATCAGCTGAACGCCGCTGTTTGTGTAACCTATTGTTCTTTAGTAGTGTCAATCCTCTGCTGTCAACATGGCAGATCACGCCCCTACAGGGTGGAATGCGGGTTAAAATTGGCGACCCTGGCCAGATTCGAACCAACCGCCTCTGTGAAATCTACAGAGGCTGCGACGCATAACCACTCCGCCACCTGGGCCTTGTACTGGACTTGATTCGCAGAAGAAATGCTGCTTTAGTATTAGCACTGTATACGCACTGGCACGTGTCGCTACGCACCTTAGTCGTTGTACTTAACAGTGCGAATCCTCGCACTTGCGGATCGAGGGGCCCCTTGCCCTCTGTGTTTGAAATGTGTTACCACAACGTCATGCCGTTGTCGTGATACACAAAAGCTTGCCTGCTCCCATCCACCTAATCCCCCCCCCCTTCAACATGTTCAAATGATTGTTTGTGTCTTGATAGCACAACCGCACGCCGCTTGGCTATGATCCTCGGAAGCGCAACTAGCAGATAGCTGCAGGAAGGCAGAAGATCATGGAGCCACAGAGCAGCAGCACTGGCCAGCAGCGCCGGGGCCAATCGATCCGGCCTGAAGATGTTCAAGCCAATGACAGGGGTGAAGAGAGTTGTGCTGAGCACTCCCCGGAAACCGTTAAACAAATGACATCAGATACACCAAGTTCAGGACAACCGAGTTCTGATGTTACCAATGCCGCGAGGAGCTGGGACCCTCTCGAATATTCGAGGATGGGGCCTTACATGAGACCTGAGTCCCCAATGGACTATTCAGCATTGCAAATGGCACTGCCTCCTGAAATATACGGCTTTTCCGACGGACACGACCCCTACTTTCCCTCCAACAATCCTTTCGATGCTGGGCTGGCCTACATCGACGAGGCGCAGCACCAAGAATATGCGGATTCAGATAGTGTTCCGCTGACATCACAGGCACAAGCCATATCCGGTGCCTCTGCGAATGATCGAATCGAGCCGATATCACATACTGGCTTTCCTCCTTCCCCCGATTTGGGAAATGGCAATACTAGAGGGAGGCAGACGCTACGAGCGTCCGATCAAAAGCCGCTCAGCCTTGGCAGCAGTCGCAACCGCGCTTACGGTATGACTCTTGTTCCAGGAGAAACACGTACTTCCCGCTCGCCATCCCCGTCCGGGGCATTTCAGCGCGCTGGCTCGATTGTACGAGCAATGTCACAAAGAGTCGTCAATATTAGCGGAGAAAGTGAAGTGGCAGTCCATCAGCGCGTATCATTGCAAGCCGCAAGGAACTCGCAAGCAACCGACGGGGCTATATATGAACATTCTGGAGGTAATATGGACTCGATGCAAGTGGTCACTTCTTATCAGCCCCAAATTGGCGTACCGGCAGGCGAAAAAGGTATGAGCCACGGCGCTGCAACTTTGCCGCATCGTCCCCCGGGAGGCTCCACCAACCCTTTGAAAGGGCATTCCCTCGGATTCTTCTCTCCTCGAAGTAAAATTCGAATTGAACTTTGCAATGTTCTTGTGAATCCATACACAGAACCAATTATCTTACTACTGATTGTTCTCCAGACAATTCTGCTGGCTGTTGAATCTGGACCAAGTGTATTCACACCAGGTCATGAGCGACCTAAGCGGTTTGGTGGCAGGGCGATGGACTGGGCAATGCTAGCCCTTTTCATTGTGTTCACTCTGGAAATAGGAGCGCGTATTGTCGTGTCTGGATTTGTCATGAATGCCGCAGAGTACAGCACAATCGATCGGAAGAAAGGAGTTCGTGCTATCATTTCGGAACAATATCGGACGTTCTTTCAACCGCAGCGCCAAGGATCAGTGAAGGGTACTCGTCAGATATCTCCTGATCAACCAACCATTGCTCGATCTTTCACGACTTTCATGCATGGCCCTCCTGGTGCACCAGAAACTGTGGAAGCTCAGATGCGCTTCCAGCTTGCGCGGCGAGCATTTCTTCGCCATTCCTTCAACAGACTGGATTTTATTGCCGTCGTTTCATTCTGGACCACCTTTATATTGGGCATTACTGGCTTAGAGAGTCACCACCACTTGTACATTTTCAAGATGCTTAGCTGTCTTCGCATCCTGCGCCTACTTTCCCTCACGCACGGTACGGCAATTATACTCCGAAGTCTAAAAAAGGCTGCACCGCTGCTCGTGCGTGTTGCTTTTCTCCTGTGCTTTTTTTGGCTTTTGTTTGCCATTATCGGCGTTCAAAGCTTCAAGTCTAGTTTTAGTCGCCAATGCATTTGGCTAGACCCGCTTCAACCGACGAATTTATCAGCTGCCTTTACGAACGACGACCAGCTTTGCGGGGGCTATTTGAACAACGATACTGGCGCAATCATGCCTTGGGTCAAGTTCGGGACCCCGGATTTGCTGGATGAGCTTGTTCCCGGCGTGGGGAAAGGCAAAGGCTTCATTTGTCCCCGGGGGTCGCTTTGCCTTCAGCAGGATAACCCGTCCAATGGCACCGTGAATTTTGACAACATTTTGCAATCTCTGGAGCTAGTGTTTGTTATCATGAGCGCAAATACCTTTTCGGATCTCATGTATAAAACAATGGCTTCTGATTACCAGCAAGCTGCACTTTTCTTCGGCGCTGGCATCATGATCATGACACTTTGGCTTACCAATCTTCTCATTGCAGTCATTACCTCGTCTTTTCAAGTCATCAGGGAAGAGAGCAAAGGAAGCGCGTTTACTTCGGATCATCAATCGTCCATCCAACCACATTTTGAGGACCGTGGTCGGAAGTCTACACTTCGACTCCTTGTTGAGAGGACTAAACTTCTGTTCACGCTGATTGTTGTGTTTGGACTGATTTGCCAGGCATGCCGTAGCGCTCGAATGTCACAATCTCGCGAAAGGTTCATTGATGGCGCTGAAGTTGCTGTCACTCTCCTTTTGGATATCGAGATAGCAGCGCGACTGGCTTCAAATTGGCGAAATTTCCACCGAAGCTGGGCGAACCTGTTTGACCTCGGACTGACAATCACCACTACCGTCATACTTATCCCACCAATCCGCCACACATCGGCATACTGGTGGCTTACCGTCTTTCAAATCGTCCGTGCCTACCGAATTGTGTTAGCGGTGCCGATGACGCGAAAACTTATCCTTCTTGTGCTTGGTAATGCTGCCGGTATTGCGAACCTGATGTTGTTTGTCTTTTTGATGACATTCCTTGTATCGATTTTTGCCTCGCAACTGTTTCGAGGCGAGATTCCGGTGTTCAACGATGGTGGCGGACTCAATCGCATATCCTTTTTCACCATTTACAACTCATTCCTGGGAATGTACCAGATACTATCCAGTGAGAATTGGACCGACATTCTTTACTCAGTCACCTCTTACGCACATGGCTATAAGACTGGCTGGATTGGCGCCACATTTTTGATCGGCTGGTTTACGCTGTCGTACTTCATTCTGGTCAACATGTTCATTGCTGTTATCCAGGAAAATTTCGATGTATCGGAAGATGAAAAGCGCCTGGAGCAAGTCAAGGCTTTCCTACAACGCAAGGAGCTCGGCCACAACGCGAGCAACCTTGCACTTTCATCAATATTCAATCTGGGCAAGTCCCGGCGCCGACGCGATCCTTTGGATTACGGCCCCGCCATGATGGAAATGCTTTTGAAGGATGCGGTAGTTCGTGACTTTCTCGATGATGAGAACACGGAGCCTTTGCAAAACGTGATAGGAAACCCCGGGGCCGGTAGGCCCACATCTACATTCCCAGTGAGCTCGAGTCGTGGCCTGGCAGGGCTGTGGCAAAGACTGAAAAACAAATTTTCGGACCAGGAACCCAATCCATTCTACACGAGTATCAAATTTGACGGACCGAACGATACTTTGGATCCGCGACAGATGGCTCGGCATGTCGTGTCTGCAACAGCTGCGAGGCGCAAAGCTCAAAGAGAATACCTCGCAAGACACCCGAACTACAACACGACACTATACGTCTTCCCACCAGCTAGCAAACTGCGAAGGTTTTGCCAGAGACTTGTCGGCCCCGCTAGAGGGTTTGAACGAGTTGATGGAGTTGACCCAACTAAGATCGCGTGGTATGCACTGTCGGCTTTTATTTATACCTGCGTTGTGGCGATGGTGGCTATTGCATGCGTTACAACACCACTCTATCAACGAGAATACAGGGAAGGGCATCAATCAGACACTATTAACTGGTTTGTTTGGACGGATTTAGCATTCGTACTTGTGTTTACGTTGGAGGCCGCTATCAAGATAATTGCGGATGGCGCATTTTGGACCCCAAACGCGTATCTACGGAGCCTATGGGGAGTCATGGATACATTGGTGTTGGTGACACTCTGGATCAACGTCATCACGCTCTTCATCAATGACGGAGCTATTTCCCGCGCCGTAGGGGCATTCAAGGCGCTTAGAGCCCTGCGGCTTCTGAATGTCAGCAACAGCGCCCGAGACACCTTCCACTCGGTCATAATTGTTGGCTGGTGGAAAATTTTTGGCGTAAGTGACACATCAACACAGCATTGATCTCAACCGTACTAATACCGCGCAGGCTGCTTTTGTTTCGATTTCTTTGCTTATTCCGTTCGCCATTTACGGGTTGAATGTCTTCAACGGCAAAATGATATCATGCAATGACGGTGACAACATAACACTACTGGCACAATGCTTCGGCGAGTATGGCAGTACCCCTTTCAAAGATGACTGGGTGATGCTAGCCCCCCGCGTGGCAGACAATTCCTATTTCAAATTCGATGACTTCGGTTCGTCACTATTTACACTTTACCAAATTGTCAGCCAGGAAGGATGGACAGATGTCTCATTCGCTGCCCAGGCCATAACGGGGCGGGGGTCGCAGCCTCAAGACCTTGCCGCGCAGGGTAATGCTATGTTCTTCGTTATTTTCAACCTGATGGCTACTGTCTTTGTCCTCACATTGTTCATTTCAGTCTTCATGCGAAACTATACGGAACAGACTGGCGTCGCTTTTCTTACTGCAGAACAGCGATCCTGGCTCGAGCTGCGAAAACTTTTGAGACAAATATCTCCATCCAAGAGCTCTTACAATGACAAGGGAAAAGAGTGGAAGCGGTGGTGCCACAAGAGAGCCATAGAGAAACGTGGAAAGTGGTACCAGATGGTCACAGTTGTACTCGTTCTTCACCTGGCCCTGCTCGTCGCAGAATTTAACAATGAGCCGCGATGGTGGGCGAGGACTCGAGAATTTGTGTCTTTGTTGTTCGTCCTAGTCTACATGAGCAACATCGCAATCCGCATATTCGGACTGGGCTGGAGCAGATTCAGGAAAAGTTCATGGGATCTCTATGCTTTGGTTGTGGTCTCCGGAGCATTCATTGCCACCCTTTCACTTCTGATCGCCAACACTCGTGGTGAGGCCTATGAACAGCTGTACAAGATATTCCTGGTGGCCATTATTCTCCTGCTCATACCGCGAAACGACGCATTGGATCAGCTTTTCAAAACTGCTGCCGCAAGCCTGACGGTAATCAGCAATTTGCTGGCCACGTGGCTAGTCTTGTTCTTGGTATTTGCTATCGCAATGACGCAGGCGTTTAGTTTAACGCGCTTTGGTAGCCAAGAAACGAGCGACTTGAATTTTCGTACGGTGCCCAATGCCCTCATTCTGCTATTTCGCATGAGTCTGGGCGAAGGCTGGAACCAGATCATGGAAGACTACGCAGGTATTGAGCCACCCCTCTGCGTGAAGGACTCGACGTTCTTTGACAGTGACTGTGGAAGCAAGCCCTGGGCGAGAATACTCTTCGTCGGGTGGAACATCATCAGCATGTACATCTTCGTCAACCTTTTCGTTTCCCTTATCTATGAGAGCTTTAGCTATGTCTATCAGCGATCTAGTGGCATGTCAGTTGTTGATAGAGATGAGATCCGGCGCTTCAAAGAGGCATGGAGAAGTGTTGACCCTGCCGGAACCGGATATATTACCAAGGACCAATTCCCCCGCTTGCTAGGTGAGCTCTCTGGTATCTTTCAAATGAGGATCTACGACCCAGAGGACTCCGTCTCCCAAATTCTTGACGACGTTCGCAGTGATATTCGAATGTCACGCCATTCTTCCATTGTCGCTTCGAATGCGGGCGGGGACATTGACCTTGGCAGACTGAATCGAAGACTGGCGAAGCTTGACGTTGAGAAAATCCGAGCCAGGCGCCGGGTGTTCAACGTTTTCTTCGAGGAAGTTCTTGTAGCTGCAGATCCCGACAGAGGTATCGCGTTCTCAGACGTTTTACTGATTCTTGCCCACTACAAAATCATCAACGATAGCAAGAGCCTAAGGTTGGTAGCGTCTCTTATCCTTCTTCGACCAAGGTACAAGTTTTTTAACAATCGGTAGACTGGACGAATTCTTGCGACGGAGAGCTCGACTTCAGCGAGTGGATGAAGAGATCCGACGAAGAACCGTTTTGGGCTTCTTTGACACTTTGTGAGTGCGAACATCAATGAGTACCAGCGCAGTCATGACTGGGACTAACTTACAATCCAGATTCTGGTCAAGAAAGTTCAAGCAGCATATGAATATGAAGCGTTCCGCGCGTATGACCATGGTTCCTCAACTGAGCGTACCTGAAATTTTAGTTGACGACGAGGAGCCAAACAATGATATAGCTACTGGAACTTCTGACAGAACACATAGGCCGCTGCTTCCTAGCCTTGACACTAGTCTGGAGACGCCGAGAAGACCATCTGTCTGGGCCGGCGAGATCTCGCCGCGCGACTCCGTCACTCAACACCCGTTGAGCTTCCCCAGAACATCGGGAGGAGGGCTATCCCCACCGGCTAGTCCTATGCGAACGAGCTTTCAGCTCAGCCCCTCGGATGCCTCCAATGCACAGACCGATCGCAGGGGTAGATCCTTAAGCCCTGCCCAGGCCCGAGGCATGTTGGACGATTCTGTCTGGGTGGAAAGTATTCGAAAAAGCAAAACTCTTCGCCGATCGGACAAAACTGCCTATAGATATGGAGATCTCGGTTAAATCAAGGTGTGCATCGTCTACTCCAATTGATGACTACATTTAATGGACTGTAGCAACAAAGGCCATCCCGTGGTCTTCTTTTTTCCTAAGATATGGACATCAAGTGGCGTTAAGAATTTTTGGCATGACTTGCAATTTTATTCCTTGAACCATGACTAGAATCGAAGAATACGTATGGCATCAGTCCCACCTTAATAATTAGATATCTCAGGATGATAGTTCCATATTTATGAATATGAGTGAGCTTCGGTGAAGCCCCTAGCTGATAGACGCAACCTGGTAACTGACAGTGTTTCTAGCCAACCCCTGAAGATCGCGTAAGTAGCTAGAAGAAAGCATATTGAACACTGGGAGGAGGTCTTATACATAGCCCTTATTAAAGATTTTCATACGCTGCAGCGGAGGAGTCGGGGTAGGCCCTAAGGTACCACTGCATAGGTAAGTAAATCCCTACCTACCTAGGTAGGTTAGTAGGTATCTAAGGTACAGGAGGGAGGTACACCCACAAGGGCCACAAACCCTTCCACCGAACATATCCTATGTTCAAAATTTACCGCCATCTTCCTTGTACCTAGGAAAGAAAACTGTTTGTTCAGTTTCTCTTCTTTCCTTATTATCTTTTGGCCAAGGTGTCCTTCTGACTTTTGATTTCAGGGGCTGATGCTGCGTTGGTTTCAGAACCGGAGACGCGCTATTCTTGCTGTTGCAAAACCAGCATGCCTGAAACAGCTTCGGACATGCTTGTCAAGCCCCAGGCTTGCTTTCAGTAGCCAATATTGCCAGTTTACGAAACTCGAGGCTTAAATAAAGACGAGGCCTTATTTATGCGCAAAGGTTGTTGTATCGTAGTTTAAATAAACTGTGCTAACCCGTTTCTCAAATTCTTCGCCTCAACAAGCAATCATTGCATTTCTCTTTCCAAGATTACATATCGTCGTTCGAGGGCACACAACCAACCAGACACCCTGTTGCCAATAATACCAGTACATGAAGTATCGATCGATTCAGGCAATAATAGCTCATGCAAAGCAAAAAGGGTCACATTATTGATCAATAAGCATAGACCTCTTCTCTCTGCTTAGTTGAGCTCGAGTGCGCACGTCTTTTTACGGTGAACCAATATCCTTTACCAACGGAGCGGCAGATTCGCGACTGCGTTCTACCCACCATAACGAAGCAAGCACAGTACCAAAACAATATGGCGGCTTCACGGTTTCAACACAACAAAATTCCAAGCAATTTCCGCACTTACATTCGAATTTCTCCATCGCAAAGCCACACCCGCAGCATTCCGCTCTCGAGTTTAATGGGCTTCAGTGTCGCCCGCACAATCAACAGCATTATAAACAGGCAGCCATCCATCGTTGGGCTGGTTCAAGAACGAACCACTTTCCCCAAAGAACTCGGATTACTGGAGCCCCGGCCATTAGTGTACTGGAGCAGCGTGGAGGACAGAATGGGTTGCCTCTGAAGTGCGTTGGCGCCGTTGTGTTGGCCTGGTGAACAAAGGAAACGGGCTTCGCATACACAGCTTCTTCACTTCTCTAGACGCCTTTCCCTGGAAAACTTTGTATTGAAGTTTTGAGCCCTATTTCACCTAATTCACCGGGCCTCGGCAGTTTGGTGGTGCTTATATATCCCGGATGCTGGTCTTTTTGGTACTGCGAAGCAGTACATATACCCGGGCTGCCACGATCGGCTTTCCATCAGACAAATACATATACAATTTTTTGATAAATTGCCAATTGTTTCACCGTGTTCTGACCGCTATCTATCTCTATGTATTGAGGAGAGGGCGATCCACGCAGAGCCTGTGTTGCCTCAGCCTAGACGCGAGGCCGCATCAGCAGCACAATGATGGCAACTAGCAGTGAGTAAGGATATGAACTTGAGCGCTGTATGTCTCAATCACACAGTCCTGCCATCGATATGCTCTTTACGCGACGGGCAAATTACACCCAAAGCCACGACAGGAGTATTTTTAGTGAATACAGGGCAGCGGCTGTGCCTGCCGCAAGCGCCACAGCAAGCCCTACGAGCACGGTGCCACGCAATCGAAATGCATCCTCTGCTTCCATGCGCATAAGCTTCTTTTGCTTGCTGTGATAATACCACGGCTCATGAATCTCGCTTGATTGCCCTCGAAGGTCTTCGTATGGATGTCTGCGGTATAAAAGATCATGTAGCCAGCTTGGTAGCCTACTGGGGGACTCTGCGTGTGTATGCAAGCGTCGTCGTGTGTAGTGGATATCAACAAGAACTAGTGACACCAAGAAAGACACGAAGTTGATGGGAGTCATGACAATCTGTTAAAATAGTATTAGAGAATGCCGAACCTCACACCCTGCAGTACCCTGCGAGGTCAAACATGAACGAAACAGACGGCATGCTCCACGCGTACCTTGTGCACTGTAAGGGGCTCGACGACATCATTGGGCATATCGACACGGAGTATTGGGGAACGGTCTCGAGAAGAAGTGGGTGCCATTCCTACAGCGTGATAGCATCAATAGATGAAGGCGACAAAAGAAAATCGACGGAGCAGAGACTCTTCTGACGGGCATTTATAGCTTCTCAAGCAGTGACGGTGCCGACCATGTTTCGTACAGTGGAAATGTGTCCGACACTTCCGGCAGCAGGCATCAGTCAGAGGAACCACTAACAAACGTTTAGGTAGTTATTATTTCGCAGTTGCTTCTAGTGGCCCCACACGAGGCCAGCATGTGTCCACACAAAGACGTTCGTTTTCTTGTCAGCAATTCTGCAAACTGAGATTGTACGAGGTATTCGTGGGAATCATATCAACAAGTGAATCAAAAATAAAAGATCCCGAGGCCTTATATACTCAACCCTTTCTTGCGTTGTCAATGCACGAGCTATATTGCACCAGTAGGTCATAAGGATTTCGGGCCATGATGCAGTGGTTATAACGCCATAACAAGTCTAAAATTTGGGAGCAAGAGTCCGAATCTAGAGCTCTTCAGTTGTAGAGCTGTGTCCAGGCCTACCGAGTGTTGTGAATGTCGAGAACGAGGATGTCCTGGGCCCCCACGCGGGTCAACTCATCCATAACCAGCGCAATCTTGTTCTTCTCAACCATTGAGCTAACAGCGACCCAACCGTCAGCGTCAAGCTGCGTAATGGTGGCAGCACGCTTGCCAGGAGTGATTCTTGTCGCTTCGACGAGCTTAGAGCGTTCCACGTTGTACTGGCACAGTACAAACTTCTGAGCTGTAATGACGCCGCGGATTCGCGAGGCGATAAGCTCTACCAAATCTGCGTTAGATGGCTTCGTTGACTTGATCAATATGGCGCTAGACTCGACTACAGTATCAATTGCTTCGAGGCCAGCAGCGCGCATCGTTTCCCCAGATTCTGTGACCGCGTTAGCTAGTACTTCTGTGTAACATCAGTACTGCGACTTGTAGCTTACCGACGAGATCGACAATGCCCTCAGCAACGCCGAGAGCGCAAGCAGCCTCAACGCTACCGCTTAATTCAATGATATTGGTACGCAAAGTTTGCGTGGGAGGTTGCTGGTCCGACGCTGGGTCGAGTCCCGCCTCAATCTTGACGAAGTGCTCAGCCGTCAAGTTGGGGAAGCTAGTACCGATAGTACGGCCGATCAAATCCCTAGTCGAAGAATATTTGCCCTTTTCGGGCACTTGAACCTGGAGCTTGCAAGAACCAAAACCCAAGTCCATCACAGTCTCGCATCCGGCAACGTTATCGGAAGCAGGCGTGTGGGTTTTGACACCGGCAGCATACTCCTTTACTTGATCCAAGCCAGTGATACCGAGATCAACGCGACCTTGGCCAACAAAAGTTGGAATATCGGCTGCAGGGAGGAATATCAACGCAATGGGAAGGTTCTTGACGAGGGCAATGTCGAGGCGGTTTTCGCGGCGGAACTGGATGTCTGCACCTTCGAGTAGGTTCAGAGTGGCGGCATTGAGGCGGCCCTCTGCAGAAACTCGTTAGTAACCGGGTCTATATTTGTCAAGCGTGTGGTTGGTCTGTTGTCATTACTTTTTGGGACGGCAAACAGAAGTCGGCCTTCTAGGCTGTTGGCAAAATCCATAAAGTTAGCACGAGGTCGCGGGAGGTCCTGAGTGGGGGTAGTAGGGCCAGTGACAAGTATTTCTTACTGGTTAACGAGATCCATGGCTCAAGAGACGGAGATGAGAGGAAATGTCGGAATAATGCCCAGTGCGGCGAGAAGTTAGATTCAAAAAGAAAGAGGCAACTGTGCGACGAGGTTGAAATATCTATGGTGAGTCAACACCACCAAGCGGATGGGGCTCTTAACTAGTTATCTGCTCCGACAGCGGGGCAAACTTGACATAGGTGATTTGGAGGGGAAAAACCCTCGTACAAGTTCGCGGTCTTGAATTTTAATTAATCTGTATTAATGTTCTGCAAATTCGATACAATAGTGGGGCACTGCGTACCCGTGCATTTGTACTGTTCGGTGTCTGAAGCTAACTTGGTGAGAAAGAGATGTTCTGAGAGGTTTGTTTCTTTGCCTGCCATTGCTATCTATGTGTGTAAGCGGCTACACGGGGTCGAATAAAAATTCTCATCCTCAGGATGATTCTGAGATTCACAGTCACTCTAAAAGCTTCATTCACCATTCTTCTCCGTTAGAAATTGAAGCCTAAGTAATATATCACTCTTCTTTAACGAAATGAATGTTTTTAATCATTGATGCGCGCACTTACCACGTGTGTTGAACAACGGTCTACCAATGAAATCGCTGTAATAAAGGCAGACACGATTCAGCCTAACACAGAGAACACCGTAAGTACTTTGTGAGTCCCAGCGAGGTGTAATCAATCTCTGGCAAAGTCAGATGTGACACATGCACTTGACATATGCGTCGGATTATGGTGCCAATGCAAGACAGCGTTGTATTCGTATATTGGTGGCATCAGCGCAGCAACGACGCACACATGATTCGCGTAGATCACTACCACAGCCATGCGAAGCAAGTTGACCCGTTTCTGGCATTTCGGGGCGAAGCCAGGACCGATCTTGTCAATCCGTTCTAGTTTCGCGTCGGCTCCATTTACAAACTACAGCTCAGTGATTAGACTCTAGTATGCACAAGGGAGGTTTGCAGTCCGACAACCTCTCTAGCTATGTCAAACGGACGCAAAATTGTGCAACCGCAACTGCTACTGATAAATAGCTTGACGGCTAAAATTTTCGACCCCCTCCCTCCCTGCCAAGGCTCGAGGTTCCTGGTCAGTGGTATGTATAATGTTTCTTCCATGGCCAATTGCCCACTAGCAATACTCAATTGACGAGAGCGAGAAGCATTCCTGTGCTGCCAACTTGCGATGTCACCACCCCTTCCATCCCTATGACCTGCTCCGAGAGGATCGCCGTACGGTGCCCTGATGAGGCCCGCCAGTAAGCCTAACGTTAGTTACTATAAGATACCGATGTCTGTGCACTTATTCGTTCCTAGCGACCCAGGAGAGATCGTCTTAATATTAACTACCTAGGTAGGTATATATATAAGTAAGGCCTATTTTTAGATAAGGTATTAAATAGGTCTTTTTTTTTCTTATTTTTTTTTCCTTTATTATAATACTATTAAACTACTATTATATATTAAAAATATTATATATTTTTTAAAAGCTATACTAAATACTTAATAATATTATTATTAAGGATTAGCTTTAAGGTATTTATAGATAGGTATTATAATAGTATTAACTTTCTTATAAAGTAAGAAAGAAGAAAAAGCTAGTCTATCTATTTATTATAATATAAAAAGAGAATATATTAAAAGTATATTTATAATAGCCTTAAGCTAAGCCTAGCCTAAAATAGGCTTAAGCTTAACTTTTTTATAATTATAATAAAAAATATATATTAAATAAAAACTATATTTAATATCTTATTAGAAAATAAGCCTTATATATATAAAAAAGTTAAGCTTAAGCCTACTTTAGGCTAGGCTTAGCCTAAGGCTACTATAGGTGTGTTCTTAGTATGCCCTCTTTATATATTATAGTAAAT